ATTATTTATATTAAAATGGGATTTGTAGTTCTTCTATTTAAAATATGTAATTATTATTTTGTTTACATATTACAATTTGTAAAGTGATGTTTTATCTACTCCTTTATTGTGAATTTAATGAATGTTTAATTTTCAGTTCAAATATTTTTTCTATAAGTTGTTACAATCCTAAATTCTGGTTATTTTAATTTGCACGTAAAACTTGTTTGTGTGTGACGTTGTTTCGTGAACAAATAATGGTAAAAAATTGATTTATGTATATCTATGTAATTAAAAATCTGTAAAATAAGTACTTTTCAAAAAGTGAAAATTTTATATTTATTATTAGCTAACAAATATTTCATAAAATTACCGATATAAGTTTTATAGAAATTTTGTCGTAGGTTGACATGCAAGTAAAGAGAATGCAAAATAAAGAGAAACTAAACAACATTATTTTCAAACACCCAACAATCCCACAAAATACTTGAAACATTCCTATTTTTGTGCGTTAAAATCAAAAATTTAACATAATAAAAAGTTCACATTATTTAAAATATTTTCGTGAGCGTACTCCCTTATTGATTCGGCATTTCGCCCTTGAAACAGAATTTCTAGAAGTTACTCGAGAGTTCAAGAAGGGTCACGCACCAGTGATTTCCACTTTTTTTCTTTACATCTGGAGTTTTATTATGCACTTTTCAGCAAGTCACTTTACAACTTTTCCGTCTGAATACGTCAATAAAATTTATTAGTCACGTCGCAAAATTAAATTTTGTTGTATTTATAAAAAAAATCTTAAAATCAAAATTAAAAGCCTTGACACATTAATTTGTTTTATCTATATTCAAAAATAAAATCGTCGAACTCGATTTCGATTCAGTTTCGCAAAAAATTCTTTATTTGTCCGGCGCACGTGGAAAATGCCATTCTTTTGACAATTCGTAAAACTAATCCACTTTTTATTTGGCAAACTTGCAGGAAACATCATCAAAAATTTCAAGTATGTGTCTCGGATCTTTTATTATTGTGCTAAATTTACTTTTCAAATTTAAATAATTCATGTTTGTCCAAGAAACAACGTAATATCTCTCAATGTAAATAAATATATTATTTAATAGTTATATTAAGCGCGTCCCCCGACCACTCATCGTAAAACTCGCTAATTCCATAAAAGGCTCGATAGGTAAACACCGAACAAATTTAAGGTCGTTCCATATACCAAGGCCAGATTTGTATTTAAAATCGTTTCAATAAAATTCAAAATTACGTGACTCACGTCCCGAAGAAAATAAAACGTGAAATTGTTCCGGAATTGTGCCGGAATTTTCTGATAATCTGGTCCGAATGCACAGTCGGCGACTCTCGAACTTTCTCGAACGCGAGCTCTCTGGAAGAGTCCGGAACTCCCCACTACCAAAGCTCATGTGTACATAAATACAACCAGTGGGGGATTTCACACAATTTGAATCGAAACACGAGAGCGAGAAGTGACTTTAGCGATTCGAAGCGTTTGTTTACCGAGTGATTCAGTGCTAAATAAATCAAAATGACGTTTTGTGAGACGGTGCGGACTATTCCGCTTATTATCGAAAGGGATACACCTATGGAGGCCGAAGATATTGAAGTAAGTTTTCGGAAAAGTGACACAAAATTATTATTTGCGTATTTATGGATTGATTTTTAACACTGGATTTATTTCAGAGCGGCTATCCCTTTGAACGTGAAGACAGAGAGGATCCTTTTCGGTCTGAATTGGACGACATTGCCAACCGTCATCCCGAATTTGCCGAACATTTAGGAGGCTTTCCTTTTCGTAGTGACAGTTTAGGACGTAGGTTTAGACAGAATCGGCCTTCAGAAGAGGAGTTTCGTAGATTCGGACGACCTTTTGGTTCCCGATTTGAACGGTTCGGTTTCCCCTTCAACAGGGACCCTTTTGAAGGCGATTTCGAAGAACCAAAGCCCCAACAACAGCCACAGCCGGAACAGAAACAAGAAACACATCAGCAACAACAAGAAAACCCACCACCGGAACGAGGACGTAAACAGAACATCCAACAAAGTAATACTGTAGATTTAGGACAAAAACAAGAACCAGTGAATGAGAGAAATCAAAGATCGATGTCTGCTCCGCCGCCAGATAATCGACAAAGATACACTTCGAGCATTCACATACCGATTAACCGAGAGGGTATGGCCGATATGGGAGCGGCACAGAGTCAACCCCAACAACAACAAGACAAACCGGTTAATAAACCGACGGAGAGGGTTATACCGATCCATGTAGAAGGACGCGATGAACCAGTCATACCCAAACATACAGGTCCAACTTACACGCAACAACAACAACAACCACAACCGGAACGAATTTTCGGTCATCGGCCTAGTCAATTCACCCAGTTTGTCGGAAGGGAGTCTCCAAGGCCCGAGTGGCACCATCAAGGGTTTGGACCTGAAGTAAGACAACAACAAAAGTTCCAACAACAGGCAGCGCCCCCACAGCCCCAACAACAAAAGTTCCAACAACAAGCAGCGCCCCCACAACAGGAAGTTCCGGTGCAAAAACCACAAGAACAAGTTCCACCACCACAGCAGCCTAAACCATCCACCAACCCTATCGATATAATTCAATCCATTCAAAAGGACGTTTCGGAATTAATGTCCCAGGTTGAGAAGTTTAATGGAATTCCTAGAGATAAACAGTACCTTTATTTGGATGAAATGTTAACCAGAAATCTTATTAAATTGGACAATATTGATACTCAAGGTCAGGAGAATATCAGGCAGGCTCGTAAAGAAGCTATCAAATGTATTGAAGGTTGTATTGGTATTTTAGAAGCTAAAGCAGCAGCGAATGTTTCTCAAACCGAACAGAAGGTCGGTGAAACCCCTGAAACTAAAGAAGAATCTCAGCAGGCTGTGGAGGAGAAAATGGAAGTGGAAGTGAAGGAAAATGAGCCTAAAATTGAGGAAAAAGTCGAAACTAAAAGTGAGCCTGAGACCAAGGAAGAGAAGATGGAAGTGGCTTCGCCACCGGCTCCAGCGACTGATACGATGGAAGTGGTAACAGAAGCGCCACCACTGGTTGAAGCCCCCAAGGAAAAAACGGAAGAAAAACCGAAAGAAAGTGAACCAGAGACTAAGCCATCGGACGAAGAAATGAAGGAAGTTTCGGATGAGAGTAAGAAAGACGAGAAAACGGAAGAGAAGAAAGAAGAAGCAAGTGTAGAGAATAAGGATGACATTAACAAAGAGAAGAAAAAGGAAGGGAAGAAGAAAGTTGTTAAAAAGTAAATAGTTTATGCCTTATTGTTGATAATCTTGCTTTTACAAAGCTAGGATAACTTAACCATTTTTATTTTAGTGAGACTGACTCGCTTTTAGAAAGTCACAGTGTAAATAATTTGTGTGTTTGACTGTGATTGATGTGTTTTTTTTCTTTACCGTCCGTTTTTATTTATTGTAAATAAAATAATTTTGTACATTGTACAATTAAGAATCAAAGTATTAATTGTGCCATGCATGATTTGTACAAAAGAAATAAATTTTAAGTTGTTCAATTGTTTGTTTTATTTGTTGTAAACGCAAGATTATTTTTTGTCATACCAAATTACGCACAGTATTTTATTAACAGTCACGCAACTTGTAAATAAAATTTTTGATTATTTATTTGAAGATTGCCTTAGAATTAAAAAAAATTGCAGCTTCTGTGTGTTCTTATTATTAATACCTCAAATTGTATAATTTGTTATTGTTATTTTAATACAGTGCAAAATAAATGGTTTTTTACCAGTTGAAACGACGAGTAATCTTTGACCTCCCACTGATAATAAAAATTCAAAGCCACATAACCTAAAATGTTTGCAATAAAAGTCGCAAAAACAGTTGGAAAAAATGTGTTCTACTCTCAAATTCGCAAATTATCAGAAGTAACTAACGACTTGACCTATGCGCAACTCCAAGGATCCGATACGGGAATCACCGTTTTCGGTTTTAACCGGCCGAAACAAAAGAATGCCTTAAGTGCCAACTTAGTAACCGAATTACAGAAATCTCTACATAAAATTACTTTCGACACTTCAGCGCGAGTGTTGATAGTACGAAGCTTAGTCCCTGGAGTCTTCTGTGCTGGTAAAATCCCCTAAACCTTAAAAAGTCCCTCTACATAATTTTTCTAGGAGCCGACCTTAAAGAACGCGCGACGATGCCCCAAGCCGAAGTCGGAAAATTCGTTTCAAACCTTCGAAGTCTCATGGACCAAATCCACAACCTCCCAATCCCAGTCATAGCCGCCTTGGATGGCCTTGCTTTAGGAGGCGGCCTTGAGATATCCCTTGCTTGTGACATTAGAGTTGCCTCTAGTGACTCAAAAATGGGGCTAGTGGAAGGCAAACTGGCCATAATTCCGGGTGCCGGGGGCACCCAAAGACTCCCTCGGCTTATCAACCCTTCAATTGCCAAGGAATTGATATACACGGCGAGAACAATTGACGGTGCTACTGCCCACCGATTGGGTATTGTGAATCACGTGGTGTCGCAAAACACTAATCAGGATGCTGCCTATCTGAAATCACTCGAATTGGCTCGGGAGATACTACCAAATGGGCCTGTGGCTGTCCAAATGGCCAAAAAGGCTATTAATAAGGGGGTACAAGTCGATTTGAGTTCAGGATTAGCGATTGAGGAGGCGTGCTATGCTCAGCTGATACCGACCAAGGATAGGATAGAGGGACTACAGGCGTTCAAAGAGAAGAGAAAACCGAATTATACTGGCGAATAATTTTGTTACAGTTAAAAAATTAAAGATCAAATAATTTTTCAAGTTGCTTTCTCGTATCATCGGGGTCTAAAACCTTATGGCCTATGACTCTTGGGTCATTGTAGATTTCATAATCGTTGCCTCCTGCATCGGTCTTGTCTCCAAAGAAGTGAATCTCGTCGAAACCCTCGTTTTGGACGTGTCTGAGGCAATAAGTCTTATCCCACCCTTTGGGAAAAGCATCAAAACTGATTTGGCCCCCGATTGCATACGTGAGGCCGATATCGGGGAACCTTTTTTTGAGCGCCTCAATCATTGTTTGCCTTATATTAAACTCTTTATCATATTTTTCAAAACTTTCGCGCTCTTCCTGGGAACAGGAGCGCCCAACTGGGGATATATTGAGCATCCCGGATCTAAATTCAACAAAGTTGCCCCTCTTTACCGGGAGAACTACTGTCGACAAGTAATTCAAGACGTAGTTTATGAACATTTGGATCTTGTCTTCACCCATAAACTTCTGGATGCTTTGTCTCCCAACTTCCTTTCCAAATTTATACTGCACAAGCCCGTTTTCAGGAAACACGTAGTCAAACCTGAAAATTACGTCCTCGCCGTTCATCTGTTCGGCGATTTTCTTGAAATCGGAGCCACCGACGAGGCCGAGAGTGCACAAGGGTTTGATTTTAGTTTGGATGAACTCGTCAAAGTCAGGGTCGATTCCTTGTCGGGCTTTGGTCAGGGTGCCGTCCATGTCGAATAAACACAAAATCTTCTTTGGTGGCATGTTTGGGTTTGAATTTGGCTCCAAATGTGTGGAAAGATGGGGAAAACCGGTTTAGTTGTTCTACTAATGATTTTGGCACGATTTAGGGCTGAAACTGAGAAAAAATTAAATGTGTTGTTGATTTTGGGTGAGTTTTGTGATTGTTTACCTTTTTAATGAGGATGGACACGTCACTGAGTTTTAAATGATGCAATTTCTCGAAATGTCAAAAAGTGAGGTTAGAGACACGCACCGGTGAAAAACACAAAATTGTTTAATTAAAATTTTGTCATTTATTAATTTGGCCATTTTTGGATCATTGTCTGTTATCTAAATAAAGTAAACATTTTTAAATTGTATTTTTTCAATTGTTGACATTTCCATTGTTGGGTTAGGACGCACATAGGCGGCGCATAATTTTTTTTGTTATAGATATTATTAAAAAATTAGAACAAATAGTCGATTTAATTAATAGTTATACTTGAATTGCTGTTAATACCAACATTTATTATTTATTAATTCGCTCCCTTAAGAAGAGCAATTAAAAAACCAGTGACGGTTCGTCATTTTTAGCCGACGATGGCGGTTTCGAAATGGGGGCTTACAGGAACAAAATCTGTCAAACACCAAATTTGGACGCTTTGGCCAAAAATAGCCTGATTTTTAACAATGCCTACACCTCGGTCAGTAGTTGTTCTCCCAGGTAAACTCAAAATTTCGCAAAATTAGAATAATCACATTCTTATAGCCGCTCGGCTTTGCTTACTGGTATGCCGGCACATCAGAATGGCATGTATGGTTTACACCAAGCCGAAAACCATTTTGATTCATTCACAAATATAAAAAGTTTGCCGAATATTTTGCGAGAAAATGGGATTCGGACTGGAATTATCGGTAAAAAACATGTGGGACCAAAAAGTACATACAGTTTTGATTATGAGCAGACTGAGGAGAATAATTCGATTTTGCAAGTTGGGAGAAATATCACTTTTATGAAATTGTTGGCCCGAGAGTTTTTAAATAAATCAACGGACAAGTAATTTACCACAAAATGTAGTCAAACTGTTGGAATTAAAATTTTTTAGACCATTTTTCCTGTTTGTGGCATTCCATGACCCCCACCGTTGCGGCCACACAAACCCAGAATACGGCGAGTTTTGCCAACGATTTGGTAATGGGGACGTTGGGATGGGTCTAATCCCTGATTGGCACCCAATTTATTACCAATGGGACGAACTAGAGTTACCTTATTATATCCCCGATACTGAGGAAGCGAGGAGAGATGTGGCAAATCAATATACCACAATCTCAAGATTAGATCAAGGCGTTGGTTTAATTTTAGAAGAACTGAAAAAATCAGGTCATTCTGATGACACCCTTGTGATTTACAGTTCGGATAATGGGATTCCATTTCCAAACGGAAGGACGAATTTATACGATTCTGGAATAGCCGAACCTATGTTTATATCTTCTCCCTTACATAAAGAAAGGCGCAATCAAGTTACTTATTCTTTGACTAGTCTTCTAGATATTGTTCCTACTGTCCTTGATTGGTTTAATATCACAGAGGAGAGTAATGAAATCATTAACAGAAAACTGACCGGGAAAAGCTTATTGCCTCTTCTAGTTGAAGGTTTTTATGTTCTCTGTCATAATATTTTATTGTCAATCAATTGTAGAACCACAAAATACCACAAATGAGGCAATTTTCGCCAGCCATAATCTCCATGAAGTGACAATGTATTATCCAATGAGAATGATCAGAACACATCGCTATAAATTGCTTCATAATTTGAATTACCAAACACCGTTTCCCATTGATCAAGACTTTTACTTATCACCAACATTCCAAGTGAGTAATTTTATGATAATACTTGTCCTTGAATTTATTGTTAAAGGGTATTTTGAACCGTACAAAAGCCAAGGAAAATTTGTACTGGTTTAAAACCTTAAAACAATACTACAACAGGCCCGAGTGGGAACTGTACGATTTGAAACATGATCCTGTGGAAGTGAACAATCTGGCAGGTAAAAATGAGTACAAGAATGTGATGCAGGAATTGGAGAAAAGGCTTTCTGAGTGGCAAAATGCGACAAATGATCCTTGGATTTGTTCCCCACATTCGGTCTTAGAAAATAAGGGTGACTATGCTAATAACCCCCAATGTATGCCCTTGTATAACATGTGAGGCGATAACGTAAACACAAAAATATATTTATTGTCACATATTCTAAACAAATACTTATATAAAACATCTACGTTATGTAAATATGGCAATTTATTTCTTCCTAGTTAACTAAACACACGCAACATTTTAATAAATTAGTCAACAACAGCTAAACTTTTCCAGTGAGACAACAAATTAAAAACAAAAGCAATAATAGGAGTGAATTGACTTGAGAAGCTTTTGTGTTAGTTTTTTAGAAAATGAGGGTGTCTTATCACCTAGTTTTTAATTTTAATCTCCCTCTAAGATTCCTATTTTTCACAGTTTTTTCTAATTTACTAATCAGAACCGAAGTGGTGTTTGCAACCGTTTCTACAGTTTGCATAGTATCTGCAATTTCAGTCATCTGTAAAATTAATCCTAATTACTTCTCAAGGTCGATAATTACACTTACTCTCTCTTGAATTTCCTGTACCCTCAAATGCTTTTGGTGGTTGTTGTATAATACTTTGAATTGTAACATGAAACCCGCCGACAAGATCAACACACAAAATATCAACAAATTATTTGACTGCCGGAAATGCCACATCACAATTGTAATTCATTTTAGCAATGTGTGAACTACAATTAAGCAATTATTACTGACACAAACACAAATATTATCTTACTTAACAAGGTTTTAACTACATTGATAGAAATTTGTAAACAATTAAGTTAACCTTAATTTTAATAACTTGTCAATGTCAGTTGTGGCGTGCCGATAAAACAGTGAATAACCAACTCCAAATTACAGGAAACTGTAAACACTTCACCCAGTTTTTTCAATACATTCATTCTATACAACTTCTATTGTATCACGCAAAGTAATACAAAAAAAATAATATTAATAATAATCTTTATTTAGCTGACTGTAACATTAAGAGGTGGTGTAAATCTCCAAGTGTGCCCACTAGACGGTAAACACGGAATTGCAGTGGAATTATCCGGTGCAGAGCACTGAATGTCGATTTTATACTGTCCAGGAGTAAAGAAAATAACATTACACTCATGTTGTGCTTTTTCTTGAGGTTCTAACGACTTTATCATTTTCTTTGTAGTCCCAGTTGTCGCTAATCTTGTTTCCATCCTATAATTTAAAGTACCATTTTCATAATCTTGATAAAATTGAACCGACAATTGTAACTGATTCAAAACTTTTTCCAAACTATTTGTTACGAATATTTTCATTTCTAAACAATCACCAGCATCACAGGTGACTTCTTCTTGTGGCCTCACAGTTTCATTATTTATCATTACTTCTACAATTGATAAAAATATAATTTTATTGTTATACAACTACAAGAAAATTACCCCATAATAAAGGCGACATTCTTACTTCATCTAACATATCATTGGTTAAGGTAATGCCCTTAAGAGAGGCCTTACCTCTGGTATCTGTGCCAAGCAAATGCCACCTTAAGTCGACAAGATTCGCGATATGTTCTGAACATATGCGGTCCAATTCGCCAGTTGCGAGGCTTTCCCCGGTTTCGAGTTTCGATAAAGGGCACCGTTTTACCGGCACAGGCACTCTGCAACTTTCATGGCCTTCTATGAGCATTGTTTTAGATGGAGTATACTGTAATTCCATTTCTTGCGACGTCAAGTTGGCAACGTCCAAAACCAAATAAAATTGAGAATTACTAAAAAATAATATTACTTATATCAGATTTAAAAGTGAGACAATTCACGTTTCAGCCGGTAATACATCCCAGTTAGTAACATGTAGCGACGGTACAGTCTCCATCGTTAAAAAAACAGAGCAGCATCGACAATATGATGCTTGCAACCCTGGTCCCCCACTATACCGAATTTGCAACTGTCCTTCTACTACTGATGACGCTTGCTGATTTATCGGTAACTGCGGAATCTGTAAAGTAGCACTCATACTCGAATGCCCTGAATTCGACGACCGAAAACTCGAATTAATATTTCTATGAAAACTACTACTTGTTGGTGAATTTAGTCTCGAGGGTAACGATCCTGGACCTGAAATACTACTACTGAAAACACCACTGCTAAATTCATTTCCGGTGCCCCCAGGAACAAGAAAACTTCCAGCAGCGTACAAATACAAAGTCAAACTTGCCGAACAGTTCGGTTTTAGAGGCAATTGACTTAGGAGATTTTCCTGCGACCAAGTAAACATCTGTTCTTGGAGGGTCGGTTCAAGGATCGTCTGCATCGAAACTTCGAGCATTTCCACGTCAACGTGTCCAATATTAGTGATCGTGACTGTACATTCAGCGCTTTCACCGTGATGCAGACTCACACTGGCCGAAGTTACGACATTTTCATAGTCGTGAAAAGAGGAAAACGACGCGCTTTGAGGAAATGATGTTTTGACATCTAGTAAGGGGAGAGATGGGACGATTTCGACCTCGTAGTGGGGCGGAAACCCGTTCATGTGTCGTAAACGACAGTTTGATTTAACTCCAAGAGTGTGTGTACTGTAACCCTGGAGTTGGAGTTGGCCCTCGCTTTCGCGCGGTGTTCCATGAAGGGTTGTAACAGATGGGGGAGCCCCCGACGCTGATAAAACCACAGTCTCAGGGAGCGATTCGAAAACGACACCTGACGTTAGCAAACGCATGTCGGAAACTTTTAACTCGAAGGGTAGAGGATTTGACAGTTTAAGGGTGACTTCGCAAGGTTCGTTCTCGACCCACAAAAATGCTACAATTTTTTGTATGTGTGCAAGAATTCAACAACTTGTATAAAATTTCCTACCCATTTTAGTCTGACTCGTCGTACTCCTCCGATCCAAACTTCCAAAATGTATGGGAGTAAACAAGAACGGCCCTGTGTCCTGTTTTACAGCCTGTATTTTCCTAGGCTGTAAATGGGGCTGTAAGTTTCTCAACACAAAAGAATGACAAACTGGAATGTTCGTCAAGTTGGCTGGTGGTATAACAACTCCATTATCTAGCACTAAGGGCACCGGTGACCCTTCACACTGAGCTGACAAGGCCTAAAATATTAATTTCGCTTATTATTCTCACAGAAATCCCCTAACCCACTTGTAATTGTATCGCCAGTTCTTTTTGCTCAGTTGGCGTCAAATGCTGCCACATGGTCTGCAACAAAAACGTCATGTGTCGAGTCGCCAACGCCGAATGCCCCATTCTCTTCGCCGCCACCACCAATTCTTGTAAAAGTTGAATTTGGAGGATCGGCCATCCTTGGGCGACTTCTCTCATTTCCGCAGGATCTAAGGAGAGCCGATGTCCGGGAAGACTATGGAGCATGAGGTTATAGCAACGATTCCAATTAGGGGCTGGATTTTGAGGTGAGACGTATCTAGTGGCGGCAAGTCGTTGACAGAAGGCGGCTTTCCGTGTGAAACCGATTTGGGTGTAGAGTTCAGCCAAGGTTTCAAAACGTTGGATCTTTTCTTGTTCAGAGAGGGTCAAATTGATGTAAACGACGTTTTGGAGGAAGGAGGCGGCTTGGAGTGAGTGGTTTTGCTCGACGGCGATGCGTGCTGCTTTGAAACTCGCCTCGGTTTCGATTATTCCTAAATGCACATAAAGAAAAAGTATGCAACCAATTATACACTATGTTAATCTAAAGATCCACTCACCCGCATTTTGGTATTTGCTATAATGGATGATAGCCTCTCTATACCTCTTCGAGATATCCTCTGGGGCTAGCGTATTCGGCACGGAGGCCTTCTTCGTCCCTATATCAATGTTACTAGCCACCACCGTTTTTTTCGGCGAGGAACCCTCTTGCAAACTCGCATTTCGTTGCAACTGAACACTCCTCTGCATCTCGGGGTACAAAACTAAAGCAGAAGCCGCACACAAGCCCTCATATGCGGCCCCCAGCCATAACCAATCGTTCACACTTTTCAAAGTCTCGGCGGCATTTCCATAATATACCAAACTTTCGGCCAATAACCCGGCTTGCAGACACAAATCGCCTAAATGCTTGGTCATTCGCCCTGTGCACTTTTTCTTATTGTTTCGCGATTCCATGTCGAGTCCTACGAAGTCCTTTTTCTCGAAAGGGGCGAGTAGGAGTGACACCCGTTCGAGTTTTTCGCGCGAACGTTCGAGTCTCTTCGATTCTAACACCCAAAATAGAGAATTGATGAATTCAATTATTTGGGTCTCTAGGTCGGCACAAGGGGCGGATTCATCGTAAAAGAGCCCCCGTGTTTTGAAATTACTGGGCGTTGTGAATTTCTCGATGTTTTCCTCGGGGGCGCTGCTACTGCTGTCGGTGTTGGGGCTCGAGGTGTCTTCAGGTGAGCTGCTCCCTTCTTTTGTAGGGCCGAATAAAATACATCTCGAATCAAATAACGTGCTTGTGTATTTAACTTTGAGACTTTCGTGGACTCGACATATTTCGTTGAGTTCTTGCTGGGAATCATATTTTCCTAAAGAAATGAGCCCTAGAAGTCTTCGGTGGGTTTGAAAGTCGCCCCAATCGTTATTTTCAACAGGATGTTCCTTCACATAACGTACTAAAATATTGCGTACGTTTCCAGTAGAATCGGTAATACGGACTGAAGTGAGTTTAGAAATACGGTCGTAGAATTTTTGGAATGTTTTGGGTTTCAGTTGTGATCCTATGTGTCTTACGAGCACCAGAAGAGCGGCGTGATCATGTGAATATTGTTCGTAGTCGGGGTGAGACATGTTTGGCTCGCTGGTACTACTCGAAAGGATGTAACTTACCGAAGAACGCATTTGTGTGGCCTGAGGATCACCTACATTTCAAACTTTGCCCCCAAAATAAAATAAAATTTCTTTGACTGAAAATAATTACCTGATCATTGCGTCTATTTTTACACAAATCACTCTTTTTTGCACTTACAATATTTATGTTGTTTTGGGGTGCAAAGTTTGACAACTTTGACACTTCACAACATAAACATAACCCCACTTTTTTTTAAATTATTTGAAATCTTAAATAAAACACAAAATTATGTAAGCGGACTCAAAAGCATAAACGACGAGATTTATAACTTTTATAATGAAAAATTATTGAAATTGATGAGTGCAATTCTTTAAAAGTACAATAAGGCAATTTCTCGCGAATAAGGTAGGAGGGAAAGGGTCAATGACCTACTTTAGCGAACTCAATTTATTTATAAAAATTAATTAAACTATTTAATATAAAGTATTGACAATATTTTTAGATGCTAATTGGTATTGATTGTGCTTATGTCTATTCCTAAAGGGTTATTAACGCACAATCACCAGCCAAAAAAAATTACTGGCGGTCTACATACCAGGATTTTAATGACATTTTCAACATAAACATACCCGAATCGAGGCTTTTGAACGAAAAACTACTGTTTCATACTTAAATACAAAAATCTTCAATCAAAAAATTAGGTATTCAAATGTAAAAATTGATATAAAATGCAAATTTCTTTCCTTAGCTGACTTAATTAATGGTGATTAGAGGTTTGCTCATCAATTTAGAATTAGATTTGAACGTTTTTTTAATCGTTGGCTTATTCTCTTTCCTTCCCAAGGGAATAAGTCTCATAGTTTCCATTTGCAAATTCAAGGAACGATAAAAATCTAAAACTTTCTTATTGGCCCAAGCTTGCGACGCCTTAAAACCTAAAACCCTCAACGTATCCAAACTTTGGGCCCTACTCAACGCGACATAAGCTTGACCGGCTTCAAACACTTTCCCTAGGGACATTTCGACACAATCTAACGTCAAACCTTGAGATTTATGAATAGAAAAAGCCCAAGCCAGTTTGAGAGGCACTTGTTTTCTAGTGATCATAGCACCAGTGGCGGTTTTAATACACCAACGCTCGGGTTTTGCAGTATATTCTCTATTACGGAATTGCACGACGGGGAAATCCCCTTCAAAGGATTTGACGACTCCACGAGCACCATTCACGAGACCTGTTGCAATGTTTATATTCTTCAAAAGCATGACTTGTGCACCAACCTATGAAAAAAAAATTGTTACACCAAATCGGACTTTTGTTGTTACGAAAACCTTCAATTCGAGTTTGTGCGGTATGGGAGTTTGCTGATCCAGCAGTTTTTTAAGATGCGGAGGTGAATCTTCAGACGTAAAAACTTGTTTTTCGCCAGAAAGTGCGTCAAGTTTTGATTCATTAATAGTATTCGCTTCCGCAGTATGCGAACATAATCTAGTCGCCAAGATCCCATTTTTTTCGATATTTTGTCTCGACGTTTCGGCTAATTTTGTCGCCATATCTTCAGGAATTTGTCCAATACGCACACAATTCAGAATTTTGATAAACTCATCGTCATTCTGTCTATGCACTTTTTTCAGTTCATAACTCGATAAGTGGCAACGACTCCAGGCCTCTGTTTCGAAACAAAATTTGATTGGATTTTTACCCTTACTGACCGGGGGCAATTGGAAGAAATCACCGCACAAAATCAACTGAATTCCTCCAAAAGGCTGATCATTTCTCCTTATTTTCCGGGCTATTGTTTCAATTTTTTCGAAATAAGCACCATCAACCATCGAAATTTCATCGATAATTAAATGTTTGCACCTCCGCCAAATCGTGTAAGTCCCTGGACGTGAGGCCAGCTCGATGGAGCGTTCGAGGGTAGCCTCCCCAGTCCCTATTCCAGCGAATTGGTGAAGGGTTATTCCCCCAATGTGACAAGCGGCGACACCTATAATAAATAAATTATTAAATTATTGAAACAATTGAACTAACCTGTGGATGCAGTGGCTGCAGTTACATCAGGAGGAAGGGCCCCTATAATTCTCTTTAAAAGATAACTTTTCCCTGTTCCTGCACTTCCGGTGAAAAATACGTTACGACCACTGAGACAAGCCTCCATGACTTCCTTCTGTTCAATATCTAAGGGCTCGTTGGGGGTTGGCGAAGACGCATATAATCTTTTCGAGGAGAGGGGTTTACCCCCCTCTCGAGGGCTCAGTTTCCGTTTCCGGCTCAAAGGTGATGGGGTTGTATCAGTCCCTTTCGAAATTTTGGCTTTAGCTTTCTCCATTTCTCCCAACGTCACTGGACTAATTTCCTCAAATTTTGCAGGTTTATTAGACAATAACTGGGTTCTCAGCGACGGGTTTGAGTTTGAGGCTGATTTTTCGCCCGTCATTTTTACAAATACTGTCTTCAAGAACGTAAAAAGTTGGCTCGGGGGTGCATTTGAGATGAACATAATACAATGCACCTCTTGGAATTTTATGGAAGCTTTACCCTCACTCATGAATTTGTTATGGACGGAAATGCCTTTTAATTGTAGCTTCACGGGGACTGACTTGCCTGCAGTTACTTCAACGAAGATTTCACGAACATCGCTTCGAATAAGACGCAAAAAAGCACTTTTGTGGGCCAGTTTTCGCTGGATGATGCCTTGGGAGTTCGACCACTCGATATTCACAGAACACGATAACACATTTTCGTTTTCCATTGTTAAATAACACAAGTTTCATTCACGAATAGTTTTACACCGAATTAAAATACGGAAAAAAAGGAAATAAACTCAAACGAACCACCCACGGTTCAAACATTGAAGGCGGCAAGTGGTCTGACAAGTGACGTACTGACGTATGTCATTTGTCAGTTAAGTGTCATTTGAGTTGGAAGTGTAGAAAACTGTAAAAACACAAAAAACGTAAACAAAAACAAAAAAGTTTATTGATTAAAGACCACATAACATGTTATAATAAATAAAGCGATAACAGTAATAAATTAATCGTTTGGATAAAACGTAAACAGTTCTGGGTGGTTCTCCAATTTCCTAATATAGTAACTTTTAGTTATAGTTGGCACTCCTTTTGGAAAGCGGAAAACCACCGATTTGAATAAAAAATGCCCACGATTTCTACTGGGTTATAAAACACTATTTTTTGCTAATATGAATAAATAGATTTTAGGATATCCCAGGTATACCTGACTTTTACAATAATTTGCTGTGCCCAATCGAAGAAAATTTTGAAAGAAACGAGGAGCTTCCTTGCCTCTTACAATATTCTGAAAGAAATATATATATCTTTTAAATTAATTTTTAAACGAGTGGACATGAAGATGCAGCTGATCTCCACTATCACTGGTAATATTCATAGATTGCTATAAGTGGGGGCTAATAATTTGAAACAAATTATTACTTATGAGAAAGAAATTTATGACTATTTTTTTATTTTTATATACCTAATAATAGATTTAAATTTTTCTATTCTTACCCGTAGTGATTTTATGTTACATCATTTTTTAAACTATAATTAATACCTAATTGCAAGTAATAAAAACGTTATCTATTTCCGATCGTTTCAAGCTTACAATTTCAGAATAATTGGATTTATTTCGACATCCGTATTATCCTCATTCACCCTAAAAATGTGTTTGACAGCATTTGTTTTAATATTCCTTCTCCATGGTGGTTTAGCAGTCGATTTCGTAAGTGACAATTTTGCCCTTTCGTCCCCTTCACACCCATATTCCAGATGGTAACAAACTACACCGTCGACATGGAAGCCGGTTATTTATGCCCAGAAAACGACCAACTCGAAATACCCATGAAACTCTTCCGTATCGATCGCATTAATCGCACCCATCGTGCCATGAGCATGGAATTCTCATACGCTCATCCTGTGGACGAGACCGCTGAAGGTGTCCACTTAGTCGAGCGCTGGATCGCCGGTGGCTGGAAGAGATTTCCCATGTGGTCATGGCAAAAAGACCCATGCAAATTCCAGTTACAACACGAGAAAAATGGACATATCAGATTTGGTAAAGCCATGGGTTTAAAACACCCAGATCGGTGTCCCATACCGGCCGGAAATTACTCAGTGATGAGGTTTCCGTTTCAGTTGAAATACGATTATCCGTTTTGGCCCGGCAGGATTAGGACTATTGTCATGTCGAGAAGGATTGCGACGAAACAACTGATTTTTTGTGTAATGACCATTTTGAATGTTGTTGAAAAGGTTTAATTGGAAAAAATAAAAGAAAAAACCTTAGTCTTAGTAACTATTTGAAAAATAAAGTTTACTCTTTGAAATTGAAAAGTCTGTGATGACAAAAAATTTAAAGAATAAAAGACGTTACGGTAATAACATTAAAGATGGAACCGATCTTTGTATGAGATTTGCTTTGTATCAAATTCGTTTTTCGCATCGGCTTTGTTTATGGATAACAGCTGGTTCGTCCACGTAGATTTCCGATATAAACTTATAATAATCCAAAAAGAGACACGGTAAAGTGAGTCTGTTTATTTTTTATTCGCCAACTTAAACCGGCGCGAAAGGATGGTGACGATTTTTAAGAAAATAAGGAAAATACGTTACAAATCGTTACACCCAATTTCACTTTGTTAAAAATTGATTTTCAAAATGTATCGCCTTAATGCACCTCTACACCTTCTAAAGAAGAGATCTTCCAAATTTTATGTTTTTATTTTCGTCTAAAAGTTTATACCCCCTTTCAGCCTTTCAGAAATTTATTTTCAAAAAATCCTTTCTTTTCGGCCTTTTACACCCTCTAAGCAATATATCTTCCAAATTTTATGTTTCTATCTTCATTTAAACTTTACTCTTATACATTGATTTTCAAAAAATTTTCTCTTAGCGGCCATCTACATTCTCTAAATCTTCTAAATTTTATGATTATGTCTTCGTTTAAGTGTTTACACCCCAGTTCCCCTTAGAGATTGATTTTTAAAAATCTTTTTTTTAAAATAAAAACATTTACAGCTCATATCATCCCTTTAAAATCCCAAACAAACTTCCATCCTTTATTTAACCTCTTGAAGGTAGAATTTTCAAAGAGGACCAGTTTCATCAACGTTAGTGGCTATCAATAGTTGCTATCTACTTATTCGATGGTTAAATTTAACAAACGTTGATGAAACTGGCCCTGAAACACATATTTTTTACAAATACCAATTTTTATGAAAATCACTTAACAATAAAGAATTTTTATACAAACTTTCATCTCCTGTTTCACCCATTTAGATCCAGACTCAGGTCAAATACCAGGTTCAGATGTCCCATGCTGCGGTGGTATTGATAGGGTGAGGTATCTTTGGCGCAGGATCAAATTATGATAAATTAAGAATTATGAATGACAACAGAAGGTTTGTATGTGAGAAGGTAGAATAGTTAGTAGACATATTAGATACTAACACAAAATGTAAAAGCTGGCCAGCAACGCAATTGTGCTTGAAGACAAGAAAATAAAAGGTATATGAACACATATTGTTGGGGGCATAAATGAGAAAATTGGTAGCATCTCCATAGCCATAAATTTATTTTGTTTTCGTCTCGAGAAATTTCGTTAAAAAAAGAGTTATGTATCTAATGTTAGAGTAAGTAAACACAACCCCGTGAAATAAGCTTCCTGCTACAAAAATTTTAATGAAAAAGGTCTTGGTTAAGAGGTGTACACCCATTCTGAAAAAGCTTCCATCTATTATGTAAGAGTTAGAATATTTTTGTTGGGATATGTACATGTTTTGCTAAAGTATTTACTTTTAATAATGGGTAGATTGCAGCCATGCCATTAGAGTTAAAGATATTTTGTTAAATTGGTTATTTTAATATTGTTCCTTGATCGCTATATTTTTCTGTTATTTTGTTACTATTATTTCTTTTATTGTTTTATGTTATCGTAATCTTTAGTTTTGTACTGAGGGTAGAGATGAGAGACATGAAGCACGTGCTCTTGTGTAGGTAAACAATGAAATCGCATAACAAAACAAAAAATATACATACCTTTATTGTAGTGCTGTAGTATTTCAAGAGAGGTTTTTTTATTCACTCAATAACTAATTTAAATTTAAACACTAGTGTATGAGCAAAATTATAACAAAAACAAAAAGTACCTACCTACAAGTTAAAATTTTACATATAATAAGTGTTTTTTTTCTAATCATACAACTGCTTGTTTATTAATTAAAATTATGTGTAATACTTATAATTAGATAAACAAAGCAAAAACAAATTCAAATAAATTTTATTCACAATATGCGCATTGTAGACACCATAGCCGTTCAATAAGTTCTTAAAAAAGATTACAATTAATCGTATTACATGTATATAACAACAATATTATGGTTTGCAATTAGCAACAGAACACTAAACCCAAAACACTCAAACGTCATTCGACAGTCCTGAAAATAAATATTTTATAAATAAACATACGTTTTTGCCAATAACTTACAATAACGTAAGCGTATTCGTAGAACCAGGCCCCTGATGCAAACCAGTGACGATAACGACAGTATCTCCTGATTTAATAAAACCTAATGACTTTCCATAACTAACACCAGCTTTAACCCTCACTTCTACATTTTTCAACCATTCGGTTGGAGTTTGTTCTGTAAAACACATAAGTGGCAATGATTTTACCCTTGAAATAACACAAACCATCAAAATACAAGGGCATAATAGCCCTAAATAAGTGTAACTGGCGAGCAACCTGCGCATTCCTGGTAACGGCAATAATGGGACATTTTGGCTTGTATTTTGATAATAACTGTGCCGACTTTCCGGTTTTTGTAACCACGATAATAGCAGTGGCTAACGAGTTCATTGAAGCTTCAACTGTGGATATTGCGGTAGTTTGGACGATATCTAGAGGTAGTTTAGGCTGCAAACCGTTGTTAGTACTGGTTAGATTGTAACTGAATTAGTTATACCTGACTCTTGAGGTCATCAAAGAGTTGTTTTTGCCACACCGCAGCTTCAGCTTCTTTACAAATTAATGCCATGGTCTCGACACACTCAACAGGATACAAACCCTTGGCTGTCTCCCCTGCTAACATCACACAATCAGCACCATCAAGCACAGCATTGGCCACATCGGAACTCTCAGCTCGTGTGGGTCTTGGTTTATCAACCATTGATTCTAATAAATGAGTCGCAATGATGATGGGCTTCCCAGCTTTGTTACATCTTGCAATGATGGCTTTTTGAGCTAGGAATACCTTCTGAAAAGAGATTTCCATCCCCAAATCACCACGATCAATAAGAATGCCATCAGCAGCATCAATAATCTCGTCCATGTTTTTCACACCTTGGATATTCTCAATTTTGGCAATTACAAGAGTGTTACTATTGCCCAGAAGGGAACGAATTTGTCGAACCTCTTCAGCGTTTCGGGTGAAGGAGGCGAAAATGCAGTCGACATTTTGCTCAACTCCAAATTTTAAGTCTCTTTTGTCTTTTTCAGAGACAGTAGGAAGGTCTTTTTCGACGTCTGGAAGATTCACTCCCTTACTACTCCCCAATTTTCCCCCATTTGCAACAGTGCAAATAATTTCATTGCCTTGGATTTTCTCACATTTAAGAGTAATTAAACCGTCGTCGATAAAAATCTGGTTTCCGGGTTTTTGAACTTTGGTGATATTCTTATAATCGACGTAGATAACACTCTTGGTGCATTTTTTAGCATACTTTTCGTCGGTTGTAATTGTCACTTTTGCCCCCTTTTCGAGAAGTACTTCAGCCGAAATACCCTAAAACTGTGTTTTAGTAATGTCGTAACTAGACAATGATTTGGTACCCCTTCTAGGACTCCAGTCCTAATTTCCGATCCTTTGGTGTCTATAGCAATAGCAAGGGGATAATGCCGACCAATCTTCTTACTGTACTTGTCAACAGCAGTTCTAATATTTTTGATTAGTTCCCCATGGTACTCGTGAGTCCCATGGGAGAAATTCAAACGTGCTACATTCATACCAGCTTCTAGCATTTTTTCCAAAATTTCTGGTTTCTGGCATGCTGTTCCTACAATTTTGGTGCAAAAAAAACTTTTACCACATGAAATACTTACCAATCGTACACACGATTCCTGTTAATCTCATAAATTTCGGCTTGGATGTAATATCCAAATTACTGATGTATTCTAACACATTTGTTTTTGACTGCGTGCTCATTTTGACTAACAAAAGCAGTTCAATTAAACGTGTAAACACTTGCTCTTATACGTACTTCCTGATTAAAGAGATGCTATAAAGTCTGTTTCGTCTTTGACTTTCACACAAGTTTATGACTGGAATGATATTGAGAAATGATGCGTGATAAAGATATATGTTTATGTAACAGAAATCGACTTGATACTGATAGTGGGGATCATCTATACGTTATTACAATTTCGAGTGTGTTTACTGATTAGCAGTTTGTAGAAAAATCACTCGACGTGATTGCTGGCTGGAATAACAACATGCGCAGTGTAGTTATATAACATTTTTAGTGTGTTGAAATGCTTTATTCTAATATATTTGACTACATATTTGTGTTTCCTTATCTCTCAATAACAGCGTAGAAACGTGGGGAAATTTACGATTTTTGTTTATTACTTATTAGAAGTTTGTGGTTTAAATACATAAATTTACCTACAGCTAAATGTCTAAATAAATTTTTAAAAATAAAGAAAAGGAAATCAAGAGGTGATTGAAATAACAGACGTTTTAACTGCAGTGAATTTTATTGAAATAACAGTAAAAATTACACCCTCTACACAAAAAGAAAGTCTTGTTGACTAAATATATTGCATTTGACATTATCGGTGTGATTGTCTTATTAACAATTTCACGAAAGTCTTACGTCCATGTTTGACGGAATTGAAGTGTTTAACTTGAATTTTGCTTCTCCTAAAGAATTTTTTCCGTGCTTTAATTAACGGTAATCTATAAACAAAATGTTGTTTGTTCAAAAATTGACAGTCACAGGACGGTAATGGATATGTTTTCTGCCATTAAGTATTGCCTTTCTAGTCCTAAAGGACGGTCCATTTACAATAAAAAGGGACAAAAGGGAAAACTCTGGTGTTAATTTGATTCCTACCACTTACAAACACTACCAATACGTTAACTAATTCGGACAGGAAATTATTGCTATTCTACGTAAATCGATAGTAGTAAAATATGAAACAGTGCTGGAATTGCTCACTTTTTTGATTATTCGATTTGTATGAAAATACATTTACATTTGACATGAGGAATGAAGTTGGTCCAAAAATTTGGCCACAAAATAACATCCAATTAAAGCCTTAACACAGCACACATTTGCGTAATTGAGAGGCAGCATTTAAATGAAACTATTGGAACTACAATCTAAGCATTTAAATGCTACAATCAACGATTCTACTACCGATTATCACTGGCGTCGTTTGAATCACTATCTTCGTTGTCTTCTTCTATTATGTCTTCTAGTCGCCTGTCTTCTATTATCACGACTACATCTTTGCTAGAATAAAACACACTCTAAATAACTACCTCTAGCACCTACTAAAAGAAAAACAGAAAACTCTCACCATGCATACCACGGATCTAAATCATCAGAAAGGTGTCGTCTGCATGCAACCAACCCTTATCAACCCATCCTCCCCAAACCATCACTTACCGTCGCAACGGTGAGGGCGGCACCGGATTCCGCACCACCTCCAACAACTCCAAAACCTCCGGAGACGACCTCACTTGAATTATACTCGCCCCACGCAACTCTCGCAACTCCACGCCTCGGAATAACTCGCAACAGACCAATTCCTCCAAAGCTGGAGGTCTGCTAATCTGGAAAATCAGTTCCAAAGCTTCCGCCACTTTGGGAGCTCGTTCCAATTCGAGTTGAAGATGGGCAGGGCTGGGAGGCTTGGGAAGTTCGTAGCCAGCAGTCATTTCGAATAAAATGTAGCCGAAAGCTAGAGTTTCAGGAGCACTAGGGGCGCGAGGGAGCAGGCCCAAAAGGGCGTTTTCTAGGCCGGCGATTCGGGCAACGCCGTTTTGGATTATTACGTTGCCGGAGTGTAAGTGGTAGAAGGGCGGGAAGTAACGGTTGCGTAGAAAAAGAAGGCCTTCGAGGATTTGGCGGCCCAGACACTGGACCTGGAACCATGCAAAAAGAGAATGTTGAATCTAAACGGTGTTGGTTTGTAACGAAGTAAAAAGTATTTTTTTTGTACTTTAAAGCAATAAATGAATAATACTAATAATGAATTATCGTAAAAGTTGTAAGCTTTGTGATTGGGCAGTTTAAGGTCGGCCATTATAATAATGTGAGTAACCATGGAGAAACCAATTTGAGTTTAGTTTAATTCATAAATGTGGCTAATTTGGATTTGCGTTTATTCATAATAATTCCAATTTTTAATGAAAATGTTATGTTTGTGACCTTTATGCGCTCTACGCTCTTTATTATGAATATTGTAACGAAGAACTGGCACCTTACATTTCCTTGTGGGTACTTGACTGGGAAATAAAACCTTAAACACAACATACAAAAAATTTTCTTTGACTGAATATTATTGTCATGAAAGAAAACGGTGCAAGAAGTGAAATATAACCTCACTTTCTTCCTTTCTTGAGACTAAGAAATATGAAAAGACTCTTCTACAAGATGTAGAAGGCTGCAGTTCAATATGCAAATTTGTAAAACGTATTGTTTTCGAAATATAATCGAGAATACATAAATCGGTACCTCGTTAGTGCCCCTCGTTCCCCCCTCGCTCGGAGAACGGGGACTTCTAACTAGTCTAAACACAGCCTTAAAGTCAAAAATTATGTTCCCAAACAACCCCGTTGATTGTCTGGGCTAATTTCTAGTGAGAAAAATCAAGAGAATTACCTAGTAGCGTGGATTCGTAGATAAAATCTTGCAAAAATCAACAAGCCAATCAAAAAATGTGTCGGTTTGTAACAAAGTAAAAAGCCTTTTTTAAAGCTTACTACTAATGAATTAACGTAAGGATTATTGTAAAAGTTATAAGCCTTGTGATTGGGCAGTTTCAGGTCGGCCATTATAATAATCTAAAAAACCAATCACTTTAGATTTTTGAATTCATTCAAAATTTAATGCAATGATGTAATTTGTCCGTTTGACATCGGCCATTATAATAATGTGAGTAGGTAACCATGGAGAAACCAATCACTTTTAACTTTAGTTTAATTCAATAATGTGGCTAATTCAGATTTGCATTTCTTCACAAGACAATTCCAATTTTTTATGAAAATGTTATGTTTGTGCCCTTTATGCGCTCTACGCTCGTTATTGTGAATATTGTGTCAAATAATATTCACCTAACATTTCCTGGGAAATAAACAAATAACATACGAACAATTTGAACTCTGAATATTGCCATGACTAAGAGGTATGAAAAGACTCTTTTCTACAAGATGTAGATGACTGCAGTTCAGTTTGCAAATTTGTAAAACATTGTTTTCGAGATATAAGCGAGAATACATAAATCCGCACTTCGTTAGTGCCTCCCGTCGTCCCCTCGTTGGTGCCTGAGCTAATTTCTAGTAAGAAAAATGAAAAGAATGGCTGGTGTTGAATCAAAAAAATGCATTTTAATTGAACTAATTGATTTAATGCATTAATTAATGCATTCCAAAACTTGTAAATGTTTTCATTGTTAGAAATTTCTCTAAATGAAATATATTTGAATCAACTTATGTACAATAATCAATAACAAATAACCTTGTTACTAATGCATTTCTTAATCGGTGATTAATGTTCTTGATAATAAGCACGCTCGCGAGGTGAAATGTTTCCAGTAAGTATTATCTTTTACTTACCGTCCTGAGGGGTAATCCTTCGCCCTTCGAGTTGTACTTCTTATCATAATCCTCGTGCCAAGGGCTGCCATAGATTAGGTCCTTTAAACTACCGGACGGATTCAAAGGACTGATAAGAGCTGCCCCAGCATCCCAAAAGTCAATGTCCAAGACCGGATGAATGTATGGATGTTGCAATCCACGAAACAGCTCTAAAAGAGTATCTCTCGTCGTTGTGGTAGGGTTCAAAGGGCACATGGACGGCATGGGCACTAACGTCAGCAGCCTCTCCGCCCCTAAAGTCGTATCTTGAACTGTAAACCTACACAAAACGATAAACTACCACAAACTCTCCAATAATTCATACCAATGCTTGTCTGTTCTTGACCCAATCTCCCCTAACTGAGTCTTAAGCTCATACCGATCATTATTCGAAAGATAGTGCTTACAAGCCATAAAAACCCCATTTCGTATCTGTTGCTCAGCTCGGAACTTCTCATTCCCTCCCTCAGTTTTCAAGGCGCTGTATTCGTGTTTGGGGGCTCCGGACGACCTGAAATCCGGTTAAAAATAAGTTTCGAGTAGGAGAATTTCAATTTTTAATTCAAAGTATCGAAAATCTATATACCGGCGAGAGAAAAACACCCTCGCAAACGATTCCGTTCTTTGAGGAGTTACTTTTCCGTCGTCACTGCGATTTTCCGAACTTTGACAACGATTGTGGAAAGCGGCACGTTTGTTGGCGGCATTTAGGACACCCGGGGAAAATTCGGAAGCACTATGGGAGCGATGAGGAACTCGTTTTTTGCGACGCGAACTCGAACGAGAAGTTCGCTCTTGGTAGAACCTTTCGTGACCAATTACTTGAGGCTCTTTTTCTTCCTCTTTCTTATTTATGTTCTGGTAAAGATTGAACATGATTGCGGTTGCAAAGAGGCATTACGACTGAATTCGACGGATTTTCTAGGTTTTAATGCTGTTAAGTTAGTTGTAGGGATTCCGCGCCAGCAATAATTCGTTTAATTAGATTCATAGAGCACTTGAATTCCTTCCAACTCTCGTTCTATATTGCTTGTGTTGCTATTATCGAGAGAGTAAAATGTTAAACTTATTACATTACATTACATTACATTTTATTAAAAAATTGTATTGTACCCGAGATTTAATTTATTTATTTTTACTAGGCAACATGATTTTTCGAACAAACATAATTTTTGGTATACCAGTCTTTTAAAACCCGCCATTTGACTAATGATAACACGTCCCATTTTTTTGATAAACGATAACGATAACGATGCTGATTTGTAATTACTACTAATTACAAGTAAATTTATTTTCCTTTTAAGCAAGTAAGAAAATGGATTCTTTAGGTATCTAAGACAAAATTGCCATAAGTGATGCTAAAATCCGAGAAAGAATTTTTTGTAAATTTGAAAAGTGCTCCATAATGAAGTTTTTGTACAAAAAATAAATACCTAAGAACTATGTAACTGCTTGAAATTCTTTTAAGAGTGCACTCCACAGATTTCTTGGCAATAATAGAAATAAAAAATCATTCTATATTTATCTAAAAACTATTGGAAAATTGTGAAACACTTGCCTGCAGAATGTCTATCAAAGTGCATTTTCCGCTTCGATTTCTTTCTACAAAACTTAAAGACTGTAAGTGACAAAAAAAACAAAATATCAGAGCCAAAAAAGTGTCAAGGTATGGTATTCGACAATGATGGGGTTTACTGCAAAAGGAATGACTTTTACCCCTCCTAAATAACAAAAACAAAATTCTTGAAAATATTTCTTTGTTGAATTTGTGTTCAATTTATTATGTAGTGTTCCGTTTTGTATAGTTTAAAATTAAAAATACATTTTTTTAGTTCAATCAACAGTATGTCTCCGGACTGAGATACAAGAGGAAAATATTGTTTATCTTTGATTTGACGCCAAAACTGCAAAGGAAAAACATTTTTTGCTTCACCTGAAACGAGCAAATCTATAATTAAAACTGACTCAGTGGAAAGAAAAGTTCATTTTTTGGACTTATAGTTATTTTTCTCTGCGTTTTAAATCTTTTCACATTGGCGACTTTACTTTTTTGACAACGATGTCACTTTGACTAATAAGTTTACGCAAGTTAAATAACAAAAATGTGGGTGAAAAATATAACTCAAAAAAAAGCTTTAGTATAAAAAATACAGTCATTTTTAACAACAATCATCATTATTCAGTTAATTAATTAATTGTCAAAGTGACATCGTTGTTAAAAAAATAAAACCGCCAATGTGATGGGAGGTATACTCTTTTTCACATTAATGTGCATCAAGTAGGTTGTAGAAGTCTATATGAATCTTTAATTTAAAGTCCGATTTACACAAAAAGTGTCATTAATGTCATTCAAAACAAATTTAATCACATCAATAATGACAAAAATCTTTATGTTTGCTATCCTATGTTGATTACGTTGTTAATTTTAACTATTTTTTGGTACATGGGGTACACATTTATTTAAAAAAATGATTTTTAGGGAAGATTGAGTTTAGGATTGTTTGAATTTTCGCATGGTTGCCACCTTAAAATGATCCCTTTCAAACTACTTCGATGCACATTAATATGAAAACGAGCATATAAAGCAAAGAAAAATTATTCTAAGGCCAAAATCAAAAAAAAAATTACATTTCTTCCTAATGAATCAGAATAATTAAGTTTTAATTACAAATTTGCTCAGTTTTTCAAATGTTTTTCCTTTAGTTTTAGTGTAAAATCAAAGATAATTTTTTTTCCTCTTGTATACTCAATACTCTAATACTCTTTAAAAACAAAAATAACCAAAAAAAAGCTTACATGATGGAGAATTTTGGTAATCATTTTTAAATTTTCTGAACAAAATTACATAAGGATACAGGTATTTTTATCAATGTTAGAATAAAAAATGAAAAAATGTCGCCTAGTGTTTTCGATAATTTTTTTTTTGTTTGGTGTATTGGAATACTTTCGTTTTTATTTTTTTTCTAATTAAAGGTTTTGTATTCAACAAGACTGTATTTTTTGGTTTTAAACTATAATTTTAATATTAAGGGTTTTAATCAACATTGTGGCTTAATTAAAACAAAAACAAGCTATCAAAAAAACAAAAAACCTAATTCTTTGTTGTTTTATTGTTGTCTTGAGCACAATACATATTATGCTACTCAATAAAAAATCATTTATCACTTGACTATTCTCCCGCTTGAACATTACGTGTCATAATCATTTTGCACCGGAAAATAAAATCGAATTTTCCAACTTCTCTCGCGTTATTTAACGACGTCGTAACTCTTCAAACAAGTTAAGAACTTCATTGAGCATAAAATCAATTCTAATGTAATAACTCACCTGCATCTCCTAATCCAAAACACTGCTAGAGCTAAAGCTCCTAAACCTAGCACGACTAACGAAGCCGAAACCTTGGAAAAATGCAAATTTCATTTATCAAAATTAAAAAAGCTCGTTTGCACTTACCCACGGATGGGTGTTGGAGGTATGCTGCGGCTTTTTGGACACCACTTTCATCTTTCATGTTTTAAGAGGATAAGGGATTGTGGTTGAGGGAAAAAGCTACATGTCGCCAGCAACAGGATTTTGATAAAGGCTTGTGTTAACGATGGAAATGAGTGACACAAAAGCTCACTTGGCGAATCTAACACCGGAACTGAAATAAACGCCTGAAAGCACGCAAATTGCACACACGCATGGTATCACTATTGCCGTGAATTGGAATCAGTCGATAAACAAGAGGTGGACGCTTGCGTATTACTTGGGAGTTGGATCAGACGCGCGGGAATTCGGGACAGGGAAACTACAGACGAGTGAAAACTGGGTCACAGTCGCGAATGACGTCACGGGATCAGGAAAGTGGAAGCTTAAAGGGGTCGCTTTGTTTACGGAAAATTGAGTGACGCAGTTAGGGCGCATTGTTTCTACTTAATTGCGAGGAGTTAGCAGAGTTTATGACACGCGAAGAGACTGCTTTCAGTTTTGTTGATGGATTATAGCTAAATTTTACTTTAATGAAAACATTTAAAGTCTATTTCAGTCTTCATTAGTCACTTTATTGCAGTCTAATAACAGCAAGATAACTGTTTACAACTAATTCCAAGTAAAGATAGGTTTAGTTTATCCCGGCGCATCCACCAAATATTATAGATAATATGAAATATCGACTATTTTTATGAGTTGAGCTAATTTTTTTGAATTAATTAATACAGCTAACTGAATATTAAAATGAATATTATAACTAATAATATAATTTATAATTTTTTCAATATTTTTTAAACAAAAACACAATTAAACCCGTCACACCAAACTTTTATTTGAAACCCAACGTGTTTCAACCACAAAGTGGTCATCCTCTGGTGAGAATAAAAACTTGGTAATCTTAAAGATAAAGTGGGACCTTTAGAAAAGTCGGGGATTTATTAAATTAATTGTAAAGATTGTGATCAAAAATATATTGGGCAAACACGCCGATCAGTTAACACTAGGTTTAAAGAACACATAGCTCATTTAAGATATAACAGATTTGAAAAATCAAGTGTGGTCCAACATATTTTTGAAAAAGACAATAGAATCGATGAAACTAATGTAATAATTATTAGGGTAGTCAATAATTGTAAATTTCTTGAGTCTTTAAATATTTAAAAATAGAGATAAGCTTAGACAACGGCTCTCTACTTGTTAGTTGGGAGTAGGGAAAGTGAAAGTCGGAAAAATTAGTATATAAGGCATTAACATTGTTAAATTAGTAGTTTTTATTCTCACCTGAGGATGACCACTTTGTGGTTGAAACGCGTTGTGTTTGAAATAAAAGTTTGGTGTTTGGTGTTTTTGTTTATCGTTTCCATACCAAGAAGATCCAATAAGAAGTTCAATATTTTTTCATTGATAAAAATACCTAATTAATTACACCTAGAGAATTTTGTTCAAAAAACCTAAAAATGATCACCAAAGTTCTCCATCACGTAAGGTTTTTTTGTTATTTTTGTTTTCATCTTTAAAGAGTGCTCAAAGTAATCAGTGATCAAAGTAATCACTAATCACTCATATTCACGATATAGACTGAAATTAAACTGACTAAATTAAAAAAAAATGTTTTAAACCAATTTTAATTTTAAACTACACAAAATGGAACACTAGACAATAAATTAAACACAAATTTAACAAAAAATTATTTTCAAAAATTTTGTTTTTTATGATGAGTAAAGTCTTCCTTTTGCAGATACCTGCAGAAGTTGCCCATCATTGTTGAATTCCATAATATATACCTTAATACTTGTTTGGCACTGATATTTTGATGAAAATGCTGTTGTTTATCACGTCCAGTCCTTAAGTTTTATACAAAGAAATCAAATCGAAATATGCAGTTTTAGAAACATTCGGTGTTTTACATTTTTCCAATAGTTTTCAGATTAATAAAGAATAATTTTCATATCTATTACTGACAAGAAATCTGTAAACTTACACACTTTTTTGGTTTCAAACAGCTAATTCTAAGGTATTTAATTTTTAAGCAAAAACTTCATTACGGATCACTTTCCAGATTTGATGTCCTACGAAAATTTCTTCCCAGATTTTCGAAAAACTTATTTTAGGGCACTTTTGTCTTAGATACATAAAGGATTGATTGCTTAAACGGAAAATAAATTGATTTTTGATTTACAATTACAAATCAGTAGTAAAGGTTTAAATTTAAATTTATTTCCGATAATAATACTCTAGGTTAACCTTTATCAAAAAAAAATATTAATCAAAAATGTGACGTGTTAAAAGTTTTTTATTTTTATCACTAGTTATAAATCAAATGGCGTGTTTTAAGACTGGTACCAAAAATTAACTGTGCTTGTTAGAAAAGTAATTTCGCTTATAGTGTTATTATTGCACAACTACAAAAAAAGCCAAATAGCATTCGTTATATAAATACAAGTAAAACGTTTCAGTTGTGAGATTTTAAACCAGCTTATTTTAATGATACAATTTTTCTCAAGCAGTTGCTTTTCAGAAATAAATAAAGAATTACTAAAAAAATACAATGTTTTAACAAAGGCTATCTTGTTTAAGCATAAAATAACTTTTACTATTTTGTTACTTTAGTTATTTACTAGATTTTTTTTATTTGTGACACCAAGAGGCCCAAAAGAAAATAAGAAAAAATAATACAAAGTATTGTTCAAGCATAATTTCTATTGAAGACAATGTTGCAAAAAGTTTAAATGTATCTAATATCAAAGGCGATAAAACAAAAACATATGTTCATGAGCTTTTATATAAAATTATCGATTTCTTGTTAAATAAAGCTACATTATCAAACTTGACAAGGTGATTTATTACGAGTTTAGATCCAAACAGATGTCAGGTATTTAGCAGTTTTAAATAGTAACAAGTAAATGCTTTTGCTACTATTATGGTAGTTTAACTTGAATCAAGATATTTTAACACAAGACGCTAGTATTACTGGTTGCATACCTCAAACCCTTGAAATGCAATAAAATCATTAATAAATAAGATTTTTTCAAGAAATATCAACGAAAAACAATTCACTTAATCGAATATGTATTACCAAATATATTTAGTCAAACTGAGTCGGGCAAAAACAAACAATTATATTTTTTTGTGTTTTATTGACTATCTACAAATATTCAAAAAACGTATCACAATATTTAAAACAATTTTACACTCACTATAACTAAATAAATATAATTACAAGTACATTATAAAGATTTGTATAAAAAATCGTATGAAAAAATAAAAAAATATTAAAAATTCTGAAAAAAAAACGCTGGATTAATCGACAAACCGTCATGAGAGTGATTTGGCAGAAGGCGTTTCCTCGATTTATCCCCCGCTTTAGATAGCATACTACACAATGGCACTTTTATGTACATCCGTTCAAGGCACATTTACAAGGAATACAACGTTTAATGGAAAAAAATGGAACATGAGATGCGTAAAATAATGAAATAATGAAGTCGAAGTCTATCAGGACCCTCTCCTATGACTTATGAAGGGAAACAAAGTATCTTTTCGATATCTTACAAGAGCAAGAGTCTACAAGACCAACACCCAAGCCGAAACATCTGTCGATAAATCGGCCACGTGTTTGTTTTCATACACACAGAATGAGCTGTTATGGCAAAACGTAAATCCCAGGATAAACAAATGAATCAACGCACCGATCACAGAATATTTACAAAATCGGACTTGAAAAGAGCTAACTTGATTAACCCTCAAAGTCGCTAAATTACAGAGATCTTTTTATTTTCTTTTCCGTCATTTTGTTCAAATAACAGTCTCCCCTCCAGTCCGGATATGGTGCAGTCTCGGCTTCCGGTGCGGATGCGATCTCGTCGAGTGTCTACTACTCGTACTCAAAGTACTCGGCACGGGGTGCGCCGGGACGTACCTCAACACCGGCATAGTCTGTACCTTCACCGGCAGTTGTTTCCTGGGGCCCAAACGCCGCAAAACCGCCCTCCACGCCGTCACAGTCTTCATCGACCAAATCCAGAAAACAGTACTAACTCCTATGAAAAGTGACATGAGATGGCGCAAAAGAAAGGCCCACAAAGCTGGTTTGGATTCGCGGTTGAGCCACTGGTCGCGGTTATTGTACTCGTAGTAGATACTGGCCATGACGCAGAACGTGGGGATGGCGTAGAGGGTGCAAACTGCGCCTAGGAAATCGCTCTCTTTGCGAGGTGTCGCTGCGGTTAAAGGTGCCGCGGCTGAGGGGCGCGGCTTGCGGATCACGCGCACGCAGCCTAGGATGAGGAAGAAGATGCCTAGGATGAAGTAGATGAAGTCAGGGATGAGCACCAAGCCGAGGAGTGTCGCCGAGTTGCGGTTGCCGATATAACAGGTCCCTGTAAAAAAATAAAATAAGAAGCACCATTTACCATTTTTTTTCAATATTATAGATATAGTACGTCTATAATGAGAATTATTTGAAAACTGAAATTAAGAGTCAAAAATTTTTTTTCAACACTGCCACTTTTTGACTTTTTTAAGACAAAGTCGGTGCACAAAATTGAGGAAATTAGAGGAAATCATGACGCAATCAACAAAAATCGGAAGAAATCTGAGAATATTATAAGTAAATGAAAAGAATTCACTGAGAAATGCATATGTGCAACTAAGGTTTTGCAACATGCTGACATTAGCGGCATTTTTATAAATATTTTTTTTCTTATTGTAATTTTTTTTCTTTGTAATTATTTATATTAAAATGTTATGTTTCCATTATTATTAATATTAATAAACAAAATTTTTTCTTACTGAAATAGGTATAAATTTTTTGTCTTTAAATTTTTTCAACTACATAATAAAGAAATGAAATTGTAAATTGAATAAAATTGTAAATTTATCTTCAAAAAAGTGTATTGTGTTGATTCATACTTATTGAGATTATTAACATTATATACATAGATACAGGTTGAATATAAAGTATGGAACCAAGCGGTTTTTTTAATCATTCGATTCCAAAAAATAATAATTAATATAAATTACAGTAATATAAAAAATGTGATCGTACTTTGAGTTAAGCAATTCGTTTTTTGTCAAAATTGCAATTTATGTAAATTTATTTTTTTAATTAAATATAAAGTAGATAGTTGTAAATCTTAAATCGTAACCTTCATGAGAAAAATGGTTTTATAGTGGGTTGCCATTAAAAAAAAGATAAAAATTTTTGTACAACTCAAAAACAAAACAAAATTTCGAAAAATTTTATTCTTGATAAAACATCACATTTGTGTAGTACTTTATCATTCATTAATTAGTTTTTCAAAAAAATAAATAGTTTAAGCAAAACATGTTTGGTTCCATACTTTTTATTCACCTGGTAGGTATAACCACCTACGAATTTTATTAAAAACTCTTTAAAAATTTGGAAACAAACTAACAAAAATTTGGATTTTTCGCTCTCTTTATTATTAGAAACCGAGATTGAAAGCCCATCAAAAACAAATATCACAAACACAAATTCTTAAAATGATGATTAATTAATAATTATTATTACCTGGAGACGAAAAACACTTAAATCCACAAAGATTAAATTTATTTAATTACAAAATCGCTAAGAATTATTTTAAAAACTTTTTATCAAAATTTTATGGTTAAAATATTTCTATCGTCTACTGGCTGTATGAAGTACTCATTTTTTAAATTTCTACTCTTATTTGTTTTGGAGATATATTTACTTGTTTTTTTTTTAAATAGTATGCGGAATCGATTTTGAAATTTATGAAATTAACATTTTCGTTAACTCAGTAATGGTCGAAAAATAAAAAAAAAAATGGAAGTACATTTTCAAAATTTCCTATTTTGCATTTTACAAAAAAAGTTCAAAATCTCTCCATTTACTTTCCGGCAAGAATGAGAACAGAACAAATTGAGAACAGAAAAAAATCTAAACAAAAAAAATCTGAGTAAGTACAAAATTTATTTACCGATTTACCTACTCGTCGTTTTTTTGTTGACTTCAAATTATAATTTTTAGTGTTTCTGAAAGAAATTGCGTTGTTACATGTTTTAAATTATTTTTTTGCGCGATTGAGGTCTATTTAATTGTTTACCACGTCTGTTTACAAAACAGTAAGTTGTATTTACTCGTTGCAATCCCAAACTCATCGGTAAGTATTTTGTTTATTGTTGCTAAGTCGGTAAGCATTTAAAAATGTTTTACAACGGCAATATGCTTTCCCGTTCTAGAACAGTTTTTAGATATTTTATTGAAAAAAAACTAACAAAAATCAATCGCACAAAAAATGTCATAAGCATCACGAACGTTAAGGACTTACTGATCTCAGACAACATTTGTCTTCGATCGGTAAAATGTCCTTACCGTTCTTGATGCTTAATATACTATTTCGCCGATTTACGCATTGGAAGTTACAGCCTTTTTTATTTCGACTTCTTAATTATAATACAAACGTTTCTCAGATTAATAATTTTTAGGAGAGAATTAATTTTTTCGATTAAAACAACTGATGAAACATGTATGTGGTAAGTCTGTAATAGTATATTACATAACGAGCACGGAAAGTGATAAATAACGCACAAGCGGGAAAGTTACGCACAAGGCGTTAGCCGAGTACAAGCAATCCCGCGGGTGCGTTAGACACTTTCCTGCAAGTTTTGTACACTATTTTTCCTACGACCATAAATAATTTTTTTCTTACGAACAATTTTTTTCCATAACGATTTATTTTTTATAATGGAAACAAAAAAAAATACGTTAAATGAAAAAATACAAAACATTTGAGTGTGAATTGTGCGTTAGATTTCTAACACACAGCGCGAAAACAAATCGCACAGGTTTCTGACGTCGTACGATATTGCCAATTTTCGCGCATATGTAATTGTGCGTTATGATCTAGTTTCGTATATGGTCGTAGGAAAAATTATATTTCACATTTTTATCAACAACTAAAAATTCAACAAATATCAGCGTTCGTCATTAAAATCCTCGATTTTTCCTCTGTGCATGTTTAGATAGTTTCTATTATTTCTAGTAATGCCTAAACATTAATTCAACCCTGATAATAATTATTGTTAAATACTGACAACATCAGGACGCATCTGTGGCAAAATGAGTTATTATTTTAAAAAATAATTAATACTCCTATTATTTTTTAACGTCAAAAAATCAGTCAAGTAAAACCAAACCATTGTTGATTTTGGGGAATTTTCATATGTAAATCGTACTTAATCCGGCGCAAGATGATCACGTCGATAAACTCTTTGTTCTGGTATTCCGTTGCGAGATTTAATCGCGTTCCTAATTAAATCCGAGTCTTTTTAATTGGAGCCGGTCCTGGTCTGGATTGTCTCAAAATTTATTCAACATGGGGGCCGCAACAAGTCGTGAGTAATGCGGCGCGCGGTCCAGACAAAGCCTCCCAAGATCACGGCAGCTGTTTTGCATGCGAGCCGATTCGCGCTTGTTACGAACCGGAGGATGGTGACAGTCGAGTAGGCCGTGAATGCACCGCACCGCACCATTAATCACGAACACAACCAGCGACCCACAAAATGTTCCAAGGGTCACTTTGATGCTCCTTATCTGATTGTAATTCGCTTTCAACAAAGAACAAGACCAAGATGCGGCCACTTTGGTATTTATTAAAGATTTCAATCGGGGATTAGAAGACCAGGGGGCGTGGCTACAGGATATAGTATAAAATATTTACACACAAAAACAGCGAATCCGGGATATCTACAGGTGACCCCAAGTTAACGACATGATTTTTTTTACGATAGACCCAACAATGAGGCACATTATAAAGATATTTCTATTCATATACAGGTGTCCCAAATAAGATACACAACTAAGTTCTGTTTTTTTTTTAATGAAAACCACAATTTTTTATTACATATCTGGATTTTGACACTAAATTGTCAATATAACGCACCTTGATTTCTTAGACTAACCTGCAATAGTTTTTGACTTATGCCAATTTATATGTCAAAATTGCATCGTGCTTAAAAAATTTATAACTTCAAAACTATTCAAGACAACTTAACCATTTTTTTCCAGTCGATTCCTTAAGCTTTAGCACATCTTTTGAAAAAAAGACAAACTCGGAGTCGATGTTCCATCGCCTACTACGATTTTTTGAAAATGACAAAATACAAATGGCAATAACTCGATTTTTTTAAATACAACACTCTATATTTTATTGCATCATTACATGGCATTTTTTATGAGTTTTTGTCGATGTAGGGTTTATGGGGTTTACTTTGTAAAATTTGTACGATTTTTGCAAAATAAGAAATGTTGATGGTTTTTTCTAAAAAAAAAAAAAGAATCGAGTAGGCTGCTGTAGTAAAATTTGACACTTTCGTGTACTTTTCATAATTGTACACATCTAATTGTCAATAATGAATTTCACTCGTGAAGAATTAGTGTATATGGTTTACTGTACAAGGTTAGTCACGAGAGGGTTATTTCTGAATTTGTTTTTGCCGCAACCCATTATACATATTGCAACAACTTCTTGATTTCAAATTTTGAAAATAATTATAACTAAATCCACGATAGCTGTTATTAGTCTTGTCTCTGTGACATTATAGTAAAAAAAATATCTCTCAAACGATGCGACATGTTTTGTTATGTTTACCAACCGACTAGGAGCATGTTTAGAAGTCGATGGTAGACACTTCAAACACCTTTTATATTAACTTAACTTGCTAATTTATATGTTGAATTTTGATTAAATATAGGTTATCTGTCAATCTGACATTTCTGGCAAATTTATCCAACTTACTTTGATTTGTAATTTTAAAGAAATAACATATTTAATTTAGTAGTTTGTGAGATTGGTATTGTTGGTTGCGGCAAAAAAAATTCAGAAATAACCCTCCCGTGAATAACCCTGTATTGGTGAAGATCACAGAAATCCTTTATTAGCAAGCAAAATGTACCGTCAGAAATATCTTATCCTAATCATTCCATTCAGTTGATGGAGCAATGCTTGCTAGAGTTCGGAGCTCATTTAGTAAAAGACTAGCAGCTTGTGTGGAACATGACGGTGACCTATTTGAACAGTTTTTATAAGTAACCTTTTCTCAAAATTTTCACATTGTTTTCTGTTAATCATTCTTTCCTATTGTTGTAAAGATTACTAAAATTGTTTCCTTTATTGTGATGTACTCCTGTTTCTATTACAATTTCATTTTATTGAAACACATTTTTTTCAGAATTGCATAGATGTGCGGCCTACTCGATTTCTTTTTTTCAGAAAAAAAACATCAACATTACTTATTTTGCAAAAATCCGATAAATTTTGCAAAGTGGACCCCATAAATCCTATATCGACAAAGAGCTCATAAAAAAATGCCATGCAATGATGCAATAAAATATAGAGTATTGTATTTGAAAAAGTCGAGTTATTGCCATTTGTATTTTGTCATTTTCAAAAAATCGTAGTACGCGATGGAACATCGACTCGGAGTTTGCCTTTATCTCAGAAGACGCGCTAAAGCTTAAGGAATCAACAGGAAAAAAGTTGGTTAAATTATCTTGAATAATTTTGAAGTTATGAATTTTTTGTGGGTCTATGTACGATGTAATTTTGACACATAAATTGGCATAAGTCAAAAACTATTGCAGGTAAGTTTAAGAAACCAAGGTGCGTTATATTGACAACTTAGTGGCGAATCCAGAAATGTAATAAAAAATTAAGGTTTTCATTTAAAAAAAACAGAACTTAGTTTCTGTATCTTATTTGGAACACCCTGTATATGAATAGAAATATTTTTATAATGTGCCTCATTGTTGTATCTATCCTTAAAAAAAAAACATGTCGATAACTTCGATAGAAAAAAAGTTGTTGAGCATGCACGCACCCCTGGTTCACCCTGTATAAGTGAATCAATTTCTGTTCATTTAAGTCTGTCCAATTACTGGTCGGCCTCCAGGCGCGAGATAAAGATTACTCTTGACGGCAAAAACGGCAGACGCGCCAAACATGCGTTAAAACGCCACATTCGACATTCCGTGCGATTTTCAGCGGTGCTAATAGCTCCATCGACAGGAAGAAGCCGCAAAAACTAGTTCTCGGGTAATATCAGTCAGTAGGGCGTCCGAAGGGTGTCACTTGGACTTACCAGTGAGTTCGTCTGGGTCCACATCCCTCCGCACCAAGGCGGCGACAGTCTGCGCTGCCGGCAAGCCCCAAGCACACACATGCAATATCGATCCCAAGCTGCGGAGCTTTTCCGGAGGCCAAGAAAGTCCCACACGTGCGACCCACCAAGCACATAAACAGACCCACCTGGAATAGAATAACAAATCAAAAATGGAATTAGGCGACCTCCCATGGGAAGTATGTATGTACATCAAAGCAAGCCGATTTTGATAACCACAATTCAAGTGGCTTCAATTCACTCGCGAAAAAATTAATATGAGTGATAAGAGGCTTTGACGGCGACTTTATCATCCAATTAAGTATGGGATTTAATTAGCATTGGTCTACACACAAGGTGTCAAACACATCGTTAAGTAAAGATAATTCAAGCAGCTTCAAATATTTGATTTGGCAGTCACCTGCCTATTGACTTCTGTTGACTTATTGGGAAAAAGGGGTAACGGACGAGTCACTGAACTGAAAACAAATTATTTGAGTCAATAACTCGCTAGGGAGGTTGGGCCTTTTTCACGCTTTGGCTCAGTTTCATTTGAAATCTAATTTTACGACGATGAATACATAATTAGATCAATCGACAAGGTTAGGGCTTTTATCAAATAATTGTGCATTAAGTACCGATTATGATAAGGAAAATCAATATTATTTATATCGCGGCGTACCACACGAATCTATTTTAAGACCTCTTATTTAGATAATTTTTCTCGGATGCTCATGTCACCAAAGCGTTGAAAATATCCAGTAATGAGACAATTTCTTTTTCACAATAGAAAATTTTGACATTTATTAGTGGTTTTCAGGTTGCTATTTCTAAAAAAAGTATTGAACTTTATATATGGGCTTTAAATCCATTGCACTAGTAATATATTTTTGGTGTTAATTTTCCGATACAATAATGCCAGCAGTACAGTGGGGACACAGAAAACTGGACAGATGTGTCATTCAGTTGTCAAAACTTCTAAACTATACCTTAGGTACTCATAACCAAGCTTTTAATGCTTGTCTCCATTTCTGTACGATCAAATTCACCGTACTTTTTGGAATCCCCAAAGTCACTTGCCGCTGCACATCCCTCTTTGAATAAAAGCTATTGCTCGAGATTTTTTTAAAACTGATACAGCTGACATTTTCCAAAAATTGATGTATGTCAAAGTTAATTTGACAGTTTTTTTAATATCAATCATATTGACGGCAAAAATGCATTTACATTAACATTTTTTAAAATGACAATAAAAGACTGCCCAGGATTCCGTGTCCCCAATTGTACAATTTTTACAATTATTTTGATTTCTTGTCATTTTGTTAGCTGGCTACAAATTTTTGATCAAGGTGGCCTGTAACTGAAACATTAAATTGGCAACAATAAATAATAGAGACAAAAGGTATGACACTTGTGATCATTTGTATTTCCTCTGTGTTGCAATGTTTACAACTTAATTATAAAAAGATCAATTTCAAAAGGATAGGCCACAGGCACGTTATGAGTATTAAATTAGAGTACAGTCGCGGCCATTGAAAAGTAATACACTTGACAAATAAAAAAATTTGGCTTTGTAAATTTTCCCTTAAAACTGACAATCACTGTCATGTTTAAAATGTCACTAGAATCTTCTTCTTTGCTTTAAGGACAGTCATTTTGTTCACATTTATTTCTTCTACGATGACTCGTATAGGAACATTGTCCCTTAATCTTGTAATAAAAATAGATTTCTGTACAAAGTGACGTTTTCAGTGACACTGACAATCACGACGAAAAAATTACATTATGCAATTTTTTAAATTTTGAGTGTATTACTTTTCAATGACCGCCACTGTACATACAAAAGTATCGGATCTCGAATGGTGATATTGTCGTATCAACAAAACATTACCACCTAGGATTTAGGGATATTCGTAAGTATGTTTATTTTTGGTGACAAACAAAAAATATCGTAACTAGTGTCAAAAATTTAGGTTAAATCACCTGTCAGCTTGTATGGATAACTCAATTGATAGTTGACTGCGGGTTGACAAAATACATCAACCGTCAACAACAATGGGTAATTCAAAATTACTTCTGTAAATTCTAGTTGCAAACAACATGAAAAACGTAATCTTTCTAAAAGGTCAAATCCTAGGTAATAATTTCATGTTGATAAATCTGTAGAAAACTAAGCATAAAAATGAACTAGATTTGTTGAATTTAATTTATTGTTGAATTTGCTAGTTCGTTAAATGTTTTTTACACCATAAGACACAAATTGCTTATTTTTTTTTTTAATGTTGCAAGATCTACCGTTTCTGCTAACTACATTCAAGAATACCTGATCTGAACGACCCAAAATCTAATCTTTGAAGAGCTATATCTCGTGAAAAAAGGCTCAAACATTTTTTGCCATAAAAACTTGGTTGGATGTCCTTTAGCACCTCCCAAGAGATGGTCCGACACTTTTGAACCATCCTGTATCATCAATTCTTCCATTTTTAAATTTTTGTAAATCATAATAGAGTGATAAAAATTAAGTATGTACAAAAGTAATAACTAAAGATAGTAATCACAAAATTTAGTTCAAAAAAACTATTATGCAATGTATCATTGCAAATACTATGTCACTACATGTAGGTGTTCTTGTTTTTCAAATGGTTTTGGCGTGGATTTTGGCATGGTATGGTGGCATAACAAGGGCATTGTAGTGGAATCTGCATTTGGTATCTTTCCATGCGGCATTCAAAACAGATCTCGGCGGTGTTTGAAAGCAGATTTACGAGATACAGTTGGCTGGAGGGAAAGCAACAAAACACGACCAAAACAAACGATCTCGTCGAGTTAATAAGATGCTCCATTGTTCTGCAACGCAACGGGCAACTCACTTCGAACGCCTTCGAATTCTTACCTGACTCATTCTTAACTAGATTACGTTTACAAGGCACTAATGCACGTCCGATCTGTCCGTCCTTTCCCCATTAACTCCGAAGATATGTCTGAGGTGTCGACGTGATGGAATAGCGGCGAACACATGGCCTGTGCAGCATTTATTTTTTTCCTCTTTTAAATATTTATTTTCGCTTGCGTGGGGACGTGAATCTGGCGGAAATGGACGGATTTTATGCCCAAATCTCACGTTTTGCTAGATTCGAGTGTGAAAGCGAGGTAGGTTATTGGATGCGATGACTGGACGAATTCAAGTAGGGGCAGATGCTGCTCGTTAGCTGGCCGATGGTAAATATTGAACTGTCAAAAGAGCGACCCTTTTCCAAACAGACCGGACGAGAAAATTGTTTACAGTGGCACTAAAACGGTGGCTATAAACGGCCATTATACGGTAGGCGGGGGCTAAAATAAATAAGCGCGTCGGACGGGTTTATATCGCTTGTAAATATATTTTCTCAGACGATTTTACCATTAATTTGATAAAAAAAACTGTACAAATATTTGAAACTTGCTTCACTTAACAAATATCAAATAATAGTGAGTCACGAGAAGTAATCCGAGAACAGATTCCTTTAGAAATTGCACTCGTGATACGTTATTGTTACCACAGTCTGGAAGGATAATACTCAGGGAAACCACAACAACCACAGGAAAACAGAGAAGCTGTAAAAACAAGAATAGGAATGCGGCAGCTTTAGTGTATTATTTATTATAGGAACTGCTTTTTCCAATGTCGAATTATTTTACAATGTAGATGTAGCCAAATAAAAATATAAAACGATAAAATGTGAAAATTAATTGGATACGATGATTAAAATTAATGACAAGTCCTTATTTCTCGTTTCAAAGTTTCTCTATTTCGAATAAATAAGTCGGCTTTTCAGCAAAAATGTGAAATTTATGCAGTATGATATATGTGGGAAGAAATAATGAAAATAAAAATTAATAGTAATAAATACACTAATAAAACAACATTGGACCCAATAATGAAAATACAAAAATTTAATTTAACATTTCTTGATGATTTTAATAATATATAAAACATTATATCGATGGAAAAAGCATAAAGTAGTTTTATTTTTAGAAAATTCCAAATATCGATGTCAAAACCATAAATAATTACAAAAAATTACGTATTAGATAACAGTTCATTTGATAGTCAGTATCTTAACATACCTATATCTCCAATACAATTTTTGGCCAGAGTGGCCTTTGATTATAAAATTAAATGGCTTATATCTTTTGTCTCTATTTATCAGTCTCGCCAACTTATTTTCAGATTCAAAGGCTACTTTATTACACAAATAGGAGGGACTTTAAAAAATGAATACAAATAATACTTTTTTGTCAAATGAAAAAACTTGTTTTTATTCATTAATTTGTGTAAGTAATATACCTAAATCTGAGATTTTTTAGATCAAAAATTTGAATAGATATAATTATGTTTTTTAAATTACATAATGAATGTTGTTATTCTTATTTTTTCTTACTCTTTTCTGTTTACAGATCCACTAACTTTTTGATAAATAATTGGTCAAAAATTTAAAAAGATATAGTTATTTGTTATAGACGATAAAGAAATTGTTTATCTACGAGTGCAAAAGTTAGGTTTACGAGTGACGAAGTCACGAGTGGACTTTTTTCACGAGTAGATAAACAATCTTTATCGTCGTGTATAATATTTCGTTTTATTTTATACTCACCTACCAGAATTTCTTGAATATAAACAGTAGAGAAAAATTACTTTATTTCACTAGACGATAAAACACTACTTTATCTACTAAAATTAGTTGATAAAATATAAACAGTAGATAAAAATTACTTTATTTCTCTAGTTTAGACGATAAAAGACTACTTTATCTACTGAAATTAGTTGATGAATTTGTTGTTGAATTTTTGCCATTGTAATCAAAACATTAAAAACAAAATTAAATTTTTTGTCGTTATTCATCGACTTTTCGGAAAAATAGTTTCAAGAAAAATTAAATTTAGCAAAGCAATTTACGCTGCGGGTGCTCTAAATTGAGACATAAAAATTTCTTCTCAACCGTTGTTTTATTTTTTAATTCGTTGCTCGAAGGTATTGTTTTTTTCGAGAAGACTTATAGCCGGCTTAGCTCGTGCAACCTAATGTGGAGCTAACGTCATTCCAAATAACGAATCACTTGAAATTACAAATGGAAGAGTTACATAATTATAGCCACAACCTGTAGATGTAGATTTTTAAAATGCTTCAACTCGAACATGTTGTAATAATCTCTTTATAAACTGATCAACATATTTTACTAGCTGCTGAAATGAATAACAACAAGAAATAAAATCATCTTGGATAAATTGTTAATAACATTGATGAGCAGTTGGCGAGATTGAAAAGAAAAGGTAAAAAGCTTCAGTCAAGATGAAAAATTAGAGAGGCAGAATTCCGAGAAGAGCATATTAAACATCTGTTGTCCACGACACAACTTTTTGATTTTTAGATGTATCTCGGATAAGAAGATGGTAAAAAAAAGTTTAGATTTTCAATTACTCTGCATGCTTATTTCTTTGCGCGATCGAATGCAGATTTCGCTGTCATTCGAAAGTTGTAAGTCGTCATTTCTGGCTAATTAATAGTGAGGGCTGAAAAAAGTCCGACAGCTTCGTTTTACCGATGGTATCGTGATGATAAACGAGCGGTCGGTTTTGACACGTGATTGGTTCTCTCAGCAGGATAACTCCCTAGCACGAGGTAAACGTACTTTCCTCGTACGCGCATTGGACCCAATCTGCATTAAACAAGAATCCAATTAACAGTTCCGAAGAGGGAAAAACGACGAAAGCGTTTAACATAAAAGACACATCGGCCACAAAGCCGTGGCCCAACAAAGCCGCACCGAGACATTTAAATAACGATGCTGCGTGAAGAGATAGGATCGGGGGCCGACCGGACAACAAATCATTGTTAGAGACGCCACGGACAACCTGTTGAGAACGTACCTGCTTAACGCCTTGTTAAAGTCGGGGGGCAAAAAACCAACCATGAATATTTTACACTTGTTAGAAAGCTCTGCGATGGAACGCACCCAAGACGGGCTTTATTCAACCGGATGGTAAATCAAACAAGCCAATTCGCGTGCGAACCGTACCATAAACGCAATTATGGTGCATTCGAGCGATTCGGGATCGCCGCAAGGGTGCACTCGCCGACCGATGTTGTCAATTCCAATACGCGCTGACCGGGAGTAACCCACGACACGTACAATAAATTCACGTTTTTAAACAACAATCCGGATAGTAATGGAGCACTAAACATGTCGATAGATTTCCATAAGACGTTTATAGCATACGTAACGACTCAAGTGCGTTTATGGCACGCAACGGAGAGATTTATTAACATTATAAAACTATTAAATAGTCGCGAAAGTGAGCAAAATATGTGATTGCAAGGCGATTTATTTATTGGATTCAGTTTAACTAATAAAACAAAATCAAATTCATTTTAAAGTTCTCAAGTCATAGACTTTTTACCCCGTCCGGTCCCATAATAATTGAATAATATAGCCCATTTGTAGCCATTTAACTTCGGAGAACATTTATGGCAATTGGCCCCGAGGTGCCATAAACATGTCAATTATGGCTGCAATCTCGGTCATAGTGCAACAAAGTAGACAACATTGAGAGAAGAAAGCTGAATTTAATATTGGTTTTAATATTGAAAAGATTTTGTCAAAATCGCACTTGAAGTTTTGAACGTGGTCTTTTTGTACTTCAACAGATCAATATCATGCAACAGATTTTGGTCTGCAAACATTTCATATAAATAAACTACATTTAATCTTTAAGATTTCAACAGTAGTTTGGAATGATAATTGATTTTCGCACTGCTTGTGTTAATTTTTGTTGACTGTTTGCAACATTGCAGAACCATCTCGTTTACCACAATACTTCTGAGCGATCAATCAATGACTGTAACTCCTTATGTTGATATGTGCAATATGGATTTCATACAATTTCATTCTCGGAAAGACAACACAAAAAAAATAAGTTAAAGTTCGAACTTTACATGTATAAACATCACATGTTATGCGATAATTTTGGGGTGTATACAGAGGATGCGCCAGAACTCGCGCCCCAGAGAAAAATGTCATGTAAGGTAAAATACTAGTAACATGGAAAAATGTTAAAAAAATTCGAAGTTATGAGAGTTTAAATTTTGCACTTTGTCTATTTATTTCTCTTAGAAAAATAATTTTCCATTTTTTTTTGCTACAAGCTATTAAGAGAAGAAACAAGAAAGCTGTATCCTAAATTGTACTCTGTTCAATGTTATTTGTGGCTTTTATTGGCAAAATTTTTGTACCTTTACTAAATAATTGTAAAAAAACATATACAAGATCATCAGTATCATTAAATAGATAGAATAATATTTAATTTTTTTCCATGTTCCTGGTATCTTACTTAAAAATTTTCTCTGGGGCACGAGTTTTGACGCGCCCTGTATATTACATTTTGGTCAATTGATTAAGACCATTTCACAAAGGAGTATTAGTGTTAGTGCATTTGATGTAATCATCATACATTAACTTGTTAAAAAATATGAAAATATATCACAAAAATGGATTCACATTTTGACAGATGGTCTACGATTTTTCTTCTAAATTCATTTAACATTAGAAATAAAAAAGAAAATAATTTTCCAGTATTAGAATGATAAATGACGTTGGCATGACCTTAGTTGAACTTTAGAAATGATTTTGCATCATTAATCAAATACGACTACAATTTATGAAATAAATAAGAAAGCCGTCAAAACGCCACAAACTTTTGATTACCTTTAACAACTTGTTTATTGATGACCAATAATGAAAAACGGGAGTTTTAATGAAACTATTAACAAACACTTTTTCTTTCTTTCTCTTCTGAAAATGTTCGCGATATTGGTCAAGTTCGTTAAAAGCAGTTTTTATTACATTATTTGCCATAAGGTAACAAGTGTACTGTAAAAACCATAAACGTTCACCTTAAATTTTCGTGTTGTAAGTCAAAATCCGAATTTTTCTACCTGTATCCCATGTCATTGTCGATGCGTTTCCTATAAGAAGCTTAGCCTAAACTCCAATCCTGACAAGTGTCAAAATTTTCGCACCGCATTTGTTGCTCAACTTTGATCATTTTTTGTGATCGTAAGATAATTAAGTTTTGTGATCGAATCGATCGCTGGGTCATAATGCCCCCTCGTCATTAAATATTTAATTTAGTGTAGCAGGCAATTAGTGTGGTTGTGTAAATAAACAGTCGAAGAAGACCCCATAAAGTATAAATTACAAGGAATTATTAATATTTCTTTTTTGGTAACGACCACTTTGGTCTTCGAGTTATAAATTACGGTGGAACGGCCTGTCATAGCAGTCTGGCAGGTAAGAAAGGAGAAAACGTGAGCCCCGTGCCCCTCTCCGAGCATTCGGAATGTAATTCCAATCTCGTTGGGTTCATCGGAGATTTAAGGGGACACAGAACTCGCCGTAATCGAGTGGTAAGCGCGGTGTTGCTTCACGGTACCGACCGCCATGAAATTTGCATGAAATTGGAATTAATTTCCAATTATAGTGTACTTACCAAGCATTGGCTGCCATTCCAAAATAGTAGATCAGAAGGAAGACGAAGGCGCAGTTCACGTTAGAAAGACCGTCTTCAGGAGGGCAAAAAGGCGACATTCGACCGGAGAACATCCGAAGGGCCCAACCGGCGCTCACCATGCAGTAGCAAAGAGCTATGCTGATCAAAGGGCGCGCTTTCACGCGGCCTCCGCCTATTGTTAATGTCAGGGCCGAGGCTAAGCTGATCACGAAGCAAATCATTGCCCACACGGTCACCCACACCTGCAACAAAGGGCCAAGGCTAACAAAGGGCACAAAACATACAAAATAATTTATTAGCTTGATGGCCCGGGTGTGGGAGCAGGCTATTAAAATCCACCGGAAATGATAGTAATTTGTACAGAGTTAAAAGGGCCAGTTTTGAAGCAACCCCTCATGATTAAATTTATTAGAAGCTATTATTGACTGAAGTAGAGACACCGAAAAAAAAAAGAAAACAACAAGAAACAATAAACCTTGCAACAAAAATACAATCTCCAATTTAATTTATCATTCAAATCACAGTGTGGACAGACTACATGGACAAAGAAAGAGTGACAGAAAGTCTTCTACGGTAAAAATTGTATGGATTCATAATTTTGCTTTTGGAAACCTTCGCCAATAAAGAATTTGTTAAATTTTCTTGCTTCCAGTCGAGAGGATAGATCAAGTATTATTTTTCCTTTCGTTATAAATAAGCACTAAAAATAACAAATCCTATTATGGCGCCAATTAAAGTGATAAAAAACGTAGTCTGTTTTATGAAGTGGAGATTAAAAATCGAAGTCGACCCAACCGGGATAAAATAAACCCAAATTGAACTGGTTTCGGTAAACCCTCTTCAGCAAAATCCAGGAGGAAAAAGTGTTAAATTACAAAATTTTACAAAAGATGAAAAAGTTAAGAGAGTAGCGTACTGAAGATACTGCTACCGTAGTGTGATAATCTAAAATGCGATGTTTTTTTTTTTGTTGATACACTAAATTAGACATAGAAATAAAAATGGAGTATACAGAGTGCGCCAGAACTCGCGCCCCAGAGAAAAATGCCATATAAGGTAGGAATATGGAAAAAATGTTAAAAAAATTTTATCTATAAAAATTTCGAAGTTATGAGGGTTTAAAGTTTGCACTTTGACTCTATTTATTTCTATTGGAAAAATAATTTTCCAAGTTTTTTTGCAATAGGCTATTAAAAGAGGAAAGAAGGAAGCTGTATCCTAAATTGTAACTCTGTTCAATGTTATTTGTGGCTTTTATTGGCAAAATTTTTGTCCCTTTATTAAATAATTGTAAAAAACATATACAAGATCATCAGTATCATTAAATAGATATAAAAAAATGTCAAATGTCAAAATTTTTTGACAGATAGAATTTTTTAAACATTTTTTGTATCTTACCTTACTTGAAAATTTTCTCTGGGGCGCGAGTTCTGGCGCAACCTGTACATTTTATTCTTATCAAATAATATAGTGTAAAATACTAAAATAAATAATTGTATTTGAATCTAATGAATTAGTTTTTTTAATGGAATGGGCTTCAGCTACTGATTTTCCCACTACGCCCTCCGAAAATGTCAAGATCGTTGAAAAGAATTTATTGAATGTTAATTCTAATTAAGTGTCACCAATAACAGAGCGTAAAAAATCGGACTAGTTTCTTTGATCGTGAGATATCAAAGAAGCTGCAAATTAACTACTGGCCAGTAGCTGTTTCCAATGTTAAGTGTCAACTCATAAATACCATCACATAAACACTTTTATATAATACAAAACATTCCAAACTCAAGTGCAAGGCTTTTTACCCTTGATTGTCAACAAGGCAAACCAGTTGCATTGCCTTTTCCTTTTCATTGTTCGAAAGTGCCCAAAAATGGGCTACTCACCTCTGCGAAGTTTTTCTCCGAATCGTCAAACATGAGATTGGTATCGCAAGCCGGCACGCAATTCCCCAAATCATTCCTGACGAAATTCCTCCCACAGTCGAACTTCTGCACGGCAGGGTCGACGGGGGCTAACACATCCACTCCCCTGTCCTTCGGTCCCTCCATGCACAGATGCTCGTGGTTGTTCTCCACGGGGAAACGCGAGCAGTTGAGGGCGTCGGGCCAGGAGAACCCAAAGCCCTTCAACACGGGGTAGCACTTGGCCCTCACGCTCTCGCACAGCCCCCGACAGGGCCCAATAGGGTTGGCCACCTTCTCCGTACACATGGGCACATACACCGAGCATAGGAACAGCTTCAGCTGCGAGCTGCAGCCGTATTGGATCAGCGGCGAGAAGGACTTGAGCGTGTAGTCGGCCTCCTGCTGGATGTCGTTGCCGCCGAGGTTGGGCATCTCCGTCATGTTGTAGCCCAGGTTGGTGCACATGTCCACGCGGATGGGCTCGCATGTACGGACCAGGGGCTCGGCCCCGGCCGTCGTTATGACAAGCACGAACAACACGAACGAAACCATTGGCGCGACCGATCACCAACAAGCTCTCCGACCGATTGATGATGTTTGGTTCACTAGGTAGACGGCCGTGCCGCAGAGGAATGCCGTCGGACCGAGGCTGAGGCGGGAACGGCCGAGATTCGGCGAAAATTTAAATGAGGCTCAGCTCTGGACGAATAACCGGATATAACACATGCTTTAAAGTGGGGTGTTGTAGTTTTTCGAGCACCTTGCGCTTATAAACATTTCACGTTGTGTTTACCGAACGGTTAACGCCGTGAGATAACACCGAAGGCTATAAACCTAGAAAGCGGCGGGAGCTTCAGGAAGCTAAGGGAATAGATATGTATTGTGTCTCAGTCTCTTGATTCAAACAGTTGGAAGCTAGGGGGTTTAAATATGTTTACTAGAGCTTAAATATTAAAAATAAACAATATAATAGTCCAGACAATGTCGGAATAGGTGCAGCTTTTGAAAACTCTTGATCGAATTTTTGGGGCGGAAAATGGAGTGATCTTTAAGTAAAACTCGTAAAACTCCCCTTTCATGCTTTGAATTTAAGATAATTCGTGATATTTGTTATTGTCTATCTTTCTATGTAAATAGTTTCATAAAAAATCACATACAGGGTGAATAAAAAGTATGGAACCAACCGTTTTTTGCTTAAATTATTCATTTTTCAAAAACTAATTGATAAATGATATAGTACATAAAATAAAAATGTGGCGTTTCTTCATGAATAAAATTTCTTTTGTTTTTGAGTTCTGCAAAATTGTTAATTTTTCTAAATTGCAAACCACTATAAAACTTTTTTTGAACAAAGACTATGATCTAAGGATTACAACTACATAAAGTCCGTTTTTTTTTATTTATGCGTGTGGATTAATTAATAATTGGAAAGACGTACCAGATAGCAGCTATCTCTTTTCAATATTTTTTAATAGTTTCAATATTAAGCAGCCATATTGCTCTCTCTTGTAATTTCATTTTTAACGAGGAAAACTGTTGAAGCTATTATTTATACCCTCTATATCATCATAACAATTAATTGAAGGCCTATAAAATTTCTAATGCCAGAAAAAAACTTTAATTTTTTACTTTAGTACCAAAATGTCCGAAGCAGTGAAATCTGAAAAACAGACGAAGGTCACGTCCTGTGTTCTTGATTCACACTACCCCCATCAGCAAATAAAAAAATAGAGTGTATCTACACATTATTTAATTTTTATCGAAAAATATTTTTAATAAGTTTCAATTTTAACAAAATCCCATGACTCAAGAAGTACATACCTACTTAAATTTTTATCAATTATAATTTTCTGAAGACAAATGTATTTAAAAAACACTTGCTTCTATACTTTTTTTTGCCTTGTATGTACATGTTTGATAACGTGTCTATGTTTTCCGTAATGAAAGTAATAGTTTACATAAAATTCGAATGTAAAGATGAACATGCTTTTACTGTTTCAGTGTGTCCAGTAGGTATTTTACCCACATAGTTTCATTACAGAATTATTAATAAGAGAATTGTTTAGAATTTAAATGCAGTTATTTGACTGGAAACTAGATACTTTATGCCTTAGGACAACAAAATTTTCAAAGTTTTATTAAAAAAGAAAACTTACTTATCCAAAATGCAAATTGAATTGTTTTTTGACTTGATGATTCGCATTAAGCAGAAAATCGCAAGGAGTACCTATGCTATGCTTGTAATAAAACTAATTTAAATAAGAAACACAAGAGAAAAAAAGAATACTTTTGACGTATGAGAAGTGATTAAAAAATGACCAGACTTTTAAAATTATGTTTTACAGCTGTACCAAATTATCTGGAACAGTGAAACGTTTAGTCAAGGCATGCAGGAAATAATTTTGTGTTCATTTCAAGTCTTTAGATTTTCTAAAAAAAGTATTGTCTGTAATGAAGCAAAAAAATCGTCTAATTTACTAATAAATTAGTAAATTGGTAAATTATTGGGAGTTTGAAACTTAACCAAAAAATGAACTGGCAGTTCATTTGACGTTCAAAGATGTAGACTATCATAATAATTTTCTTTCTCTTAATTAATAATGTACAAACCTTTTCATTTACACACGTATTATATTTTTGTGGCAATATGTTTAAAATTTTTTAATGTAATACTTGTTTGTTATTTGATCATATCCGTACTCTCTCCATGTTTGTTATGGCAACAATAACAGCCTAGGCCGTTAAAACTTAACGTTGTTAGGTATGTTGCCCCAAGTTTGACATTATTTGACATTATGATTTTATGATATTGAATAATTTTGCCTTATAAATCTTTTAGTAGGTATCACGAAAAGTACTGAAAACACGGCCGATACTCAAATAACAGACGCAATTGATAATAAAATCTTGTCTGTTATTTGCTACATATCAACCTTATAACCTTATAACCTAATTGATTATGTAACTACGTACCTATTGCATTCGTGAATTACCTACAAAAGAGGTAAAATTGTTAAAAATAAATTTCAAATTTAAATTTGGGTTACCTCCACTTATGTTTAGAAAACATAAAATTTAATTACACTTGTGTAGGTACCTAAACCAGGCTGCAATATCTTTATAATATCTATGTCTAATTTTAATTGTGTCCCTTACGTAATTTACGTCAAAGTGAGCATTTAGAAAGAAAAGTTTATTTTCAATTTCACTTTGTGGAATAATTTGTAGCAAAGCTTTGACTTTGAATTTTGTACTTACTTGTTTTCATTCAACTCACAGTTAGTTTTTGTGTTTCATTTACTAATGTTTTTTTTACGGTAACCACAACTCTAAACATTATTTCTAAAGAATTAAATTTAAATTTATTGTTATTTAAATTATATTTAAAGAATGAAAATATTTGCAATGCCCATATTGTTAAGATTTTCAAGGTTATTTCACATAATTATAAGGTTGGTTTCTCTATACTTACAGGATGATTCAAAAGTCTCGGCCCATCACTGGTGATGAAGGACATCCAACTGGGATAAAAGTTTGCATGACAAAAAACTGTTTGAGCTATTTTTACGAAATATAGCTCTTCAAACGTTAGATCTTGGAGTTAAGTTTTTGGCAGTTCAGATTATTATTCTTAAATTTAGTTAGCGCAAACGGCACGTTTTGCAACAGATACCTGTTGGAAAAAAATTACAAATTTGTATCTTATGGTGCGCAAAAAATTTAACAAACTAGCAAATTGAACAATAAATTAAATCAAAAAAGCTAAGGTCTCTCCATGATAATATGGAAATTGCCAGTTCTGTTTTTTCTCAGAGGCCAAAGCTTGAAAAAAAATCTGCATTAATTTTTATGCTTATCTGAAAGTGTTCTATCACCATTCGAGAGTTGATCCGACACTTTAGAATTGTCCTGTATAAAAAAAATTTTTGAAAAAAAGTTAATTTTGCGAATTTACATTTTGGGTGATAATTTGGTTGTTGAAATTCTGATATACTTCTAGTTATTACTTCTTTTTGGTGACTGGTGAGAAAATTTATTACATTTTTTAGAATTCAGTGTCAACATTTACATTCTTTCTCACTTTACCTACATATTAAAAACTGAAGCAAACTGTAACAAAATTTTTTTTTTATTTAGAAAAAATAAGTACAACTACAGATACAACATTTAATTTACTCTGAGAGCTATGTTGGGAATATCAATTTTCTGTTCTGGTGGTGGCATTCATCATGTTGTTCATCCAAGCTAGTCTTTGCAAAGTCGAAGTTAATGAAGTGTTCTTGAGAAGAATCGTTGGCTCCTGAAGTGCCTTTCCAGTCGGTCATAATATAAAAATGCTGTGTGGTCCGTCAGATGGAAGAGCATTTAGCGGGGCCGAGCGGGGTCGATATCCTACGGCTGAAAGGGGAGTGTCCGTTCTGTAACATATAATTTGTATGTCAACAAAGAATAATAACACCGAAGTTAACGAGTTTTCAACTTATCTCGTTATTTATTTGTGTATTGCTGCAGGTATAAGATGGGAGGCGGGTTTTCTCTTACCTTATTATAACCGAGAAGTATGCAAATTGTCGACTGTATATTTGTTTTATAAATCATGATCAAAGTTAGTTTTTTTATAAGCCCGACTCTAGCTTGATGTATGGTAGTTATAGGCTTGTCTAAACAAGCCGCGGGACGGCCCAAAGCGGCGGTACCTTTTTAATTGAGCCCCAGGTCTAAAGCGAGCGTGCATTTCTGTTTATTTTACGAAACGGTCTTTTGTTGGGAAATTTTTGGTAAACGGATCGCGTTACGCATTTAATTCGGCGGTTCACAAAGAGGGCATATATCAAGCGGTAGAACACCGACAACACCTCGTGGAAGTTTTTAAACAAACAGGCGCTGCTTTGATCGCCAAAAAGGTAAAAAAAATCATAATGAAGAGCCAGATACGACCCCTGCAGCGCTCTTATATGCGATTTTTATCGGACTCACTGACTGAAATGTTTTTCTCATGCGCCTAATCACTGAGATTTACTCGCACCAATCTAAATATCCATCGATGCTAGGCATAAATTATGTCGAAATGGACAAGAGTTTTTTTATTCCTCGAGATCAAAGGATGTTAGCGTTACCATCACACCAATTACATTACAAGTGGAGCGATTGACGTCACACTTTTCACCATTTTCCCACATTTCGAATAGTGTTTAATCAATAAATCACTCGGAATGAAAACAAAATAAAACTGACTTTTTTCTTATTATATTTCGTCTTTAAGAAAACTTGCTTTTGTATTATCGAATATTCTCTGGTATGTGAGTGAACTGTTGACCCTACCAGAGACAAAATTGAAAGTTCCAGTAACTATAAGTCCATTTGTGTGCATTCTCTTTGATAATCGCTTTTCGGTGTCACAGACACGCCAGATATGCAAACCATTACGTGTTTTGATAGCCATCAAATTTGTTACACGAAATTCATAGTAATCAAAATATTACAACACTCTTAAGAAAATTTATTGATACGTGATGTCATCTTTTCTACGGCGGAATACCTACTTTGAAAATTTCCGCGTGAAAAAAAAGTTTATATGGGAAAAAATCGAAATGATTCGTTGAGTATAAAACACGTTTAAAATAACTGTGTGTGTGTAATACTGTGTGTAATAAAATTGTGAGAAGGATCACAAGTGTCAAGTGGCAACGAGACATCAATTGTTTATTTAAATTAATTCAACCCTTTGACTGCTAATTAAAGATTAAGATTTATAATTAAGATTAATAATTAAGATTTTTAGTTCAACAACCCGAATTTATGAAATGGCTAAATATTTTTGGAATGAGCCTATGTTTACTTTCTGGAAATATTTTAACAAATGATGACATTAGAGTGGTTCAAGTATTTAAACAATTTTTCACTCTTTTCTTGTTGTATCACTATTTTTGGTACAATTTAATTAGAAGTTTATTTTCTTATTTTGCAAAATTTAGGAAATGCATTTTGTAATTTATACGTAAAAATACAATTACAACATTCCCAGACTGAAACAAAGCACTTTCTAGAGTCAGAAACGCGACTAAAAAATTTCAGAAATTTCCAGTAGACTGTAGTGATTTATTACGAACCTTTGAACTACCTGCATCTGTTGGAGATTCCGACGCATAATTTATTTCTGATACGGTCCATAACAAAAGACTAAAGGTATTCAATGTATGGTTTTATTCCAAAAATCTTAAACAATTGACTGCTTTAATTAAAATTATAAGTACTGATATTATTGTTGTTTTTTGCGATTTTTACAAAACGTTCAATTTTATTTTGAGGTGTTTTTTTTAATAACACTAGTTTACAAATTTAAGAAATCGACTTACTAAATTAATGAAACTAAACTGTTTTAATCAATACGAGATCTGAAAACCATATTTCACCATCACATCCAGGTTTTGAGATTATTCCATTGCTATTGTTATTCGCGACGAATTGATGCTTCTAGGGAAGAAGTTGTGCAATCCGTCAAGTTTTGTGTCACTTGAGGATGGAAAAGTTGGTGAAATATGTAAATGGAGAACTATATTTTTCTCCTCCTCATTTGGTCTCAAGTTTAGCTTAGAATTCAATTAAATATTCGCTAGAGGCTAGAGAAGTTAATTACAGAAAGGTCATCGATCATGTCTTCTGAACGATACCTTTTGGATTCCACGGTGTATTTTGTTTATAAATTTAAAAAATGGTTTCATGAAGTTGTAAAATATGCCTAGATAAAAGTTGTTACATAATAAAAGAAGCATTATAGTTTGCATATCTGTATTATTTTAGCTGTTCCATCGGTAATCAAGATAAATACGTATACCGGGTTCCAACTTTTGTGGAGTTACATTAAATAAATCAAATCCTGATGGATTTGATGATTTAGAGCGCAGATACCAAGAGTACTCGAATGAAAATATGTTGGGCGACTATTGTTAGTTTATTATGGGAGAAATGGATAAAAAGCTGTCATCAAAGGGTCATATTTGATTTGATAAGTATTTGAGTCCTAAACCCAAAATCAGCATCACAAAATTAGTTAAAAAAAGGGTTTTCATTTGATGAGCAAAAATGGTGTAAACTAGTGTAATTGTTTATTTGTTTTCCCAAAATAATAAATTTAAACTTACAAATGTTTGATTTTGTACACTTATGCTTGTATAACCTACTCATTCAATGATTTTGTTAAATGTAATAATTATTCTGTATATTTTGTAATTACATAATATGGGTACATAGAGGGTGTTTTACATATATATTTTTTTTAAATTGGATAATCTTCTCTAGTATGTTCAGCCTTTCAAAATTACGTTTTTAGTTAGTTAGTGATTAAGATAGATAAACTAGAATCATATTCATGCCATCTCTTGATACAACAAATGATAATTGTTTCTGAAAAACTCAGTTTATAATTAGTTTGACAACTACTGCCATGGGTTTCCAAAAATTAAATAATTAAATGTGTATTTTTTTATCTAGTGTTTTGTGACTTTTGTATATTTAAGTGCAAGCCTCGTAAAGTTGTGTGAAACACTCTGTATTTTAGGAACCAGAAAAATACCTATCATTTTTAGCACCGATGTTTTGTACAGAGATATCAACTTTTTACCTACACGAGATAAAACTTAATCAGGGGTTTAAAGCAATAAAACAGATGTGCAAATAAAGCGTAAATAAATAGGTATAAAAAGTGGATAGTACCTATATGTATAATATACTATATAATATTATATAATACTATATAATATAATCAAATCAGCAAAGCAGCACTATCAATAATAAATCTTTCTTGTTAGTAAATGATAATAATATATTTATTTTATTTCTAATTATTAAATTATACAGGGCAATTCAGATAAGATAATGAGCGTGACGATCTAGAGATGCAACCCAAAAGACAAATTTCATTTACGGTTTGATCTACTTTTAATTAAGATTTGCATTTGTAATCCAAGTTATCTTATGTTGCTCTGACAATGCTTTGACAAGCAATTTATGATTTATAAAAAAACTGTTTGCCTACCTTTAATGTTTCATTCTTTCATACATTTTGTATTGGGTTTACACCGAAAACATTTCTTTAATTTCTCTATTATTTCGCGAGAACCGAATGGCATTAATTATCGTTCTCTGCGCTGATGTCAGAGTTGCATAAGATGATAACTTGGATACAACTTGCAAATTCTAATTTAAATTGGATCAAAGACGGAATGAAATTTGTTTTTTGAGATGCATCGTAACTGAAATCGCATTATGTAACTGAAAGTATTATAAGACAAATACCTACCTATGAAATTTAACTTTAAAATTTATCTAAGTAGGTAAGTAATTTTTTTTTTAATAAAGCCGAATTGAATTTAAGGGCAATAGAAAATAACCAATAGGTACAAAGTACCCTCTTCGTGCCGTTTTACTGCCATCTACTAGTGTTTTAGTCAACCGCAGCGTCAGGAAATTTTTAACAAACTACTTCAAGGACATGCTTTGATTCCGCCCTCTTAAAACTATGGATTTTATATTGAATTTGTTTTTGCCATAACAATTATTTTGTCCAGTTTTATTACAATGTGATTAATTCCATTGTTTTTTAATTACTTTTGATAATAAGTAATAATTAATATAACATATTAATTTATAACAGAGTTTTTCAGAACTGCGCCCCGGAGGTAAATGCCCATAACTAGGTATTTAGCATTTTTCCTGCTTATGATATGACACATTCTGTATTATTAAAATTAAAAAAATACCATCCTGACCTCTTCTAAAAATCTATGCTTTATTTCAAAAGTTTTACAATAATTAAGTTAAATGGCAACGTTATTTGAGCTATTTTAAGTGTGAATCAATAATTGTCAAGTCACTAATTTATAATTTCTATTGTAGCTTTTCAAGGTTGATTGGAAATTACTTTATGATCATTATTGCGCACATGAAACATGAAGCTATTATCTAATCAAAAATAAATAAAAGGTCATACAATCCACCCAATTACGCTTTTTCTCATTAATTCACAAGTCATCTTTTTAGCAGATTAATAACAACTATAGCTATCTACTCCCGTTTGGTCAAAATAATATTTCTTCAAGTAGGTAAAACAAGTAAGTACCTAACGCTTTTTTATTAACATCAAATAACTTAATATCACACTAACAGGAGAATTATGACTATTTACACAAAACTACAATCTTAAATATTAAATCCGGCCTTTCTCATGCACTCCTTGTGTGCCTCTATTAAATGTTTGCAATTCTCCTCCCCATTTTCAATAATGCTGAAACAGACAACTCAGTTTGTGGCCAATTTGTAATAAATTGTAATTACCAAGCGTCTCGCACCTTTTTCGTTTCGGGACATGCACAGCATGGTTTCAGTTTTTTTGGTTCTTCTTTAGTCCCCGTTTGTTGCGTAGAAGCCGCTTCAACTTTTTCACTCACGTTTCCCATTCTTGTTTATCAAGGAATTGGCTAAAAAATACAAACTATGCAATAATTAGTACGACTATTTCGTAATAACTTGAAATTTGTACCGAAATTATTTAATCGATCTAACCTTACTTTTTGGAAGATGACATATGAATGACATTAGAAAGTAGCAAGCGCATGCGCCCCACGTTTGACAAATGTCAAAACATTCCGTGTTCCGTGCTTTTTGTTTTGGCACGAAAGTGCTGAATATTCAAAAAATAATATGAATTATGTATATGTTACGTATTGAGAAATAAAGTATAAGTGTTTATGTAGTGTTTGAAGGATAGTTACTTTATATTTTAAATAAGTTAAGATGGCCCAAGTGAAATTAGATAAGGTGACTTTGTAGGTGTATCAAGTGGAAAATTACAAATATTTATTGTTGTAGGAGCTTAAACGTGGTAAAAGCCGACGTAATAACGTGTGTAGGCAGTTGCGAGTACTTGCAATAATCATGATCTCGTTTATAAGATATTACATTGATCTCCTGATTGACAAAATCTTTGGATTGTTCTACAACTCCCGTGTTGAACGTGTAGAGAAGCCCTCGAATAAAATCGTATTGGAAAGTGCCACAACTCTGGCACGCAAAATTCGCAAACGAGAGTTGAAAGCCGAGGAAGTCGTCAAGGCTTTCATTGACAGAATCCACCAAGTTAACAAACTCCTAAACTCTGTTGTGGACGAACGTTTTGACGAAGCAATAGAAGACGCCCAAAACCTAGATAAAGACATCGCCGATGGGAAAATAACAGACAAAGATTTTGACAAAAAGCCATTTCTTGGTGAGTCGCAAAATAAAAAGTGGTCAAACCAGTTTGATGCAATTATTTCAGGGATACCTTTTACTACAAAGGAAACAACAGCTTGCAAAGGTCTTTCCAGCACGTTTGGCTTGCTCAATCGTAAGTTCCAGAAGGCTGAATTTGATGCACAAATTGTGCAAGACATGAAAAACGCCGGAGGAATACTTATCGCGGTCACAAACGTGCCCCAGTTGAATCTGTGGCAAGAAACTTTCAACCCCGTTTATGGGGTTACCAACAATCCTTACAACACGACACGAAACGTGGGGGGGTCTTCTGGGGGCGAATCGAGTATTATCGCAGCGTGTGGGTCTCCAATTGGCATTGGGACAGACATTGGGGGCTCACTGCGTATTCCTGCATTTATGTGTGGGATTTTCGCACATAAACCCACCTCAGGGTTGATCTCAACCCAGGGACTCACGTTTAGAACAGGCAAAGAGAAAAATACTATGGTTGTAGTTGGACCTATGACCAAGTACAGTGAAGATCTCATCCCGCTTTTGAAAGTTTTAATAGGCGAAAATGCGAGTAAATTAAAATTAGACGAAGATGTAGATGTGACAAAAATCAGGGTTTATTATGTTACTGACCCTAAAGATCCTTTTGTAAGTCCTATAAGGGAAGAAATGAATAAAGCAATGTTGAAAGTGATAAGACACTTTGCCCAGATTTTGCCTGAAAAACCTGAAATGGTGAATATGCAGGAATTGAAATATGGGGGAAAACTTTGGCGGTATTGGATGACACAGGAGCCATCAGTCTCTAATTTTAACCGTGATTTGGGCAATAGAGAAACTGAAATTAATAGTGTGATAGAATTATTGAAATTTTGTATTAGGATAAGTGATTATAACATTGCTGTTATGCTAAACTTAATTAATGGCCTTCTCCCCTCTGAGAATGCCGAATGGGCGAAAGAAACCACTGATGCGCTTCATAAAAAATTAACGGTACTTTACTCATTTTTTATTACTTTGAATTAATTTGGTTGTTTTTCAGTCAATTTTGGGCACTAATGGGGTACTAATATACCCTTCAGCCCCGTTCCCGGCTAGCTACCATTATACAGCAGTTTTGAGACCTTGGAACTTAAATTTGTTTGGAATTTGGAATGTCCTTAAATTTCCAGTCACCCAAGTTCCTCTGGGGCTAGGCCAGGAAGGACTGCCTTTAGGTCTGCAAGTAGTCGCAGCGCCATTCCAGGACCATTTAGCTATTGCAGTAGCTAAAGAATTGGAAAAGACATTTGGAGGATACGTCCCACCGTTTTAAACGACAATTTACGATTTAGGGGTTTGGGGCTTTTTACATCTTGATACTTAATTTTATCTATTTTGTACTACGTATTAATGTTTTCAGCTTGTTACAGACTTTAAGTCAGGTTTTTGTGCAATTTTTGAAATAAAATTTTGGTTTTTTACCTTATTATTTGAATTTTTTACGTTTGTTGGTTGCCAACATGACGAGGCCAGTTTCCCCTGTAATTTTTGAATTCTGACAAGAAGTGACATTTGTCATTTTATTTTGGTGAATCCCACAGAAAAATACAAAATCTCTTCGTTTTGAATTTGATTTGTTGTGTGAAGGTCGCGTGGCCGAATCCGCATCGTCTAGGAAATTCATTGTTGACAAATGCGCGCGCAATTTGGTACACCGGCATCGGCAGCCCGAATTGAATTTTTATCTTCATTAGAATTCGAGCGAAACAAGCGACCGGACGTCCCGGCATAATAATGAGTGACAGTGTTCAATACTTCGAAGGAGTTGAGAAACTCCTCGAGATTTGGTTTACGACGAGCAACAGCAACAACAAGACGCCCGATTTGCGAAAAATACCAAGGTTTGTTTCAGAGATTTGTCCCGGGACCGGTTTAGACTGTGACGGCACCGTCCGACCGAGATCGATTTTTTGTGGCCACCGTAAAAATGCACGGCATGATCTAATCGCGCCATCAGCTGTTTTAATTTATTTCGAACCCGGAAAAGCCGGCTAGGTTGCAATTTACACACAATTTTGACTCATTTTTTACTCTGGGTTTCTGTTCTGATTACAGGGCGAAACTCGAGTCGCTTTTGAAAATTGTGAGGTGCGAAATCATCAGTTTTATGAAAAACGAACAAGTGGATGCCTACGTGCTCAGGTGAGTTTGTTTTTCTTTCGGAAAATCGGTTGCGGCCGTGGCCTTGTAATAATTTGTTTATTGTCACAGGGATTATGCAGATTTAGGTGATTTTCTATTTATAATGTTGGCAATAAGCCAAGAATTTTTTTAAATTTTTTATTAAAATGTATGACCGAATTTCTATATAAAAAAGTCAAGGTTCTATAAATAAATTTAAGTTCAGGGTCCTGCAATATGTATAAATTTTCACTAATTAATACAGAGCCGGCTTTATACATTTTTTGGAGTGCCATTTTGGCAGAGGGCAGTCGATCACTTCACTGCGATTAAGAGGTTGTTAATCTTGCGACCTTTAAACTCGCTTTGATTATTTAATTAATGACACGATAATTTATTCATTGAATTTTATTTTTAAAACCGTGTTCTCGTATACTATAAAAAAAAGACAAAGATAAAAGTATTTGTTGAATCAGGAGTTTTACTAGATAACAAGTCTATTAATAGATTTCTGAACTATATTTAAATTCTTTCCCGGTTCAAGTTTTTGGTGACACGAATTTAACACTATTTTTGGTCCCTTCACTTCACTTTAATAACGTATCCGGATTTTTTTACTGTTATTTAACACTGTTGTGTATCAAACTTAACAAGAGGGTTATTAATTAATTAGTTAATTAATTTAACTCTTGTATGTGGAGATAAGCAGATGCGATTGTTTCTAGATTATTCCAGTTGATATTGCGGAAAACTTTCATTTTTTTCCATCCAGTTGGTAACAAAAATGAACAGTCAGTAGTGAGTCGAATTGCAAAGAATGTAATAACAAATTTGTGAAAATATAAACAATAGGATACTTGCTTCTGTGGTCACAAATAAATGCAGGTCAAGACATGTATGCTTTATTTCTTCCTTCTTAATTTGTAAACGGATAAAAAAATACTCACTTGTCTGGCATTTGAACTTCTTTATCATTTGTGATTTTCTTCGAAAAGAAAATAATGTGCGGAATTTAGCAAAATCGCAGAATTTAATCAATTCCATGGTATTAATAATCACTCAGTAATTTTAAATGTGACTAACATAAAATAGCAAAATTTATACTCTTTGATTTGCGGTTTAACGAATTAAAAGTAGGTCATTTATTTGCAATACAATTGAAAAAATATGATATGCAACTCAACATACATAAACCTTAATATTCCTTGAAGCTGCTGTGATTTAATTTTATTAACTTCGGCGCCGAGTAAAAATAATTGAAATTCAAATAGGTCACAACGATTTTATTCTAGACATAAATTTTTAATAATTGGCTCTTGTTTGGTATAAATAACAAATGGAGCAACAGGTTTAATATAGTTGAGACCAAAAAATAATTTATAATTATTTTGTTATCCTTTAAAAAAATTTTCACTAATTTCAGCTTTCTGAGATGTAAAATTTCGTATGAAAAAAAAAAAAACAGTTAAGTTCGAAGGAAGAAAATCACTTTCTTCACTTAATAAACAACAATTTTGCGGTGTTTTACACTATACTTTGTTCTTTTTTTGATGCAGTTATTTAAATTGGTATTATTACGAGCTTAATTTTATGCAATTACTGGAGTGAAATCATCCAAAAATGAGAGGTCAACAAACTCTGTTCCTTTATTCATTAATTTAATTTTCACAAAATTTTTCGTAGTTATTATTAACTATAAAATTGTTGTACCACATGTGGCAACTATTGAACGCAGACTCGAAATCGTGATCTCAATTAATTACTCAAAATCGTCGATATTTAATGCACTAACTAGACATTGGTAACGTACATTCCATATTTTTTTGTTAAACAAAGACAAAAATCCAAAAAGTAAACTTCTACTTTTTGTACTGATCGACGAAGATTTACTTAAAATAATTCTTTACGAAATCATCATTTTTATATTTTGAACTACGCACTTTTACATTTTAACTTTGAAAATTATTTTTATTTACGGCCTGCTTACTTAAGTCGTAAATTTATGTGACATTGTGAACTGTAATTTGGATAAAATAAAAAAATACATAAAAAATGTAAATCAAAATTTGTAATTGTAATACTTAGTTTCATGCATACCTATCAGGTAGAGAGAGATTTAACTAGTGCAAATCTTTGTAGGTATAAATTAAAAGTTGGTGCCAAGAAACTTACAAAACTGCTACGGTCTACTTTATTAATATTCTTATCAAAATTTTTGAAGAAGAAGCTTTATTTAAAATGAGGAGTTGACTTAATTTTTTTGATGAAGTGACAACAGACTTTTTTACAAAAAAATGTCATTTTTGATATGTTAAGATACATTTTTTTGTTGACTTTAAAGATTTTTAATTATGAATGAAAAAGTGATTTAAATTTTAAATTGTTGCTTTTATTTTTTTATGAAGAAAGAAAATAATACAACTATAAAAATATTATGTCTGATACGTAAGTGTTGAATTAGTTGTAAATTTTTAATGAGTTTTTTGTTGTTGGATTTTATAGATTTTGAATTATGGATGAAAAAAAAATCAAATTGTAATTTCTGTTGCCTAAGGTACCCTTCTTTTTTGTATATATTTTTTTAATTCTTATTTTGGGTTTTATTAATAAAAAAGCAAAATTTTAAGCGATTTTACGTCAACAAAATACTTCTATTTCATAATAAGTAAAAATGAAAACCAAGTGAGGGTCAGCCTATCTTTCTTTATCATTGAAGACTGACCTTTACCACGGCCCGTTGCCGTCTCATCCCAAATTTGATAAGATTCGCCTTGATAATTTCGTATAAAGATCAGAAATAACTCAAATATGAGCAAATATTGTTTTTAGAGGAAGTAAAGTAAAGTAAGTTAGTTACGGAAAGTTTTCCTTAATGTCAAATACTTAATGTTTGGAAGTTTTTGTCGAAATTATCTCAAATCATGTGCGTCGTCATCGTCGCGGCGTATCACAACGACCTTGCCCTTGCAGAATCGATCTTTCTACCCTTCTCTCTAGAACGCGTTGATTTTTGACGGACTCACCCCCTGTTACATAAATATCTCACCACCATTTTGTTGCGCAACATGAGGAATTTATCAAAAATTAACAAATTTGGACGCCTTCATCAATGATTTGTTTTATTGCAGCGAAAGTTCGATGTTTATTTCCAAACGTCGTTTTATTTTGAAAACTTGCGGTACGACGACGCCGCTTTTATGTCTGGAACCTCTTCTACTACTGGCCGAACAATACGCTGGATTTACCGAAGTCGAAGACCTCTTCTACTCGAGGAAAAATTACAAAAGACCCGAACTTCAAGTAACTCCACATAAACATTTCGATCAGGAAGTTGCGCTTTTGGATTCGTTGTTTCCGGACGGGGTGGCGTATTGTATGGGAGCTGTTAATAAGGATTGTTGGTACTTGTATACTTTGAATCCGTTTCCGAGGAGGACCCCACATCAGCCCCTTCCGGCCCTAAAGGAGGAGCCTGATCAGACTTTGGAAATTCTCATGACTGATTTGGATCCCGAAATTATGAGTATTTTCTCTAAAGAAGAGTCTTTGAATGCGACTGAAGCCACAAAGGTGGGATTAACATGAAAGAAAAGGATTTTGGTTAATTTTTTTTATTACAGAGATCCGGAATCGATAAAATCATTCCTAACATGATTATCGATGATTTTCTTTTCGAACCGTGTGGCTACTCGATGAATGGCGTTACGAAAAATGTGAGTTGGATTTTTTTGCCCCCTTCTTGACTCGTCATAAATTTAGTTGCAAATCTAGATCAAAAATTGTTATTTGTTTCTTTGTTTACATGTCTATCAGATAACCGCGGAAATGTCAGACGTAAGTAACTTTTACCCGCCTACATCTCAACTAATCTTGAACTGTTTTTGTCCTAGGGATGTTATATGACGATCCATATCACCCCCGAGCCAGAATTTTCATACGTCAGTTTCGAAACTAATGTCCCTTGTAGTTCCTACAGGGAGATAATCAGCAAAGTGTTGGAAACATTCTTGCCGGGTAAATTCACAGTGACTGTGTTCGCCAATCAGGTACGAGTTGCGTGTCACATGTCACTTTGCGAGTGATTTGATTTGTTGTTTCTAGGCGTCGCCGACTAAGGACACGGCTGAAGAATTCCAGTACTTGAGTTCGATTGGCGAATGGTCTCGTCGCGACATCCAGCATTGCCAATTTAAAAACTACGATCTTATCTACACCTTCTACTCGAAATTCCCGAGCTGAGGGTGTCAGGTAAAGTTGTACTTTTGTGCAGCTGATTATATCAACCCTATCCTCGCTTCCTTTCTCCTTCCTTCCGTTGTTTCAATCGTCTTCCCCGAAATTTCTTCACGTCTGTTTCAAAAGTACAAATCTAGACCGAGGATGTCTCGGCATCGTTTCGGAATTCATTCGAAATTTGACGTTTTCGCACCGTTTCCATTTCTTATAATATTTTTCAATTTGTTCGCTCCGGTTTTCACTTTCACAGCGTTCGAGTCGCCACTGGTCTTGTTTTCATGGTGGCGTAATAAAATTTCGTGAGAATAACTGAAAAACTTTTAAAGTGAGTAGAAAACATAGTGGACATATGTGTTGTTTTTACCTTTTACCTATGAGGGTTAGGAGAAACATGCATGGAAAGTTTTTTAGTTTTTCAGCTGTCCAATACTATGTCGATGCTCCTTTAAGAGTTTTTTCTGATTTCTTTATTACAAATTTTAAGCTAGAGTGGCCACAGGCACTTTCTATTTACCTAATATACGCGGACCTTTTGGGAGGATATTCGACCTGTGTTTATATGTACATTTTTTCGATGTCGAAATTGCTGTTTTACAAGCAGGGTTGCAAAGGTCCATTCAAAAAGTAAGCTATTGTAACTTGATGCTGATGCAATAACTTATCAGCACTTGTAAAGTGCATAATAGCTTATTTTTTTCATATTGAGAATATCTTATTTTTTTAATTAGGCTATAGACTTTTTTATCCTTTATTTTTACATTACATACTTAATTACGTAGACTACTAATTTTAAATTTAAGGAGTAGAATAGACATTTTAATCTTGACATATTATAAAAATGTTGATGTTTAAGATAATTTAAAATCAATAAAGTTAATATTATTCAACATCTTTCTTATTTTTCCTTTCCACAAACCTAAATAAGCAGACAATAAGTGACGGAATATGCCATTCTAAATGAGTTCCAGAGTATACTTTTTCTACGACTAAAATTTTGACAAATTTATCCAAAAATTTATGATTGGCACTTAAAAATCATTCTCGCACAGTTTTCAAGAATATGATTATTCTGTAATTAAAAATCAACTAAGAATATTGTTCTGCAATAATTTTTTTTGAAATAGCGCTAAAGAAAACAAAAATACAGTGATGCCACTACAAGTCAACAATGTTCCCACTACATTATATCACAGTTTAATTAACTAATTAAAAAATGAGTTTCTTGTAGCGATATGTTGTTTTTTTCTTTCTATATTTGCTGTTTAAATGATTTCTTTGCCAATGAATCATGGAAAATTTTTAAATTACACTTTTATTACTCCCACCAGAGGCACCAACATTGCAGGTGGAAATTCCCCAAATCGTGAACCACCATAACAGTGTCTAAAAGTTTAATCCAGTTTTGTATATAAAAACGCCTCTCAAATTTAAATAAGCTCTTTATATTTATATCCAAACCTAATTTATTTAATTTTAAACCGCTGTAAACATGTCTGACTTTGTAGAATCGGAAGCTGAGGAAAGTGAGGTAATGTCACCAACATATTTTTGTGTTTTTGTTATATCAAATTCCACTTATTTAACGCTGGTTGTACCATTTTTGCTAATTTTGATTTATTATTACAGTGCAACGATTGGTTTAGTTATTTGAAATTATTGTTTTTGAGTTTGTAAACATAACCTCATTGTTTTTAGGAGGAATTAGAGCCCCATGAGCGAAAAAAGCTTAAGAAAGTCAAGGCTGTGGATAGCTCGGACGAGGAGGAGGAAGGTAAAGAGTTTCACACACGTGTTTTGCATTTTTTATGTTTTGTTGTTTAGATGATGACGAACGCCTCAGAGAAGAACTAAAGGACTTGATTGATGATAATCCAATTGAAGAAAGTGAAGGTGAAGACTCAGATGCATCTGGGGGTGAAAAACGGAAGAAATCGGATGATGAGCTCGACGATAGGCTTGAAGATGAAGATTATGATCTGATTGAAGAAAATTTAGGCGTCAAAGTTGAAAGAAGGGTCAGTGATTTGTACTTTGGTCGAATTGTTTTGTGATTGGGGCTTTTATAGAAATTTAAACGATTGAGACGTATTCAAGATGAGGAGAGCGATGGGGAGGAGCAAGGGGACGAGAGCCAGGACAGGGATGCTATTGCTATGGACTTATTCTCTGATGATGTAAGCATTTTTCTATTTTCATGTAATCTAATTCGTGCAATAAAAAATATTAAATTTAAACTTGCATAAGGAGCGAGAGGAGCAAGTACAACGCAAGGTAAAACTTAAAAAATGCGTCTTGTAAAAAATTTAGTTGGTTTTAAATAATTTTTTTTTTGATTTTATTTAGGACGATGAGAGGAGGTCTGAGAGAAGCCATAGACCTACTGTTGAACCAGAACAGTTCAATGAAGAGGAGGAAGAAGGCGATTATTCAGACGCTGATGACTTTATTGTGGACGATGATGGACGCCCCATTGCCGAGAAGAAGAGAAAAAGGAAACCGATTTTCACAGACGCGTAAGAACTTTTTGTTGTTTTAATTTTACCAGGTTTTGACAAGTAATCCCGTTTTTAGCACTTTGTTTCGCAATAAAAGTATTTTATTCGAAAGGTTTGTTTGACAAATAGGTCTAGCTCGGAAATAGATTAATTAGTGATTCTTTTACTAAACTTTTTTAAAATTACATTGTGAATAACATTTTTATCCTAAATACTTTTCAAATTTTGTCAATTAACTAACATCGCTTTATAAATTCGCAATTCTTCACTTTAAATGTGTGAAAAGACAATTTTTGCAAATGTTAGACTAGTTGACTTTTCCAGAGCCTTGCAAGAAGCCCAAGAGACTTTCGGCGTCGATTTCGACTTCGATGAATTCGCTAAATACGAACAGGATGAGTATGAAGAAGAGGAAGATGAAGAAGATGAATACGAGGAAGACGAAGAAGGTGAACGTCGTCGGCGTCCGAAGAAAACTGCACGTAAAAAGCCCACCAAAAAATCAATTTTCGAAGTATATGAACCAAGTGAACTCAAACGAGGCTTCTTCACCGACCTTGATAATGAAATCAGGAACACCGATATCCCTGAGCGCATGCAACTCAGGGAAGTCCCCATCACTTCAGTGCCTGAAGACTCAACTGAATTGGACGTCGAGGCTGAGTGGATTTACAAACAGGCCTTTTGCAAATCAACTGTATCAAATATGGACGCTAATCTGACAATGGAAGCTCGCGAAAGACAGAAGAAAGGGCCACAAACTATTGGCAAAATCCGAAAAGCGCTTGATTTTATGAGAAATCAACAACTGGAAGTCCCATTTATTGCATTCTACCGTAAAGAATACGTCCAACCGGAATTGAATATTAACGATTTGTGGAAAGTCTACAAATATGATGCCAAGTGGTGCCAACTTAAAAGTCGCAAAGAAAATCTTCTAGCCCTATTTGAAAAAATGCGGTCATACCAACTAGATCAAATTATGAGAGATCCTGATGCACCGATTCCGGAAAACGTCCGGTTAATAAGAGATTCGGATATTGAGCGACTTAATAGCGTTCAAACGGCCGAAGAACTGCAAGACGTCCACAACCATTTCGTTCTCTATTACGCCTCGGATTTACCAGCGATGCACGCGGCTTGGCGAGCGAAAGAAAAAGAACGCAAGAAACAAGAAAAACGAGCGGCTCGTCTTAAACTAATTGCCGAGAGTGAAGACGGGGCGGACATCCCTGAAGAAATGGAAGAAGATCAAGAAGAAGAGCCCGAACCAGAAACATTAAAATACGCAAACCGATCCGGTTCATATGCTTTGTGTACCAAAGCCGGCTTAGACACTCTTGCGAAGAAATTTGGTTTAACTCCTGAACATTTTGCGGAGAATTTGAGAGACAATTACCAAAGACACGAAGTGGAGCAAGAGCCTGTCGAGCCACATGAAGTTGCTAAACAATTTGTATGCACGTATGTTGTCCCCATTTCGTTTTTTGTTTTTTTGGTTTGTTATATTGGTACTTGTAGGCAATTTCCGTCAGTTGATGAGGTCCTGCAAGCCGCGAAGTACATGGTGGCCCTGCAAATCGCACGCGAGCCCCTCGTCCGTAAATGTGTTCGCGAAGTGTTTTTCGAAAGGGCTAAAATGACAGTCAGGCCTACGAAAAAAGGGATGAAAGTCATCGACGAGACGCATAATTGCTACAGTATGAAATACATCAAGGATAAACCAGTGAGAGACCTGACTGGTGATCAATTCCTTAAACTCACTCTGGCTGAAGAAGAAAATCTTTTAACTATTACGATTAATGAGAATTTCGAAGGGAATACCTCTGGATCGTATATTGATGAAGTAAAACAGTTGTACATTAGGGTAAGTCGGGATAGAGGGTTGGAAATTTGTGTTAATTGGAGGTTTTAGGACGAGTTTAGTAAAAATGTACAAGATTGGAACGCGTTAAGGATGGGGTGTGTCGAGAGGGCTTTAACTCGATGCGTTTTACCCGATTTGAGGGCCGAATTGAAAAGGACTCTCTTAGCTGAGGCCAAGGAATCGGTGCTTAAGGCCTGTTGTAGAAAATTGTATAACTGGATTAAGGTAAGTGGTGGTGTAATTATGAATGCAACTTATTTTTTTTTAATAAAAATCTACAAGATGTAACGAAAAGAGTAACCGAGATTTCGCAGGTCAAAATAAAGTGATTTAACCCAACTTACTTCTATACCAAGTTGTACTGTTTAAAAGTTACAGGACGTGAATGTTTAAAAATTATTTTACTTTTGGTACAGGCTATTTAATATCGAAACCAAATGTTTTGGTGCTATTTGTTTTATTTTATTATTACTGAAAAGTACTCACTACGAAGAACTACATACTTTAGTCTTTAGGTATCCAACTTGACACTTCTTAAGCCATATTTTTATTATACGTAATCCGAGTGGCCTAATTCTAATTTGGAAGGTACATTATTATTTTTAAACAATTTTTGTATTTTATAAAATTTTTGTATCAGTCTTGGTTTTAGAGTATAAAAATAATTTAATGTGTTAAAATTGTGAACGTTGGCCATTTATAATTATTGTTTAAAGTTGTATTAAAAAAAATATGTTTTTGTGTCTTTATATATGTTTGTGTTAGTTAATAATGTACTTAATTAATTATTAATTTAATCAAACCAGTCATAATTTTATTCACTTCCTCTAACTTAAACGGTGCAACTTGGTATAGAGGTAAGTTGATTTAAATCGCCTTATTTTGACCTGGGAAATCTCAGGTTACTCTTTGTCCACATCTTTTCGTTACACCCTGTATAATATGTTAGTAATTCTCTTGTTTTTTCAGTGGTCTTTTATTTCGTGTCCTGACCAAATTATATTTTTTTAAAGATTGCCCCCTACTCTGTAAGTTTCCCCGACGAAGACGAGGACGAATGGGACACTTCTAAGGGCATCCGCGTCATGGGTCTTGCCTACGTCCCGGACTACTCCCAGTCCGCTTTTGCTTGCATAGCCGCCCCCGACGGCGAAATTACCGATTACCTCCGCCTTCCCCACGTTCTAAAACGCAAAAACAGCTTCAAATCCGACGAGAAAATGATGAAAGAGTCAGATTTGGTTGCTTTACGAAACTTCATAAATACGAAAAAACCACACGTCATAGCCATCGGCGGCGAATCACGGGAGGCGCTAATGATCGCCGATGACCTTAAAGCCATCATCACCGATCTCGTTGAAAACGAACAATTCCCCCAAATCAAAGTTGAAATTATTGACAATGAATTAGCCAAAGTTTACGCCATTTCCAACAAAGGAGTGTCAGATTTTAGGGATTATCCCGAACTGTTACGACAAGCTGTCTCTCTAGCACGAAAAATGCAAGATCCCTTGATTGAATACTCACAATTGTGTAACGGTGATGAGGAGATTTTGAGTTTGAGGTTTCACCCGTTACAAGAACAAATCGCTAAAGAGGAGCTTCTCGAAGCCGTCTGTCTTGAATTTGTTAACCGAACGAATGAAGTTGGTGTTGATGTTAATTTGGCCGTACAGCAGGCTCACAAGTCGAATTTGGTGCAATTTATTTGCGGTTTGGGGCCTCGCAAAGGTCAAGCATTGCTACGGTTGTTGAAACAGACCAATCAGAGACTTGAAAATCGTACACAATTAGTCACAGCGTGTCACATGGGGCCCAAAGTCTTTATCAATTGTTCCGGTTTTATTAAAATCGATACAAACAGTCTTGGGGATAGTACAGAGGCATACGTTGAGATTCTGGATGGTTCACGAGTCCATCCGGAAACGTATGAGTGGGCGAGGAAGATGGCTGTGGACGCGTTGGAGTATGACGATGACGAGGGGGCGAATCCGGCTGGAGCTTTGGAGGAGATTTTGGAGGCGCCGGAGAGGCTTAAAGACTTGGATCTTGACGCCTTTGCTGAAGAATTGGAGAGACAAGGATTCGGCAATAAGAGCATAACTTTGTATGATATTAGAGCAGAATTGAACTGCAGATATAAGGATCTGAGGACACCCTTCCGGTCGGCTAACCCCGAGGAATTATTCGATATGTTAACAAAAGAAACTCCTGAAACTTTTTATATCGGCAAAATGGTCACGGCAAGTGTTGTTGGTATTGCGAGACGAAAACCACAAGGGGAACAACTCGACCACGCAAATCCGGTTCGTAACGATGAAACTCGCCTCTGGCAGTGTCCTTTTTGTTTGAAAAACGATTTTCCCGAGTTGTCCGATGTCTGGAATCATTTTGATGCTGGGGCTTGTCCTGGACAAGCCACTGGTGTTAAACTAAAATTGGATAATGGAATTTCGGGTTACATTTATATAAAAAATATAAGTGATAAAAATGTGGCAAATCCGGAAGAACGTGTGAGCATTGGTCAGTTGATTCATTGCCGAATTATGAAAATTGACGTCGAACGTTTTTCTGTCGATTGTACGTCCAAATCTAGTGATTTGTTGGATAAAAATCATGAATGGCGTCCCCCACGTGATCCTTACTATGACACTGAACAAGAAGAGAAAGATACACGGACCGAAAATGAATTAAAGAAAAATAAACAGAGACAGACTTATATTAAGAGAGTCATTGTTCATCCCGCTTTTCATAATATTTCGTACGTTGAAGCGGAAAAATGTATGGCCAATATGGACCAAGGCGAGGTTATAATACGACCATCAAGTAAAGGAGCCGACCATTTAACAATCACTTGGAAAGTTGCCGATAATATATACCAACATATTGATGTGAGAGAAGAAGGAAAAACAAATGCTTTCTCTTTGGGTAAGACATTATGGATCGGTGGTGAAGAATTCGAAGATTTGGATGAAATTATTGCACGACACGTGACTCCAATGGCGGCACACGCACGCGACTTGCTTTATTTTAAATATTACAGAGACACAAACGGCGGTCATAAAGACAAAGCCGAGGAAGTTGTTAAAGAAGAAAAGAAGAAAAATCCGTCAAAAATTCACTATGTTGTCAGTGCGTCAAAAAGTTGTCCTGGCAAATTTCTGTTGTCGTATCTGCCACGTAACAAATGCCGACATGAATTTATATCGGTGACACCCGAAGGTTTCCGATTCCGAAAACAATTGTTTGACTCAGTAGCGTCACTCTTTAAGTGGTTTAAGGAACATTTCCGGGATCCCATCCCCGGAGGAATGACTCCGGGAACGCCACGAGCCAGTGGCCGGACTCCGTACCAGACGGCTGGTACTACACCCAATTTCAATGGTAGTTTTACCATTTTAGTCAATTTAATTCTGATTTTTCTACTTGTAGCAATGAACCCTGAGGCGATTCAAAGAGTGGCCCAAAATTTACCAACACATATGATGCAAACTTTGTCAGCTGTAGCCAATCAGACGCCGCATTATCCGCACACACCAGGTGGCGCTTACGGCGCTAGTAATTACATCAATACGGTATGTTTGAATTTTTGGGAAATACCCACTAATTTCATTTTTGTAGCCGTATACTCCAAGTGGCCAAACCCCGTTTATGACCCCTTATCAGACGCCCCATACGCAACAGACGCCCCGCTATGGGCAGCAAACCCCATCACCGCACATACCCCCAAGTACCGCTCCTCACATGAACGGTCCATTTTTACATCCAGGGGCCGCGACTCCAAGTCAGCGCACACCGTCATACAGGAATCCTACTCAATCTCCTTTAATCCAAAGCAGTCCGCATCCGAGCCCCCATGCGCGGTCGTATGCTGGTAGTGACCATGGTCGGGGTTACGGCGATTGTGAGTATGATTTGGGTTGTTTTGGTTAGTTGTTGTGGTTTAGCTTCTAGAGGTTTTCCGACTGAATCGCCACGAGGGTATAGTAGTAGCAGGGGATACGATAGTCACAGAGGGGCTTACTCGACTGAATCAACTGATTGGCAAAAAGCAGCAGAGGCTTGGGCTAATAGATCGAAAAGTGGTACTCCGAGAAGCGAGTCGAGGAATACTCCAAGATCAGGGGGGCAGAGGACACCCAGATTTGATGATATTCGAAGTGACCTCGAGAGGACTCGGATGAAGAACGTTGGGAAGAGTCCCAGATCGTTACGTTCGACTCCAAGGACCAACACCTCCCCTCATTCCATGTCATTAGGTGACGCAACTCCGCTTTATGATGAAAGTGTATAAGACTATACTTGTACCTATTTTAATATTTGTACAGTTTGCTCAACATTGAGCCACTCTGAGTTCATTTTTCAACGTATTATTTTAATAAAATAGTCATATTATACAAGTTGTGGTTTCTTCTGAGGTAGCTCGCAGTAGGTTTACTACTGACAAGGACGAATATTTATTTATCCTGTATTTTTATACTTGTTTCAATCATTTTATCTGTTCTTTGCTGTAGGGACAATCATTTCACATTGATGACTATTTTGTTATAGCCAGATTGTATTTATTTGCCATTTATAATAAATACAAAAATAGCTTCAGAATGGTAATTCATACACCTTAAATACACTCCTGTCGTTCCCTCAAAATTATCACTATTACCAACCTTTTTTTGGAAAAAAATTCCAAGCCAAAAGTACAGTAATCGGTAGTTTCAGCGTTTTGCTGTAAGAAAATAAATTCTGACCTGACCAGATTTCAGAAATACCTACACATACATTTCTAATAAAAAATACACAATATACAACCAGCAACGCACTAACAGTAACTCTAATTAGTAATGTTGGCACACTTGGTATACTTTCCCGCTATTTTTAATGTCAAAACTTTTTTCTGTCGTGGTATTTAAATGAATTTTCTGAAATTTTGTGCCAAAAATCAACCACGATGTCTCTCGTCGAGGAACTGACGAGTCAATTTGAAGCCGTCAACGTGACCGTGCCTTCCCAAGTCCTCGAAAAGTGTGAAGAACTGTGCACAACCTATAAAATCGACTCTGAAGACTTTATAGATTTGTGGCTGGCATACACTGCTTCAAATCTAAATGGGGCCCCTCCAACTCTCGATGCCTTGGACCGTCTAGAACGAAAAGAGCTGAAAAACCAAAAACGACCAATCAGTGCTCCAAAGTCACAACCGGTTGAAGATTCCGCCCCCGCACCTCAAGAAGAAGCGCAAGAGGAGAGTATTGTTGTTGAAAAAAGCGAAACGAACGTACCCGGTCAGGAGTTTTTAAAAAGGAACAATGCTTGCTCAGTCAAGCTCCAATTTGGGAATTGTGATGGAAACTTTAAAGACAGATGCAAAGGCAAATTGGTGATTAGAGTGCAGCATGAGGAAATTGCCAAGTGTAAGTACATGACTGAGTCGCATTTGGAGAAAAAGAGGGCTCTCTCTGAAATGTCGCGGTTTGTTATCGTGGATATACTCAAGCACCATAATTTGGAGTTAACTTATGATAAACTCAACATATATTGTCCTGAAATGACCGTTTGCGGAAGAATCTACACAGACACTGAGGATGAAGAAGATCCTGAGTCAATTGAACTTGAGGGACACCCAGATATTTACGAAGGCCGAACAATCAAACTCAATTTTCTTAAATTAGACAAAATGAGTTTATTTAATGGCCAAACTGTTGTAATTTATGGTCATAGCATGATAAAAAATTTCATGGTTGACAAACTTTTCACAGGAATTTTTTTACCTAAGCCCGAAATTCCGATTACGTTAAATGAAACTTTACAAATGATGGTAGCTTCAGGACCTTTTACACTGTCGGATAATCTATTATATGAACCTTTAGACAGTTTGCTTAAGCACGTCATACGATTTAAACCAAATTTGTTGATTTTGATGGGCCCCTTTGTGGACAAGAACCACTCTCTTCTCATGGCCCTTACGGAATCTTTTGATTCATTTTTTGAAAATATTGTTGCCGGCATTATGGAGCGACTCAAAGGCACAGAAGTACACGTAGTCCTTGTGCCTTCCCATAAAGATATTCAAAATCACGTTATTTTTCCTAGTCTTCCATTCAGATTACGTAGACGGTATGAAAATCTTCATTTAGTACCAAATCCGTTCTTTCTGGACATCGGCGGCGTAATAATCGGAGGATCAACAGCTGACATTTTGTTTCATTTAAGCAAAGCTGAGCGTTCTAAAGGCACTCATAATGTCCCAAGAGTAGACCGTTTAATATCCCATCTTTTCAATCAGAAGTGTTTCTACCCCTTATATCCGCCAGATGACGACATCAGGGTTGATCACGACTTGGTTGAACGATACGCCATGATTGAAACAGCCCCTGATATTATGATTCTACCCTCAAATCTCAAACATTTCGTCAAAGTTTGTGAAGACTCTGTTGTAATTAATCCAGAAAATTTGTCTAAGGGAAATGGTGCTGGGACTTTTGCTAGGGTGGAAGTAAGGGCTAAAGGGGCACAAAGGCCTCTTACTGGAAGAGTGTCGTGTCAGATTTATGTTGTGTAGTTTTCATTTTTGGAAATTTAAATTTAAGCCTAGGGACTTTTAAGTTTTTGTTTTGATCGTTCTGTCAAATGAGGAGTTTGACAGTTGTCAAAGCTACAAAAATGATGAATTTTGTTAAATAAGAGCGAAAAACATTATAAAATGGCTTTTTTAGAGGTAAATTATTATTTTTGTAACATTTATACAACAATAAAATCTCGTTGATATTTCAGTGGCGCAAATTTCATTTCTTTGACCTGAAAAAAGACGTCGATGAGGGGAAAATAGCCGAACTTTTCAAAGTAATTAATTATTACAATAAAAGCAGATATTTATAATTAGTTTTAGGAATCAAAAGTCACAGTAACATGTAGTGGTAACAATCACATTGTTTTGGGCGACTCAAATGGCCAAATTTTCCTATTATCTCGCTCTTGGCACGTTAGAATTTTCCGGGCTTATGAACTGACAGTAGAACTCGCTCACCAATTGAGAAACTCGCCTCTTTTAGTCACAATTGGGGTGAGCAACTTTATTTCTCATTAGCCAAAATTGTGACTTTTCTATTTTAATTCAAGCAAGATGAAACTGGAATTAATCCCTTGATTAAAGTCTGGGACACGAGCAGATTTGATAAAAATGGAATCCCGTTTTGTTGTCGAATTTCGCGAACAATTCCTGGAAACCGCCCCGTGCATGCATCATGTCTCTGTGTGCACGAGGGGGGCCAGTTAATGGCAGTTGGGTTTGTTGATGGCTCTTTAGTCTTGTATAGGTACAAAATTATTTCATTTATCTATAACTGAATAACGTAAAAATTATTTAGGGGTGATATAACACGTGACCGGAGCTCTAAACAAAAACTCCTACGTGACGCAAGCTCTACAGTAACAGGCCTTGCATTTAAAACGACTTCAACCAACATTTTTCTATTCCTGGCTACTGATAGCTCTGTTATGGTTTATAACATTACTCATAAAGACAAAGAAGTGAAGGTAAAACAATCTGAGTTGTGAAATGATAAAATAATAGTTGATTTTAGTTTCATTTGGATAACATTGGCTGTGCGAAAAAATGCAGCGTTTTGGCTGAATCGATGATTGAAAGTCATTTCATGGTGGGCCGAAATGATGTAAAGTCTTGTTAAAAACAATGGTTTATCACTCAAGTCACTTAATTTTAGGCCATTTATTGTTACACAGCTGACGGCCGAGGCCCTTGCTATGCCGTTGACGGCGAAAAAATCATGTTAGAATGGTTTCGGAGTTACCTCGTCATTATTTCAAAAGCAACCCGACCAAACCTCGCTCTAACAAACGACAATCAAAGTACCACTAATCAAGGCGACCTGATTACAGTTCTAGATATTCACAACAAATTTATTGTTTTTTCGGCAACTGTTTCGTCAATTCAGTCCGTTTTAAACGAATGGGGGGCTTTTTATATCCTCGATAACGACAATAGACTCTACCATCTAGACGAGAAAGATTTGCAATCGAAATTGTCTCTTCTATTCAAGAAAAATTTATACGACGTTGCAATCCGTATCGCAAAGTCGCAACAGTACGATTCCGACGGCCTTGTCAATATTTTCCGGCAATACGGCGACCATTTATGCGACAAGGGTGATTACGTTGGGGCTATTGAACAGTACATAAAAACGATTGGGAAATTAGAACCGAGTTATGTCATTCGGAAATTTCTCGACTCGCAACACATCGAGAAATTAACAATGTATTTGGAAGCGTTACACAAGCAAGGACAGGCGACTGAAGACCATACAACTCTCCTTTTAAATTGTTACACAAAGTTGAACAACACTGTAGGTCAGTCTAACAGTTTGAAAGAGTTTATTTTGATGAAAGAGGGAGATTTGAATTATGACGTCGACATTGCGATTAAGGTGTGCCGGCAAGGGAGTCCCGCTGAGGCTTTAATGTTGGCCAAAAAACACGAAAAACACGACTGGTACATTAAACTACAAATAGAGGATCACCAAAGATACGTCGACGTATTAGACTACATTTCGAATCTCAGTTTCGAAAACGCCGAATTTTACATGAAGAAATACGGCAATATTTTGATTCAAAACGCTCCTTATGAGAGCACCCAATTTTTGAAACGATTATGTACCAATTACAATTCGCACAATTCCTTGGATAATTCACTAGTTGGTAGTTTTGAGATGTCGCAAAAGTCTGACCCAGAGGACTATATTCATTTGTTTTTAAATAATTCAGAACGTTTGGTTGAATTTTTGGAGTATTTGATCGGGGAGGGTTGTATTTTAAGCACCCCTGTGTATAATACGTTACTGGAGCATTATTTACACGTTTGGGACAACTTGGAGAACCTCTCCGATCGCAATAAATACGCACAGAAAACACTAAAATTGTTGCAAAACCCGGATATTAAATATGATAAAAGTCAGGCTTTGGTCGTGTGTCACATGCATTCGTTCAGTGAAGGCATCTTGTATTTGTACGAGGAGCAAAAGTTGTATCAGCAAATTTTGAGACATCACATTTCCAAAAATGACTCGAGTTCAATTCTGGCTTGTTGTCGCAGATTCGGTCACCAAGAGCCAACTTTGTGGGTGCAAGCCTTATGGTCGTGTGTGCGAGACGCGAAAAATCCTCCTATTGATTTATTGAATGAAATTTTAACGGTTATTGCGAAAGAACGATTGCTTTCGCCCCAATTGGTGGTGGACGCTTTGGGTACCGGCAGTGCGGATATCACGCTCGGGCATATCCGGTCGTATTTAACAAATGAGTTGCAACAAGAACAAAAGAAAACGAAGGAGATTTCCGACTTGACTTACAACTACCGCAAGGATACGGAAAGGTTGAAGGAGCAGTTGGAAAAGTTGAAAAGTGGGACGATTGTGATCCAGGGGTCGCGGTGTGCCGCATGTCACCACCCGTTGGAATTGCCGACTATACATTTTCTGTGTCAGCACAGTTACCACCAGCACTGTTTTCAAAGTTTCTGCGAGGAGGAAAACGAGTGTCCTGCTTGCCAACCCGAGAATAAGAATTTGTTAGATTTATTGAAAGCTCGTGAGTATAACAAGGATCTGCACGAGACATTTCATTCCCAGTTGGAGAAGGCTCATGATGGGTTTTCGGTTGCGGCGGAGTATTTCGGTCGTGGTGTTTTTAATAAATATAAAGTCATCAGGGATGAGATACATGAGACTGTTGTTCCCGATAAAATCGAGAAGAGACTTGTTGTTGAGCCTGAGGTAAGGAATTACGGGTTGGGAGCCGAGGCCAGGTTGAGGCAAGTTGAGAAACAGGCCGGCCAGGTTTTAATTCCGACATCTGAAGGGAGGGTTCGATTGCAGGAGCATAGGTATAGTTCGTCCCTAGAGGCGAATATTAGTAACTACGTACCAAAGAGTTATGAAAGGAAGAGGGAGTATAGTGGGGATATTGCGGGCACGAATCCATTTGAGAATGATTACGATGAGAGCAAGAATCCGTTTGCAAGCGAGGATGATGATTATGATCAGAATAATCCGTTTAGGGACGATTGTGATAAGAATTCAAATCCGTTTTATAAATAGGTTAAGTGGTATGATTATTCTCAATGTAACTACTAAATATGTTAAATATTAATATATTGAAACTAATGAAAAAAGACTAATTACATAATATTTGACCTAAATTACGGATTGCCTGGGAAAGGGTCGGTCCTGTTTTTCCGCAAAACAAATTGAATTTTCCGGTCCATATCTTCGTTGTAAATAGCTTTGCACTTTTCAAAATTGATGCGTCTACGAAACTAAAGGGACTTAATCTTAGAAATGTAAATTTTGACCAATTACCTGGAAGGGTTTTTCAAAAAATCGCGTTCTTCTGTATTGTTCCAAAATTCCTTCACGACCTAATATTCTATTTAAAACACGACAGGCAGCTTCAACGTCGTTATTTTGGACGAAAACAGTCCGTGCTATGAAATAAGCGTGTCTCATCTTGCTTTTGTAAGTTATTTGACAAGTAAGGTTATGGAAATTTAACCTCAATTTTGTGAATCAGGGGAATTTTTACGAAACCCTTTTGCGATTCCAATTTATTAGACATAATTGAATTAAAAATAATGAAAATATTTTCGGAAATTTTTTGATGTAAATAAAATATACTTTTTTAAAATATAAATTCAAGTTTTGTTTTACTTAATTAGGAAATTGATTAGTTTTTTTTCTTAATTTTTCTAACAGTCACTAACTTTTTACTTAAAAAATGAATACATTTTATTTATAAATTCTATAAAAAATAATAATGTAAATGTGATTGGTGGTTTAGCTGTCACATGGCCTGTTTGCCTCACAATTGGTCAAAAATTGTGCGGGAAATTTAAATAATTTTACAGTGTGTATGGTGTTAGATTGACTATGAAATGATAAAATTATAGTCTTTTCAGATTATTGAGAAATTTATAATTGTTTCTTTTCCTTAAAAACGCTTGGTGGTACTTTCCGCCTGATTTTTCTAGAAACTTTTCAACTTGCATTTCTAGGGAGTTTGTCAATTGCACACCTGTCACAATTTGGTTATAAAAAAGTGTAATGTCAAGAAGTGTCATGTTGAAATAGTGTGGTGATTTTCCTCGATTTCTACAATTTTCAATGAACAATTAAGAAAAAACCGCTGATATCGCCACTCAAAATCACGGATTACCCAAGTCGTTTCTTAGGACTCATAAAAACCGCATTTTACGCACCACATTTTATGAAGGTTAAAGCGTGTTAATGTGATTAGAATAATAGAAGGGCATTTGTAACAATGATCAAAAAGAAGCATCAAGGAGACCCCACAGGGGGCGAATCGACTGAATCTTGCGATGAGAATGATAATATGACTGAATGTCGTCATGTTCGCCAGGCTGTAGATTTGCAAAAGGTCAAAAAGGCCCTAATTAGGACTGGACTGACGACCGAATGCGAACAGTGCAAAAAAATGCCTCAAGGAGTGTCTGAAATGGAAGCGGAATTCGAATTCGATAACTCGCTATGGCTGTGTTTGAGGTGTGGAAATCAGGCATGTGGCAGGAATAAAAATATGCATGCCTTGGAACATTTCAAGACACCGCATTCAGATTCACACGCTATTTGTGTCGATACAACCAATTGGAGTGTCTGGTGTTATGACTGTGATGAAGTTGTCAATGCTACTTGTAAGAAAAAATTGCTGGAAGCTGTTGAATACCTCCAAAAGTTAGCTGAGAATAAAAATAACGCTGTGCCCAAACCTGTAGAGCATCAAGTATGACTTGAAAAGGAAAATTTGTTGATTTTTACTAAAATACTTTTTTTCTTATTTATTTAGGTAATGGATTTAGTCCCAGTAACGTCTAGCATGAATTTTGGAAGCATGTTCAATTTCACCGCTTCAAACTTACCTCGACCTCGTGGCTTAATGAACCTAGGCAATACGTGTTTCTTTAATTCAGTAGTTCAATGTTTAGCTCAAACCCCTTATTTGTTAAATCTTTTACAAGAAACCTCAGAACCGGGTCAATATTTCCAATTACCGGGAGGCAAGTTAAATCCTCAAGATAACGATTCTCCAGTACTTGAACCCTTGACCGGTCAGTTGGAAAAGTGGCGTCCCCTTATGGCCACTTTAGCCGAAACTATAATGGAAGTGAATAATGGACGTAGCGAAGCGTACGTTCCGCGTTTGCTTCTATCAAAACTAACCACTCGCATGCCCCAATTCGGTGGTGGCGACCAACACGACTCGCACGAGCTCTTGCGGCACTTACTCGAAGCTGTCCGAGAGGAGGATTTGCGTCGCTACCAAGCCGTTATCCTGGCACGGTTAGGTTTTAACACGAAAACCGATCCAAGCACCGTCGAGGGTGAGAAAAAGAAAATTATCAAGTTTTACGGCCAACAAGCTTCCGAGTTATTGCTGCCAACCGAACAAGTTTTCCGAGGGGTGCTTGTTAGTACTCTACAGTGTCAGGAGTGCCAACATACGTCGCACCGCGATGAGTTTTTCCTAGATTTAAGTCTACCGATTACTGAGAAGCAGTTGCCACCGGTTTTGAGGCGGAAAGCAGAGGAAATTGAAGATAATAAACCGTCGAGGCATCAAATAAAGAAGGAGAAACGTGCAGAGAGGAAGAAAAATAAGAAACAAAAATCGCATAAAAATGTGAATGTTGTCATGGGGCCCAGTAATCAACCAACGGCCGGCGTTGATGTTAATATGGATAAGTCGGATAGTGAGTCGGATGCAGATGTGGAGGATAATGTCGAAGTGTCCGAGGAGGTGACCAAAGGAATGGAGTCGGGGTATAATTCAGATAAGGTCGACAATAGTAGCCCTGATTCAAATAATCGGGGTATTTCACCGGAAATGCGGATTGATGACAGTGGGGTTCCGAGCCCCGCTATAGGAATGCTGAGTGCCTCACACGGGACTCCAGAGAATAGTCCAGCCTCGAGTGAGACTAATATCGACATGGGCAGCCCTCTGGTCGACCATTGTAGTCCAGAAGAAGAGTAGGTTTTTGTTTAATTAAGTCACATCTGTAACTGTTCTTTTTTTTAGTGGTAATGAATATTTTGATAGGCCTGAGTCAAGACTAGCTTTCGTGAACAACAAAAATGTCGATTTGAAGACTGGGTTAAGTAAATTAAGTTTACTCAATGATGGTGATTCAAGTAAAGTCAGTTCATTCTGCAACGATAAGATGGAAGACGATGATAATTTCGAAGGTGCTTGTGGGGGCGAGGATCTTAAGGATGAGAAGGTTTGTATTAATCAAAAATAATGTCACGACATATGAAAATGTATGTATTGAAATGAGAATATTATAACAATTTTCTGAGGTGACTCAAAAGAACAAAGAAAATAGATTAATTATGCCTCACGTATTATTCATTGTACAAACTCAAGACTTTTTACTTTCTATTTTGGTTGTATTTATATTAAAATGTAGGTAGGTTGAGGCTAGGTTGGCAGTATTGAGTCAAGGTCATAACCTATACATATTTTCAAGTGCTCTATATCGGAAATGTAAATAGGTTATTGACTTCGCCATGGATTATTTATAAATGGAGATAGTGCTTGCGTAACTAATGATGGGATTTTTTAACGTTATTTGGACAACTGTATAGAATTATGAATTTTTTTAGATGGACGAAGACGACGAAGACGTGGACCTCTGGACAAACACGATATCTGCCCGTTACCAGTGCGAAGAAGGCGAATACTCGGTCCAATCCTGCCTCAACCAATTCACTGCTTGCGAATTAATGACCGGAAACAACAAAGTCAGCTGTGAACTGTGTACGAAACGTCATGGTGGCCCTGACAAGAAGACCGTCTACACCAACGCCACTAAACAGCTTCTTATTTACAACCCTCCTGCCGTTTTAATCCTTCACTTGAAACGTTTCCAAGTGTACCGATTTCGCTCCGCCAAAGTCCCCAAATTTGTCAAATTTCCCACACTTCTTGATCTCGCGCCTTTCTGTTCGAAACGGTCTCAAAATCTTCCAACTTTCGAAGCTGGTCAGACAAAAGTCTTGTACTCTTTGTACGGAGTCGTAGAGCATAGCGGGTCTATCCACGGTGGTCATTACGTGGCCTACGTGAAAGTACGACCGAAATTAGAGGAGAATAGTTATAGGTGGCAGTTTTTGCCGAAAAATCAGAAAAACGAGAAATCGCAAACGCCCAAAGGGGCTCAAGGAGATCCTGAAGTGCCCTCGGGGAAGTGGTATTATATTAGCGATTCACACGTTTCTGAAGCTAGCGAAGCGAGGGTTTTGAGTGCACAAGCTTATTTGCTGTTTTATGAGAGGATCTTGTAAGCTTTGGCCGTTCTATTTATTTTAGCTTCTTGATTAATTTATACATATATGCAAAATTGTTTTGGAATTTTTTTTTGGGTCATGGTGGAATTTATTGACAAATTTTATCAATTTAATCCCAAATAGTCGCTTGCGTAATATTATGAATGTGAGATTCTTAAAATGACAGTTTTTTTAAGATATCTTTTGTTACATTGTAATCTTTTTCCTGGGTTCATACTTATGTAATAATGTCTTTATGTAAACTGTAAAACATTTTTTGATTTGTGTATATTAGTGTAATTATTTTTTTAAGCGATTTTCTCCGATTGTATTCAGCAAATTCAATAAACAGTAAAGGATGAATTGTGTTTGAATTTAGCGCTTAAAGTTTGACGTTTGTGTTGCGTCATCTGGTGGCGGGATTGCAAAGCACGCAAGTTGACAACAAAAGACATTTTACCGCAAAAGCGAAGTTTTTGTGACAAATTCCATGAGACAGCCGAGTTTTTTGGCATTTTATCGCTGGGAGTGAGTCGACTAATTGTTTCGGAGCATTGGTTCGGTCTGAATTATGAAGAGACGAAATGCTGAAATCGGTAAGATGAGAAGACCCATGAAAAGGAACAAAATCACCGAAGGGATTTACGGAAGGTACGTTTCCGCGTTGGAATGTGACAATCCACGTGCAAAGCGCATTGAGCACATCACAGTCTAAGCCGATTTGTCCCATATGTGTTTCAAAATGGCTGGTTTTCCTAAACAAACCGACGATTTTGAATTTTCCGGACGGGAATTCCACCATTTGGCCGTCATAAACCGTTCGCCATATCATCGGCGCGGTTTTCCTAAATTTTCTCGATCCAATTTGAGCGAGCAAATCATCGAGATAGGTTAGGAGGCAGCTGTCAAAACATTTATTTTTATCATTTTAATCCCATAACGTAATTTCGGATTATGCACTTGTAAATATTGCACAAACCCAAATAAATTATCTCACCCACTAAGCCTTTTTGGTTGTCATTCACGAATTTCTCTTTTGTTGCAGTACTCTCCTGTACCTGAAGTTTCTGATTTTATGGGTATTGGTAATTCTGGCCGATTTCATCCTGGAGTTTAGATTTGAGTTCCTATGGCCGTTTTATTTGCTGCTGCGTTCGGTCTATGACTCCTTCAAATACCAAGGCCTGGCCTTTTCGATTTTTTTCGTGTGCATTGCGCTCACTTCGGACATGCTGTGCTTCTTCTTTATCCCGGTTCATTGGCTCTTCTTTGCCGCCAGTACGTATGTCTGGGTCCAGTACGTTTGGCACACAGACAAGGGCATATGTGCACCCACCATTATTCTATGGGTGCTTTTTGTGTATTTGGAGGCGGCAGTGCGGCTGCGAGACGTCAAACACATGCCGGGGCATCTGGACCTGTGCCGCCCCTTTGCCGCCCATTGCATCGGCTATCCCGTCGTCACTTTAGGGTTCGGGTTCAAATCCTACATAGGGTGAGTAAAAATAAGCCACATAAAACCATTATTTCAATAAAAAAATTTGATTTAACCCATAAAAATTGTAATTTATGGAACCTGTTTACATAAAAAATTCGGTCGTGAGTTTGCCATGAAATTGTTATTTTTTAAATATCAATTTTTTTCTGATACATGGTTGGTAAAGTACGTTTCCAGCGATTTAGACATTGATAATAAAAATGTGGCATTCTAGTTACACAATTTCACTTTTCTTTCGGATAAAAATCTACAGGAAAATTAATCTCAGTTAATGTAAAAACCTTATCAGAGTTGTTTATTAATTTTTTCTAAAACTGTCCTAATTTTAGATCAAGGGTATTCATTGATTATGTACTCAAAATAATTGATAATTGGTTTTGATCGATATTTACTTAATAACAATTTTGATTAATGCTTTAACAGAGATCAAGTTAATCAAATAAATTGATTCAACACTTACTTGTTAAATAGTTAATGTAAATTATGATTTTTTTTGGGAATATGTTTTATTTGTGAGAGCAGTATGGCACAAAACGTTAGAATAATTTAAATTTACTTTGGATGTTTTTATGTTCAAAAAATTGTAAATAGCTGTTTATGCCTATAATTGCACTGTTGCATTAATTATTGCATGAATGCTTAATGCATGAGATGTCACAGGTGTTGCATATAAGATTTTTTCCAACACTGGCAAAAAATATGAACGTGTTTCTGTAATTTTTATTTGTTTATCAAGTTCAGAATAACTGTACGAATTGATTTTTTTCACAAATAGCCAGCCTGCCAGAGGGAGTGTAGCAGGTGGCGGAAATGCTGGTTGTCTTATTGATGTTACTTCATTCTTTGGAATAATATTAAATTAAAATGTTACTTACTACTTCCGGTTTGTCCTAAGTGGCCTTGATAAGTATCACCTGGCTTTTATTACCCAACTGTTTCAAAAGTCATGAAATTAAAATAACTAGGACAAAAACATTATTTTTCGAGGAAATTCGTTTGCAGACAACATGCTGCATAACTATGCAGATATTTCTCTCTAGGGGCGAGTAACATAATCGGTAATTGTTTTTTATTACATTAGATTAATTGAAAGTAATTTTAACTATTTTGCATAAAATATCTTAAATTTTGTACAAATAAAACAAAGAAAAGAGTGTTATTAAATTACAAATAAACTTGGTTTGCTCAATTTCAAATTTAAATTTAAACTTTTCCGCCATTCCTAGTTGCGCATGTCTTATAATAGACAAGTTTTATTGGCTGTTTGTAAATAAGAATTGAAATTTCGGCTGTATTCGTGTTTACGATTAGTGTAGCAGATGCTTGTAGAGTAGAGTAGCGTCTTTTCTTTGTATTGTATCATTTTTTAATTGTCATTTTACAATTAAATCCAAATGTCTCTTATGGTATTGCGTCTTTTAAATGTCTCTTTTTGTGTTATTTTTGCCCTTTTGTGTTGTGTACAAACATTTATTAACTTCGTTACGGGTCCTCTGGCTGAGAAAATACGAAGGTAATAAGTTTTGTTATTGTTCGAATTTTTGCTTTATATGGCCAACTGTGGAACCAAATCACATTGGCATCTACAGGGTGGTGCGGAAATGTCGCTTATAATATTGTAACGACATGCTCTATAGTTTGATATCGACAGTTTTTTCAACGGTTGTTGGTAGCAACCAAACGGGCCCAAGATGGCGTCCCCAAAAATAGTTTTAATTACTCAAACCATTTTATTTAGTTTGTCAGAGCTTTTGCATTTTTAAAAATTTTATTATTTTAAAAAGCAAAGAAATATGGCTTATGGTTGTTATTTGTGTTGTTTAGGTATAGGATGAGGCAGCGCAAGCAGCGCGACGTAGCGAAAGAGAATGAATTTTACATGCAGCTGATGCAACAGGCGTTGCCCATGGACGCCATAACGCCGCCGCCTGCTGTACAGCCGCCCCCGGAGCCAGTCTCCACAGCCATCGTACCTGCCCCCGTACAAAACGCCAAAGTACATAATAATAAGTTGCACGAGAAAAACGGCCACATCCCGAATGGGACGATAGCCAACGGCGTACACGCGACCAAATCACATCATAGAAAGTCTGTTGATAAATGTAAAGAACACGACGAACACAACAGACATTCGGATAAGCACATAGATAGACAAAGACAAGTTAATCATTCGCACAGTAATGGAACGGCGGTTGGTGCCGGCGCCGAAGAACTCACTTCTACTACGGCAACGATGACCGCTACCATTCAAGAACACGAAACGAGACCGACGAGAAGAAGAGAAAAGAAAGAACAGGATAAGGAGAGGGAAGCAGCTGAGTATCTGCAAAAGCTCGAGGCCGACGCTAAAAGGCTGCGGGCGGACCTACAAAGTAGCAGAGCCAGTGAGCAAGAACTCAGGCTGCAGGTAAATAACACAAGTGTTAATTGGAAGCATAAGGCATGCTGTAATTTATTTTTATTGTTACATAAGGAGCCAAGGCTGAACTATTTACATTTTATTTGTTTCACTTTTGCTGTTTATTCAATAATTGACAAGTTGTGGACTAAAAAAATATTCAATTTCTTATACCGATTGACTGTAAATGATTGTGATTTTTTACCTTTTTTTTCATGTGGTGTCTCATGAAATTTTAATTTGGCAACTTTGACTTTCAATTTCAAATGTCAAACTTTTATAGGCAATTGTCATTCATTTGCGACGGGCGATTGCTGATCTAGCCGTCACCATAAACATTTTGATATAAATAAATTAGAAGTATTACCAATAATTCAGTGTTGCCAATAGATCTTTTTGTCACTAACATTAATAGTAAATTTTCTAAGTGACAAGTTTACAAATTTTCAGTTTTTTTTATAATTTTAATTACAGAAATATAAAAAGTTTTCTTTAGAAGACCAAGACTAAGTTGCCCCAAAACGCCTTCAACTGTGTTTATTAAATAATTATTTCTTTATTATACCTGCATCATAATCCTAAATTAAAACACGCTGCAGCGTGCGTAATTTGGGATTTATAGCACGCTGAAATTTTAAAGTTGTCTAGGTAACAAGAAATAGTAAAATGTCTGGACCAATTACAACGTGAATAATTTTATTGTGTAAATTCACATTTTTTCAATGCTCATAAAAGATCGTAAATGGGCAGGTATAATAAAAAATAGCGTATAACACTCGTTTATAAGCGCCTTTAAAACACTTATGACGTTAAAAGCACTCCGGTAACGCGTCGTGCTCTTAAACCCGTCGTGTGTGTTTTAAAGGCTTGCTTATAAACTAGTATTATAATAAACTATTTTATAGTTTCTTAACATTGACATCAAAAATGAAAAAGGGAACAGCTATTCTCGCTATATTTTTATTTCTTATTTTTTTTTTGAGAAATTAAAAACAATAATACTAATCAATTATAATTTGAGCGTTATCCCTAATTTTGGCCACAAAAACAGTTCCAGGTCTAATTTTTGTAAATCAAATAAAGGGATTTGACAAACTTGAGTTATCGAGGATTTTTAAGGGAAAAGTACGTTTAATTCCAACAAAAAGAGGTCCTCTTGATAAAAAATAGTCTTTTTAGAGGTTTCTAACGAATTTGGACATCGAAAACCAAAAAAGGTCTCTAATTTTGGCCCAGAATTGTATTTTTATTGGCAAGTCCCCATTTTTATGCAGTTACTAATGAATTTTAAAATTAAAAATTTGTTTTTTTAAATTTTGCTTTAAAAATGTTTACAACTCTTATTTTTGTTAATCAAGGTAAATTTTGAAAAGCCTGTCCTCAAATTTTCATATTTTTTCTTAACAGGACTTTTTCTGGACTTGAGAAAATGTAATTTTAACAAAAAAAATCACAAAAGTGGTTCATTTGCTTTCTGTTGATTCAAAATAGTTTTTTTCAAGTTTCCAAAAATGAAAAAATGGTCTCTAATTTTGGCTTCAATCTTTACCTTTATTGACAAAACCAAGGCTTATTGTTTTTGTTTATTAATTTTTTTTCTGAAAAAATGTCATCTAAATTAATAAAACAGAAATTTTGAAATTAAGAAGGGTCTCATGGTTCGATCACTACGTTTTTTTGTGAATAAATAGATACAGTTGTATTTACTGTACTCTCATTTTATAAATGTTTTCAAAAGTTTAGTTTCTAAGAACACCGTTCCACAAATGTTTCATAAATTATTAAATTTATTGTTTTGTGTTGTGATAGGTTGCCGCTCTCACCACAAGTGAGAAAGTAATTAAGGGCGAACTGACAGCGATGCAACGCGAGATCGAAGACATGCAGCAGCGGTATCAAAGTGTTGCAAGTTCACGCGCTTCCGATAAACAGACGATCAGCAACTTGGAACGTCGAGTGGCTGAAGAAAGGCGAGCGAGATGCAGTCTAGAATCGCAATTAAATCAAGAGCGTAAGAATAGAAAACAAGAGGAGGCCCGAGCGGCTCAAGTAAGACAGTTTTCCGGCGTCGAAACGATTTTTTTAATGAAGAATGTTGGATTAGGTGGTGGCGCAGTCGTCGCGAGGCGAATGTACGGAGGCGTGTCGAGCACGTCGTAGGGAATTAGAGGCGGAATTGAGCGAATGTCGGACAACGAAGCATTGGGCCGAAGAACGGTATGCCGCGCTGGAACGCGAAAATGCCGCCCTAGTCGACCAGCTCCGTGACATGGACATACTCATGACAGCCCTTTCGGCGATGCAAGAGAAAAATGCCCATTTAGAAAATTCTTTATCGGCTGAGACGCGCATCAAGCTCGACCTGTTCAGCGCCTTGGGCGAGGCGAAACGCCAACTCGAAATCAGAGAAAGTAAGTTGCTACAAGTTGAAATTTTGTGGTGGTGGTGGTGGTACTAGTGTCGTTTGTTTCAGGCTCTAACAGAACGCAAGAGCGCGAGATCGAAGAGTTGAAGAGCAAAATCGCGCAAGTGTTGGCTGTGATGCCGAACGACAGTTTCGGCGGTCCGACGGTGCCGACGAGCAACATGTCGAGAGTTCGTTTGGCTGAAAGTCCGCCCGGTTCGACCCTCGATCCGAACGCCACGGCCTACACCCCTAAGAGTTCTCTTGTCGCTTCCACCGAAGCCTAGTTGACCTCTTAACGCTCCCCACCTGACTCCGTACTGAACCCGGTATCGACTGCTATTGTTTATTGTTGCGTTAAGTCGCGTATGTTTCGTAATAGTCTCGTTTAGTAGCTTATTTAATGTGATATAATTTATGAAACGGTACCTTGATCATGAGGCAAACCCCTCCTCTATTTTTTGTTTGTTTATATAATTTAAGCATAAAGGTACTGAGTTTTTCTGACAGTTGGGTCGCGATTGGCAGACTAATGATCTCTATTTTGTTGTTTTTTTCTTTGATTATCCGTTCTGTTGGAAATCAGGGGATTTGGATAGAATCACGTCCGTTTTTTTTTGTTGTTGAGTATTGCATTGAGAATAACATACTAACACAAGAATAGAAGTTTTTTTTTATTTTGAAAGTGCCGTTTAACAGCTATCTGGGATTTTTGTTTTACGTGTTTAATAAAAGGTGATAATTTTTGGAAACGTCAAAAATGTACTTAATATATTTTTTTAATTGTTTTTAGTTGAGACATGATTTGTTTTCTTTTTACTGCAAATACAGTAATATTCTTTTTTAAAGGTTTTTCTTTATTTGGTTCCTTTAATTTTGTAGCTTTTGAGGCGAACAACTATGTCGGGGATTCCCTAAGACGATCTGTTATTTATTTGCCATATTTATTTTTTCTTTTGTATACTGGTAGTATTTATTTTTTTTACTGTTGCAAACTTTTATTTCATAAATAAACACTATTACAGCTTTTCCTGTTTCTTTGACATTTTTTTGATTTAACATTTTTCTACATAGAATTAAGAATCCTTGCCGTTCGTTCTATTCTTTTTACTAAATTTTCACGGTATAATAGATAGGCAGTACATGTTACGAAGTTTTGTCAACTCATAAAGTTGGTATGATGGTCTTTCTGCTCTATGTGTTTTGAAAAATGACAATTCGAGAAAAAATTAACCACAAAATAAATATTGGCCCACAAGCCGTTATGCAAATTTTGTTTTTATCAAACACCCTTTATATCCTGAACCTAGTGAATTTTGTACCAGCAGTTGGTATTCAAGTTGGCAATAATTGATATTCTTAGTGAAAAAAATCCGGTAGTTTTTTCAGTCAAGCGAGTAATTTTTCGTAAAATTATGCAACATGGAAGAACTATCAGAAATAATTAAAAACTTGGATTTAGAAGATGTGGTAAATGAAAATGTGGGATATGAATATATAAATGTTTTCAAAGTACGTAAGTTTTGTCAGGAAATTCGTGCTTAACCTCATTTTTTAGAACCCGAACAAATTGCCAATAAATCATATTCATTTAGAAAAAGTTGTGGTAGAATTACGTAAAGAAGCCCCTTTAGTAAGTGCCAAATGTAATTTTATTTTCGTATTGATAATTCGTAATTTTAGGAGTCAATTAAACCAAATGACGACATTGAAAAACAATGTTTTGAGCGTAAAACACAAGTAATACCTGCACTTGTGAGTTGCACATCATACATTTTAATTTTAAAATAAATCTGTTTTTTCTAGAGCAAATGTTGGTTGCCTGAATCACAACAATACTACAAATATCAACCATACAATTTTACTTTGTCCAAAAAAGAAAACTCTTCATATTTGATAAGTAATCGTCTGTTTTTACAAACGCTGCATTATTTGTTAAGTTGTAACTACCACCAATTTTGGTGCTTAGTTTTGTATGAACCCAAAGTGGCAGTTTGCCTTCATAGTTTCCTACTGAATCCAATTTTACCTCATCAGATAAAAAATTTAGATGATGAGACGTGTACAGTCTATTTAGCAGTATTTTCACAATTCCGGCGCGTTTATCAAAGACTAACAACGTTTCAAGAGACTGAGGTTTGTCTCACTTACATAAAAGCTTTTCTCAATAAGTGCATTTCAGAGTGAATATATGCCAGACGGTGTAGGTCTTCAGTTTTTATTAGAAAATAAATTACTTAATCTTCCTATAGTAATTACGTTGTTTCTTTTTTATCATGAAACTAACCAAGACTTCGTTAATGATTTAGTTTCTTTGTATTTTAATGGAACGTCCGTTTTTCGTGATAAAGAGATTGAAGAAATGCTAGATCAAGTTATATTGGTGATTATACAACTGTTTAAAAAATGATTTATTCAAATTAGTGATTGTAGACTTTAGAAATGATTGGAGGTCACGTTTGTGGCTTTGAACCTGATGCTGTGATAATTCCTATAGCTGTTGAAGAAAAACCTCCAGTATTTAATCTTGCCTGGGTATTTTCAGTTGTAGATTATTTATTAAACACAATTTCGTCATTACGTATGTTGCTGAAATTTTATAAACCGGCGATAAATGTGGCATTATCAAAAGGAATTCCTTACAGGTAACAAAAATTAATTTGTTGTCAAAAAAATGTGTACGTATCTTATAGATTATCGTACACTTATGAAAAAGTTTTCTACCAATTATACGATTTTTTGGACGGAAGGAAAGAATTAGAACAAAACAGGCAATTATCTGGAATTATATTTGAAGAAATTGCTTTAGGAAGGTCGGAATTTATTGACGTTTATTACGCTTTTACCACATATTGTTTAGATAAAACTTTAGAGTTTAGGTAGTGTAATCGATCACTGATAAAACGAGTATTGAAATGTTTTTCTAGTGGCGACCCTGTACATCAGGAAGAATACGTTGAGATTTATCTGAAATTATTAACTACAGCCCTTGAGGATGAATATTTTATCTGTGATTATCACGAACGCTACGACGTGGGAATCCAAAATGAAATGTTTAGTAGTTGTACTGAGATGTGAGTTATTTATAATCATTCGATTGTTTTATTGAATGTAAAATTGATAGTGACCAAACACGGACTGATTATATTCTGAATTGTATAACTTGTTTGAGACGACATAACAGGCTTTGGAAAACTCTAAGGTGTGAAGTAAAAACGCTCCAAAAGGCCATACAAAAATACGCATCAAATAGGAAAGTTAAGTCGGAAATTGTGCAAGAAAATGGGTTGGGGACACAACCAGGGCCCTCAAATCATGTGGAGGAGACGTTCGTTCCCCCCAGTGAAGAAGAAATTGAAAATTGTATCAGAATGGTGATTGATATGTTTCCCCATTTGGGAGATGGATTCATCTTGCAGTGTTTGGAAGCATACAATTATAACACAAGTGATTTAATTGGTGCAATTCTTGAGCAAAATCTACCGCCTCATTTAGTCGACATTCCATTTGACCAAATCCGGATTCCTCCGGAACCGAAACCGGAAGAACCAATCCTGGCTTACAAAGGCCGGAAGCCGGACTATGACGACGCTTTGAAACTACTAAACGACAAGAGAGACATCAAAGAAATCAAAACGTTTATTTTGGACGGAATGTTAGTTACTTATTTATGATATTATTTTGTCTTATTGTTGATGTTTCAGACAATACACCAACGAATTCGATGTTTATGATGACGAATACGATGATAGGGCTGATGAGGCTACAGTTCCAGTTCCCGACCACGGTTCTGAAGACATTTTGAAGTTTAACCCTAACTATGAAGATGTCGTCAGCGATACGAGCTATTCGGAGGATGAATACGACGACGAGGGCAAACCGGTGGGGGCTTCAGATCGCCCCCACAACAAGGCTAACTTTTGCGAAGACCCTGCTGTAATCAGAGCGAGAAGAGAAGCTCGATATAGAAGTCAAGGCAAAGGCCAAACTTCACGCCCCAAAGCAAAAACCGATGTGGTGGGTAAACAGAAAGGTCAAGGACAAGAGAAGAACGTTCTACAAAATAGACATAAGAAAAGTGTGAATAAGTCGAGCAGAGCGAATCATAACAGAAAAAGTGGGGCCCAGTGGAAAAGAAACAAAGGCATGGTGCCTTCGTAAGTGTTGGTTATTTGTTCTTTTTGTTTAATTTTTGGTATGGTTTAGAAATGTTGTGCTTTTATTTCAAATATTTAAAATTTTTTGAATAAAAATGGTTCAATTTACAAAGTGTGTCAGTAACTTTGTCAGGAGAGAACAGAGACAGCGCAATAAGACAATAATATATTTCTGTAAAAATTATCTTAAAAATCTTGTATTAAAATATTGTTTAGACTGTCGAGTATATTTTTTTGTTCCGTATTAAGTTCAGCATTGCTTTTTAAGTTGGTGACGTATGTTTGTGCATCATATAACACAGTGGATTTTTCAGGTAATAATTTTTCCCAAACTCTCTTCATTTGAATTTTTAAATAACCTGAATTAACACTATCTTTAATATATGTTAAATCTTCTTTTGTTAGTAGCGTCATCAAATGACCTAATGTTAAACAGATCTAAAAAACGATTAATTACAAAAAATCATGAAAATAAATTCGAAAAAATACTTGTTCCACTAAATTGTCGCGGTGTTTATATTCATTAAAATCTGCAACGTTTTCCGACGTTTCCAAACCTTTCATAAGTGAAATCCAAACGGGTTGGTAGAACTGTCCATAAAACTCTCTTTTGTGGGGCGACGAGAGTGCCAGTGCTGCATTAATCCGTACTTTAAAATTACGGAAATTCACAACCAAGTCAGACAATGAATGGAAAATCTTTTCCTGTGATGTAAAAATTAGAAAAAAAAAAATAATAAATAAGTTGCTTATTTACCTGCCAGTTGTTTTCTAACGAGAAAATAGATGAATTTTTCATTGCGTTTCCGATGGCGTAACATGAATTCCATCGTACCTTAAAAATTAACGCAAGTTTTACAAGGTGAGTAAAAAATTTCAATATGTTGGGAAGTTTTTATAAATGAATACCTTCATATTTGACCCTGAGGTGCAATTTTTCACGAGAATGTCTATTCCCTCTTGCACAGCATCCCTAAATTGCCCTTCCTCAATCAAATTTTCATCAATTAATTGTAAAAGATTCCCCAAGGCTCGCACCGTATTCATTTTAATTTTATCCCCATCATTTGATGCTTTAATCGTCTCTTTCAACAATTTCAGAATCAAATTTTTCGGAAATTCTTCCATGAGATGCGCCGATGTCCTACAATCTCAGTTAATAAAAATCAATCAGTGCTACCACCACCACTCACTTGTTTAAAACTAAAGCATCGCTCAGATTTCCCAACGCCCACGAACACTTTACCCTAACCGCGAAATTCTCATCCCCCAACACACTGTATATCCGTTCCGCGGTATCCACCACAAACCCCGAATCCTCTCTCAAACTCGGATAAAGGACAGAAATTGCCAAAGCCCTGACCGCAGCCCCCTTTACAGTGTTTTCCTCATCGCGACTACTGGCAAAGAGGAGAGTCACACATAAAATTTGCTTGTCGCGGGGGAGTTGCTCGAAAGTCTCCGCCCCTATACTGCCCAAACAATCGCAACCTATAGCCCGCAAAACTGGCTGTTCGCATTGAAAAAGTGCCGTGAGTGACCCTTTGAGTAGAGTTTGCCAGAAAAGGAGATATTCCTCAGGTAGAATCATTGCAGAACAACGATTCATTGCTTGGCCAATGAAATCAACAGCGCGACCTGCATGCAACTGCACATCTGTGTACTTGCTAGCCAATGACAAGTCGAGTGCTCTAGTCACGTGGTTTAAATACGGCGCAACTAAATCCTCAAAATAGTTGCGACTTATAATTGAGATGATTTGAAGCGATTCGAGTTTGACAGGAGTGGGGACACTATTCTGGTCAGTATCCACTCCCAAATTGACAAGACATCGGTGGAGGAGCCACGGAGTGTCCGAATCAGAACATTCAGAATTTTTCGTACTCTTGAGGAAAGCTTCTCTGCATTCGGGAATTATCGGTTCTGAGGCTAACACACATCCTAGTACTATCAAAGCCGCCACTTGCACTGTTGAGTCTTTGTGATAAATGAAAGGTTTGACGTTTCTTATCACTTTTGTGATTAAACCGGGGGCTAGTCGATGATAAGGTGTCGCTTGGACCAGAGCCGCAAAACATTTCAAAACCATTGTTAACACAGGAATTGAATGTGCGCTTAATGCCAGACTTAGACATTTATGCAATTCCTTGATTGTGAGTCCTAGGACGACGGAGAATGGTGTAAAGGCGAGATTTTCGCTACAAAATTTGGTTTAGTCCTAATTGAGTAAGATTGGTTTGAGTACCCTTTTTCCGCTTGTGCTAAGTAAACTTTGGACAACGAAAGTAGGACTAGTAGAGCGTTCAAAGCCCCCATGCTCCCCCTATTGGACGTTTCTTTAAGTATGCAAGTCATTAAATTATGTTTAGATGAAAGCGGATTTTCAGGGATAAAACTTGACCAGTATGAGAAAATCACAGTCTTGTGAGTTAGCTAAATAAATAATTTTGAAAATTTCATTTCCTGAATCAATGACTAACCTTAATACTATGCAAAAATAAACCAAGAGCGGCCTGACGTACCCTCCCATTCATCACATTTAGTTTTGCGAGATTTCCACCCTCTGTGTCCGAAAAATCGGAATCGCTTGTTTTGACACCATTACCGAAATTGGCCATTGTTTCGTCAGTAACAGCAGGAGTGTAACCCCCGGTGTCATCTTCCCACTTTTCTGATTTTCGTGTTTTCATAATAGTGGGTTGTGTTTTCGGCTTTCTTTGCTTAGTCATCTAAAATAAATGTTTAAGTTATTAATTACATGTAATGACTTATTTACCTTTCCTCCCTTTCCTCTCGCCTCATTTGTACTACTCTCAGGGATACTTAAAGGCGAAGGTAACAATTTTTGAGGCTTCACAAATTCTATCCCTGCGATTCCAAGTAACATGTAGGATTTTACAACCCCCAGGATTATCCCCAAGTTATCAGAGAGTAAATTAGGTTTTATCCTGATAATATTTTGCAAACCTCTCAAACATACAATGTAAATTTTCTTACTTATCAGTTTATCTAAATTGAAATTATTTGTGACCGTGTGTTTTAAGAAAATTTCAAAACTAATTTGGAACTCATATTTAAACTCGTCCTCCGTCAAGATTTTAGTATCTTCGGGAGGTATTGTGCAAGCTTCCAGGCACTGTAAGGCAAAAAAAGCCAATTCTGGTTTTTGTTGATTGTTTGCTAAGCTTATTAGAGTATTGTTTTTCACAATTTCAGTAATTAACTAAAATAATAGTTTAAGCCACGTTTCATAACTAGTCTAAGGCTAACTTCATGTCCGGTATTTGCACGCAATAAGGCATCTAACGCAACAAGGAGATCTGCAATCCAATCTTGATCTTTTAAAGCTTGCAAGCACCACACAACTGCCACGGTAAGAGTACGCCCGTCTATAACCACCTTTTGGCGTGTAATTAAATTTGTAATTAACTGGCAACATTTCAGGACGAGTTCCTCGTCTTCAGGGGGTATTAACGAACAACACTGATTGACCAAAAGGACAGCTTTCTGAAAATTGTCAAGTTAGAAAGTGAGGTTAGGGCAGAGTAAATCTTACAGTCGGGCTTGTTACGATTGGATATTTGTAATTGAAAGAATTTAGTTCGTCTAGAATTGCGTTTATAACACTGCGGTCGTTTTTGGAGCGTCCGTATGATAATTGAGTGATTTTTGATGACAGACTGTTAAAAAGTTCTCGGCTGTCACTTGTGGCAGCCATGTTTAGTAAAATGTCAATTTGGCCAAGGCGCCAACGTTACAGTTTTATTCGTGACATTAAATTAATTTTTATTTGATTAAATGAGAGGCAAACATGTATTTGTTTGTTAGTTGGTTGAGGGGGGAATGCCGAATGCAGATTGTGTAAGGATTTCATGTTAGTTTGTACAAGTTTGTTTGTTTTGTTTTGTGTGGTTTGGTTGGTGCCCTTGTCCACAGCTGTTCGACACTTTTGACATTTGACCAGCTGTTTGCATTTCGCGTCGCCGCATTCGTTTTAGGAAAGGCCTGTCCCGTCCAATCAGTCGCTGTTTGAGTTTCGGCGGTCGCGATCGGGGTACTTCAGTTCCCTTCTTGATGATCCAGGGACGGAACTTTGAGATTGATCACTCGACGGCGCATTCCTCCTCAGTTTCTTCTTTCGAAATTATTATGTAATTCAATGAGGGCCGTTATGTAAGGTCGAGTGCGGGGCGCGTGCGGTAGGTGTTTGGTGAGCTGTGCACAGTGTACCGAAATATGTTTATTTGAGCGAGTGTGGTGCAAACTGCAAAATGGCGGACTTAGAGGCAGTGCTGGCCGATGTCAGCTATCTCATGGCCATGGAAAAGAGCAAGTGCACACCAGCTGCGAGGGCCAGCAAGAAGATCGTGCTGCCCGACCCCAGGTGAGTCACTAAGGTCGTTCACCCCCCGGATGTCAACCTGGGGGACGCCTCCGGCCGGCATCGATCTACCGGATTTTGGGGCCCTCGCATGAATCACAGACAAAAAGCAAACCCCGACGCGATTTCCTGTTACGGAGACATTGGATTGGGGCTATAACTAATTGGAAAATTTCTAGAAATTTTATTATACAAATCGGTTCTATTTGCTGATATCTTTTGTGGCAAACGCGAAGGAAACGCTACCACAATAAACGTATTGTACCTATTTTAGTAGTGCAGCCAGACAATGGCATGTCCGACAAAACACGCACAATCTCGAGGATGTGTTCCCATTTTTGCAAAATTTTAATAAACGAAACTTGTCCACTTCGTAAGAGTTTTCATTGCTTTTTTCTTTTATCAATAATCATAAGTAAGATAACTGCATACTTGTTTTCAGTTCTAATCTTTTTAATTTTTTCTAAATAATAATTATTATTATCTGTTCAAAACAATATTTATTGTTCTATAGAATGTCCCCTGATTGAGTTTACAAGAGGAAAAAAAAATAGCTTTGATACGTTAAAACCTCGACCAAAACTTCAAAGGAATAACAATTTTTGCTTAACCTTAAACGAGCAAATCTTTAATTAAATCTTCATTACTTTGACTTAATAGAAAGAAAAATTAATTTTTTGCTTGATTTTGGACTTGCAATAATTTTTCTCTGCTTTTTAAACCTCATCACATTGGCGGTTTTATTTTTTGAACAATGATGTCACTGACAATTAATTAATTGAGTAATGATTGTTCTTGTTAATAATGACTTTGTTTTTTTTTTATCTTAAAGCTTTTTCTTTGTTATTTATTATCATTTTTTCATTTTTGTTATTTCTCTTTGATAAACTTATTCGTCCCGCCAATGTGACGGGATTTAAGAATCAGGGAATAGTAGTCTGCTTTTTCTTTAAATGGAAATTAGCAAGTCAAAATTTTGGTGAAAAAATTGGTATATTATAGCAAGCTTGTCTCAACAAATTTTGTTTGCTCTTTGTTTTTATCCCTAGAAATTTTGTTAAAAAATTGTGGTTATGTTTTCAAATTGAGATGTCAAAATTTTGTCTTTTACGAATTTTGTGTGCTTATTAGCTCTTTGAAATCACTATAATTGAATACCTGAGAACATACATCATTACCTAAGGTCTAAAGACAGAATTCAGTGCTAATAATTTTGATAGAAACACATCGCAAGTAAGTACAATGTTGTGGACAAAAATGAGGTTCTTGCTACAAAAACTTTGAAGAAAAAGGATGTATATACAGAAAAGAGTTATAGCAAAGATACAAGTAATATTATGATGATTGGCAATAAGTTTTGTGTAATTTATTGAAATGAGTTCAAAGTTGATGCGTTTTATAAATTCTTCTTCAGCTTTAGTTTCAAAATTGTTACTTTTTTAACTCGTTCCTCAAAAACGATGCACAAGACACTAATTTAATTGAGTTCTTCCCAAGGTTCTTTCTCATTCATGCTTATTTTGTATTTTTTTCAATTTTTTGCTAAAAATTTCAATTGTTTAGCAAACCTGCATTACAAATGGCTTCTTCATTTTAACGGTCCCTTTTTCTAACTTTCTGCTTGCGAACTATTTGTTTCCAAATTTCTAAAAACTGTTAGCGGAACCGAATTTGTTCCTTTTTTGGTGTTTCGTCTCTAAATTTCCTGAGTGTTTGGACATTTCCATTAAAAAAAAACATACTATATAAGCACAAATTTGAAATTCCGAAACGAGCTTCGTAGCGGCTAGTTGAGGAACAAATGAGTGCTTGAAAAACCTTCTGCAACAAGTGCTTTATACTATTTCTTCTATTTCTATCATTTTATAAATTAAAAGACGAAAATTAAAAAAAAATTCTAGAGAATTTTGCGACGATTGGCGACATTTATGTGGAATAATTTTAGGCGGCTGTGAAAAATAAAAATAATTCTTATTTTCACATTTGAAAATGTATAGTGAAGAAAGTCCGTCACAAAAATTAAATTAACGCCAACGACTTATTAAAGCACTCAAATGACGTCATTTGGTCGAGGACACACCGCAAGGTCGAGGACAGAATTTTTTACTTTAGGGCTGTATTTGTGTAAGTTAGTATGTAAACATATTAAAAGTTTCTATTGGACTATAGTGAGTGGGGCGCAGGGGGGCACCAAGAGAGTGCTTTTTTTCTTATATTCATAAAACGGTGCGTTAAAGCTTATAAAATTTTCTACAAGGTGATTTTTTCGGGTTTGTATCTCAAATAGCGAGATATTCGTCACCAAATATTGCACTCTCTTAATTCATTAATTAACGGAAGGATTGTTGTAAAAGTTGTAGACATTGTGATTGGACAGTTTAAGGTCGGTCATTATGATAATGTAGGAAAACCAATCGCGTTGGATTTTCATTCATTTAAAATTCATTCAAAAATTTATTGCAATGATATGTTGGTCCGTTTGAGGTCGGCCATTAATGTGAGAAGCCAATCACTTTCGACTTTAGATTAAAAATAAAAATATAGCAAATTTGTTCGTTTATCTATCCTGGCGAAGAGGATAAACTGACGTGAAAATCTGAACATTTTCAGATTCAGATGCAAGAAATGAATCATAATCACATTTTCGTGGGAGTCTTTGGACAATCTACAGAAAGATACGAAAAGAGAAGCTGCAGAGGTCTACAATTTATTCAACACAATCACTTTTGCTGTGAACTTGGGACTTAGACAAAAAGTGTTTTTTAAAGAGTGCGATATTTGATAGCTGATATTTCGAAAACTATTATTTAAAATACAGAAAAAAACCGAAAACACCGCCTTGTAGGAAATTTCTTAATCTTTAATTTTATACATAATCATTTTCTCAACACACAACATTTTCGAGGTAATAGAGAGATCCCTTTTCATCCCCTGCACATCACAGTGAACCGAAAAGCTAGTTCAAACACAATCGTGAAGTAGAAATTCTATTCCCAACAGTGTATTCTACAATTTTTTTGAATATTCATTGACTGGACTAAAAGTCAAATAAGTAATGAGTAATGACTATTTGAGTAAATAAAAATTTAAATAGCTATTTAAAATTTGTTTCGAAATTCTTTCGATGAAAGTCCGGCGTTACTGTATATTTACTTTAAAAAGTGTGGAAACTTTGCTTTTTTGCATAACAGACATTCAGCTTTAATTCATCATTTCTATTTTTGTTTTGAGAAAATTGATTCATTACCTATTGGACTACATGCAGTTGTAAAAACGATTAAATCTGTTCATTTTGATCAGAAAGTTTCAATTCATATCAACGCTAATGGATTAAATAAGGTGTCAATCCTGCCAATAAAATCTACCAAATCAGCATGAGGTCAATTTACATAATTTTTATTTCGTGCAAGCAATTACAAGACTAAATTAATTTGTATTCTGATTAAATCACGGCCCACTTTATATTGACACTAGTCCAGACCTGTCTACAAATCGACTTATTTTTCCTGATTTATTGATTATAATACCGACATGTGTTTTCGTTATTTTGAATAATTTGGAATATTGAGGTTTCGCTAAAGAATTGTTAAAAGTTTAGTCGTAAATCTTCTTACAAAGGTTTATAAAGAGAATAAGGGTTGACACGTAAGCAATAAAGAGCGTAATAAACAATAATGAAGGTTCGAGAATTTGTTTTATTCGAATATTTATCAACCTTTTCGACTAAATCTTGATAAATAGACTACGACTTTTTTTAAGTGAGTGTTACTTTTAAAAGGCTATGTTTAATGTTAAAACATGTAAATAAAACATACTCTCTAGCTCATGATAGTTTATTTATTTTCAATTTTATCGTCACGTCGATGCACATAAAAGGAGTTGTTGGAATAATTTTATGATCTAAAAAGAATTTGAGTTGGTTTCTTTTCTCTCGAAATAATCAAATAGCCATGTCATGGCCGGCCGTGATTTTTTCCAACATTTCGCTGCCTACTGTGACACATGGTTTCTTTAACCCCGCAGTCTCGGTATAGATAAACATTAACAAATAATGACATGCTGCATGATTAATAATAATAAAAAATGTACTTAATGAGTCAGCAATTTACGGTTTTGGTGATTTTGCAACATGATCATTTCCGTAGGTTTATTTTTAAAATGCTCTATTGATGTAATGTGTAATTGTGTAATGTCTGAATATCGTCACATTAGTAATGATAATAATTAATAATAAAACATTTTTTCTTGCTAAAGTGCAAGTGGATGGTTGATGGTTTCGATTTTGGTTTATTTTTTACTTTAATTTGTATGGTAATAAATAAATTTTCCTTCAATTTTTTCATGTGGGAACCGTCACTTGCAGCCAACAGCTGATTTGTCGAGTCGAGCCTGTTTGCAATCGACATTAAAATATATCACATGCGAATTGTCATTGATAAATCATCGAGGGTATCTCTTGCGTATGACGTCGGTTTTAGTTCGATAATTGACGTACTTGTTAATGGAAAAAATCTTGAATATACTCGAAAAAACCTGAGTACTTTCGAGTAAGACGTTTCAGTGATATTTTCGCAGGTTGTTTGCTCATAATTATGAATATGCAAGTGCAAATATTATGGTAATTACGTTGTACTCTCAAATATATACGCGATTCTGTTTGTACAAACTGTTGACAAAATTAATTTGAAGTATTTCCTTGGAAAAACAAAGTCTCGAGCTTCTAAATATCGTAATTAATGAAATTTCGTCTAGATCTCTTACTATGATTATTTTTTACTTGCATCCAATTAGAGCGGTACAATAAAGTTTATTAGTCTCTATTTTATTATGTTTGTTTGGAAAGGTTTGTTTTGCTGAATCAATAACGTTGAAAACTTAGGGGGTGTTTTGGAAATTGTGTTGGAAAATTTTATAACCCTTCTCTTTAATGAATTAAGTCGGTTTTTCAATTTTCACCACCAGAGGGAAACTCCGAGTTATTTCCTCCCTATTATTATATTAAGATAATTATCTAATTTTCCCGTGTACTTTTCGTTTTATTTTGCATATTAAATGTTGAAACGGCGCACTTATCTGTTTATACGATCGTCGTAATATAATGAAACGGCCGGACGTTATTCCACGTAATAAAAACGTCTCATTTTCATTGAATACAAACATTTGCAAATTAGTTTTTGTTTATTTATATTTGATTGATGTTCTTATTGTTTATTTTATATACACTGTGCAAATTTGAGAACCTCGCTTTGAGTGTGTTTTGGTTCGATGATTAAAATATTTGCCTTTTGCATCAAAAATTGGAAAGTGTGACGATTATGAACTAACCACGCCCATTCCGATTGTCAAAAATGGGCGTGGTTGCCTTAAGTTTGACACAGCTTTTCGACATCAAAGACGGCGTGTTTTGGCGTTTACACGGCTCGGGATAAACAAAACCGCGTGTGTGGCCAAAAATAGGCGTTTGTTTTGGTTTCGGTGATGTTCGAGGAATTTTTTTGTTTGTTGATGGCGGCGCGAGGGAGAGTTGTCTGTCGAGTAGTGGGGATGATAATTTAGGTTTATAATTATTTTCTTAATTTTCCCGGCCTATTTATTTCAAGGAGTCTAAATCAAATTCTGCGTTTCTTGGCTTAAAGGAATAGAGGGGGTTCGCGTGAAAGTTTTTTTTATCGTAAGTTATTTTCGTGTTGTAATCTACGAAATAAATCGCAGATAATGTAATAATGATAATCTTGTGATTGGAGGGAATTTTATTAAAGCTTATTCAAATATTAATATTTCTCGATGTTTCGAAATCAGAGTTAAGCACAACTCGGCTAAAATGTGTTTGCATATGAATATTGTAGAAATCGTGGGATGAGAATTAGTATTAATGTTTATTATGTCAGTCACATATAACATTGGTAAATGCGTGGATATGACAGAGGTTAAATAATGAAGTTCAAAGTGATGGTTTGGTCGAAGTAATAACTTTGTAATTGAATTAGAAGTAATTTGAGGTAAGAAAATATTAAAAGGGAGATCGGATTTCAGGATTTGAGAACTCTACTGGCTGTTAGTGTAAATATTTTATTACTGAAGGGTCACAAAATTATAGATTAGAGCAACCCTTATTTAAATATGTCAGAAGTGATAGCGTAGAAATATTGAGGAAATATTTTTTTTTCAGACTGCGAGAGTAGATTTATCGATTTGAATTTCGAAAGCAAATATTCAAACGAAGACGTTTTCCATCAATATCTGACTCTTCAATAAGCTTTTTTTATTTTTTTATGATGTCGCGACGAATATTTTTAAATGTCTTTCTTTTTGAGTATATTTAGTTTCACAATAATTTTTTAAAATATTTGTACTATTTTCACTTTCCTCGAGTACCGCTGTTGGATGTATTTTCTAATTCGGTTTACTTTTAGGCGTCTATTTTTGCCTAATTTATTTCGCTATTGTCGAGTTTAGTAACTTTTCGAAGATCAGACGTGGTAACTATTGATTACCTGTACAAAAGTTTTAGTTGCGTATTGATTTCAATTGTTTTTCCAGCGTTTTAAAATTTTGCACTTTATAAAACAATTAAAAAGTTGCAATATAATCTGTGTACTTGACAGGATCAAACATCTACTTTTACCGCTTTTTCAGACGACTCTTTTGATCTCAACCTTTACTCGAATGTCCTCTTTTTCGTTACGTCCAAAGCTTCCTTTTTGATCCACACTTCGTGGTAGGAAACGAGCAAAAACTGATACTTCAAGGAAGTTGCCCTAATTGTTTAGTAAAGTTTTGTAAAACAAAATTGATACTTTTAAATACACTCTAATCTTATGGAAAATAGTGCTACTGACGCGTATATCGTATAAATTTTTACCCCGAGGCCACAAACAATTTTTTTCTTGAAGCTTTATTTAATTTATTGCAATTAAAATATTAAATAATTGTCTCTTCAATATAATTATTTTTGAATATCCTCCAAATAACCATAAATTGGTATCCAACAGCGATATACCACCTTTCATATAACATTAGAGGTGTTCGAATGACGTCAACAATAGCATTGACTTTACAAACGGCAATGTTGTATTTTATTATAGTCATCTTCGGTGGCGGGGCACATACGTCAAACAGATTATAATAACATACCTCTTAATATTCCAAATTCCAAATGTTTCCAGATGGAGAAGTCAAAGGTCGTCAAGGCCGCACAACATTCTTCGCAATAGAAAAATAATCTCACACTTGCAATTGACACACAATGCGTAAAACATCACATGTAAAGCAAAAATAATAAGTACCTACTTTATCAGAGCTTTTAAAACATGATTTGAGAACGAAAGCTCTTTGTAATAAATGGTTGGTTTGTTTGATATTTTTTTACAATAAGTTAAAACTACAAAGTTAATTTAAAATAAAGTCGAAAAGCAATGTTAAATAAAATTCGTAAAAGATGAAAAACGAAAGCAAGTAATTAGCAGATTTGTTTTCATTCATATTAATTTGCTTTTCTCATCTTTTGGGCTTAAAGGGGCGTAACAATTAAAATCGGATTAAAGAAACTAAAGCCAGATTAGGTAAAACGAGCCTATAAAGTAAGATATTGCTAAAAATAAACAGTAAACAGGAAAAAATAATTAAACAGGCAATAAAATTAAATCTACAAATTTAAATCTGTAAAACAAAGGAACGGAAAGATACGGATTACTTATCCAAAAATAAAATAAAAAGTAGGTACTAAAATAAATATTTAAAAGTAAGTAAAGAGTGAAACAAAACAGTAACACAGCAAAAGTGTATTTGAATTAATCTAACTAAGAATAAAATAAAACAACACAAAAACTTTCTATTATACATAAAGTACAGGAATAAATAGTATGTATTATAAAAATAGGTACATATAAGTTTAAAATTAGAATATTGTTTTTTTAATAGAAAAAAATCAAACGTATTTTTTTAATAGATAATAAGATAAAAACTAAAAAAAAATCTTGAGTTCTAATTAAACCCAACATTGCTATAAAAAAGTATTTGTAATAAAGTAGTAATGATTAAAATTATTTCTTCGGCTTCTAGTTTGAAAATGTTTTTTGTTCGAGTGTGTGTAAAACTGGCTAGACAGTTCTGTTGTTCACTTTTATCTGTCGACAGCTGTACCTACTGTACATCATCGATTACGCTTTGTTTAATTCGTGATTTCGCGCTCAAGTGGTTTCGAAAGCATTACGTAACTAGTAACTTGGCGTTGTGCCTGACACCCATCACAAAAAAACCAAACACAAGAAGATTAGACTTGGCTTCTGTGTATTTTAAATACGGTCGATACGTTTATTTATTGCGCCACTTCCAATTTGGAGAGACGCGGACGTGAGAAGAATCCTTTTGCGGGGTAAAAAGTGGTCTCTTGACCTTTTTTTTTTTATTTCTTTGTCTTTAAAGCGGTTTTATTTTTACGTTGCTGGCCGAGGGTGCGCTTTCATCTTGCGCGGAGATGGAAGATTCACTATTAAAGTTTAATTTTAAAACGAACCAAAGACTCACAGAGAGAGTCACAAGTGAACTCATTTTTTTTAACTTCTTGTTTTTGTTTCAGCGTTCGCAGCGTGATGCACAAATATCTGGAGAAGAAGAATGAGGTGAACTTTGACAAGATCTTCCATCAAACATTAGGTGAGTTCCGGAAACGAGATTCTAACCTTTCACGACTTACCGGACGTGAAACCGGACACTTTTCAATTAACTCGTTCGAAGGAGATAGGGAAGGTCGAATTGCAATTATTGACGAGCGAAGGTGTCAATAAGAACGCAAGAACTTGACAAATTGTCGGGGAAGGGCCGATATTGAAAAGTACAAAAGTCGATCCGATTGACGGAAATTAGAGAGATTTCCGATAAAGAGAAAACGTACAAATGAAAAATAAATAGAATGCACATAAATTAAGCTCCGGGTTACAGAAAATGTACAGTTACGGAATTAAAATTTCGGGCACTATTGTTATTTTTATAATGTAAACTCTAAAACAACCTTTACATTAATAACCTCATTTTTTACTCTTGTCGTGTTTATGTCATTTTGACTTACCTATTTATTTTCAAAAATAGCGTCACTGACAAAATGATGACAGTAAAAGGTAGTTTACAGTGAACTTTTTAAAGTGACAGAAAAATACTGTTCGAAATATTAATTCGCAACTGTACATAAAATAATTTTAATTGCTATACTAGGACTTATTAGTGGTCTGTTTTTGACTTTTTACCTTGAAAATTAAATTTCGGCGTACTAAATTTTTTTGCTGCACTTGTTTCGGTAACACTGATTTTCCGCACGTGCTATTTTCGGTAAGTACATGAGTTTAAAGCCAGATTCGTGTGGGCGAAATTTCATTATCTCTCTCGAATGGTCGAAATCTGTTCATTTTCATTTCACAAGTTGCAGCCCTTTTTCGATCGTTATCATTCGGTACGAGAAGTAAATCGGACATAAACACATTCCGGTGGCCGGATCGGGTGGACACTCGACAACAACCTGACGCATAATTAATCCGGAAGGATTCCGGATCTTTACCCCGTCTGGACTTCCGGATGGTCGCGCAATTCTCCTCCGATCGATATAAGGCAAGGCAGTTAGTCGCTGGCTCGAAACAAGAATTACGTCTTTTACATCGCGAAGTATCGAGAAATGAAGAAATGAAAAGTTATTGTTTGAGGTGTAGCGTAGGTAAAAACCACCACCACCCACCCACACGCGATATTGTTATTCCGTAGATACATATGTAATTTATTTACACGAAATTGTTTGTTTTTTCAAGGGGAATTTCTCATGTCTATTTCGTTCTCATTAAAATGTGATTTATTTTGAGAATTGACGGGGCGTTTTCGACCGTTCCCATTTTAAGTTTCGTTTAATTGCAACGTGACTGGATAATTTCGCCGCGAATTGGCGTGTAATGCGGAAAATAGGGAACGAGTGACGAAGTTTGTAATTATTTCTGAGAAATGGACAAGAACTGAAAATATTGATTCAATTTATGAACAGCTTACGAAAGCTTCCATTGATTAGCTACTTGAGTCAGTGTGTTGAGTTGTTTGTTATTATACAGGGCGATTTTAAAGTACATGCAAATATTTAACAGGTTGAACAATAGAGCTCAAAAGAAGTCTTATTTGAATATTCATGGTTTTTGAGAAACAGAGAGTTTTGTTTCTCGAATTAAACTAAATTTGGGGCGCAGCCTTTAACTTCATCACCGACTCAAATTGTAAGCAATTATTATCTTTGAGGGTACCTCTTCAAACTCTATTACATTGTTAAAAAAAATTGAGTTAAAATTAGCAATAATAGGCAAGAAAAAAGTGTCCTCATTTAAAAAAAAAATCACAAAGCGGTAAAAATTTTGGATCTTTTTTTTTTGTTGAAGATATTACTCAATTTCAGTACCTAAAATGTTACCGGCAACGAGTAAACTTTAAGATAAAGTATTCAAAAGGTTCAAACTTCGTTTATACTGCAGTTTTTAGACAATTTTTTCGGCAAGTTTTGTTATTTCGACTATTTCCTGTTTTTCTTTGTTTTTTAGAAAGTAGTAATTTAATTTACCCTTGGTCTGAATTTTTAATAAGAAATAGAAAATGAGTTTCAAGTGCACACCCCAACTGTTTCACTTCTTTCTAATGCATTTCCATTAGTCTTAAGCATCTCTCGAATACCAACTGCCATCCGATTTCGACGTATTTCTGATGAAATTTTAGCGAAATTTCAAACTTTCAGCAACATTGATACTTCTCAGAAATTCAGACATACTTCCAGCAGCACATTCGACTTTTATGGCATTTTCTTGTACATGAACGTAAAAGGCGAACTTCAGCCGTCTCAGCTATCGTTTTTACAGCCATGTTTGTTGTTTTCCTGAATACGCAATAAAATCCGGTAATGCCGTCATTACCTAATGTCTGAAAGTCGGATCCCCGGAACACATATCAGCGCCATCATGAAATTTGTATCGGTTTTATTATTGTGACGCGAGCTGGAAGTGTTTTATTTAAAGATTCGCTCGCTTCGATTTGGGAAACAATACGATATTCAGATTAAAGGGCCAGAGGGTGAGGTTTTGTTTGAGAGACCATTAAAAGAGACAGTTCGAATTTTGCAAGAATGTGATTGAATAAAAGCTTGACGTACGTCAAGGTCGGCGCATTTCGTCCGACCAATTCCGTCTAATTAACCGGACAAGTGTTGATACGGACGACTTGACTCGTGTCGTATTTTCATTTGATCGCGTTCTATTTATAAAACGTTTGAAGCGGGGTTAACGAATGTGCAGTTTTTAATTGGAATTGGATTGAATTCGTCGAGAATCGAATTCGATGGCGGACGTGTGGTCACAAACGACAGATAAAACATTGCGAGCTTTACGGCCTTCGAATTTTGATCTGACGTCAGCTTTTAATAGCCTTGTCGACGAATATCGTTTTATGAGAGCGAAACGAAAAAAGCTCCTGCTTGTGCGACGTCAAGCTCTGATGGCGCGGAACGTGACATTAGTAAATCAAGAACTACATTCATCAAAACGTCGACTATTAATAGGACAAACTCATAAACTTCATGAGGGTTTAAGCCAGGGTGGCTTCAAGTTTTTGCTGAGAAGAATTGAGATGAAAAGGATGACACGTTTTTACCGTCCGTTTTGACGGCGGGAACGATTCCGGCTTTCGGGATTTAAAGTCTAATTATAATTCCAAATTTGTTTTCTCCTCGGATTGTAAAAGTCAAAAGATTGTGCTTTGGGAAGAGGATTCGTATTTATTTTAGGATACGAATGATAACTGGAGTGTATTTGTTTGAATCCTCATTTGGTTGGCAAATATTTGATGGATATTTATTAATTTATATTAATTTTTATTTGTTACAATGTACTTAGTTTTCTGATTAATGATAATGAAAGGACATATGAAAGAAAAAGGTTATATCTTTCCCTTGGTGTATTTATAATTAACAAACCTCCAAAATTTAAGGTTACGTTTGGGAAACTTCAGATACTTATAACTCAATTTTTTCTTCACTAAATGAAAGAGAATTTATTTCTGCATCGATCTGTATCAACATTCCCTATACCTTAGTTTAAAATGATTTCCAAGTTATTTTGTTTTTTTTTTTTCTCAATGGAAGGAATTCATTACTATTCATACTAGTTTTCGTATAGTTTGCTATGGAAATGAATTTCACTAAAAAACGCCAAGTTTTTTTTTCACAATTATGTTATTCTTTTCGCAAATACAAATTATATTTATTCAATCTAAATTTGTATAACTTTGTTTCTCTATTTTTTTTTCTTATTTCTATGGCAACCTATGCTAGACCAGTTGGGTCTAATGAATTTCTTGCAATATTAAAAGAAGTTACTATAACTTGAAAACTATTACACATAGCTATAGGAAATATTAATACAGATCGAAGCAGAATTAAATTCTCATCTGTTTAGTGAAGTTGAAAAGTGAAGAAAAGTCTTGTTTAGAGAATTTGAAATTTCCCAAACGTAACATAAATTTTGTGAGTTTGTCAACTATTTTTGCAGTTATGAATACATCAAAGAAAGTTCTAACCTTTCTCTTTCATATGCCCAAATACGATTTATAAATTATGAAAAATGGTAGAGTTATCGATTATTGAATAGGAAGGTGCAAATCCAGAAAATTTCAAAAGTCTAATTATTTCAAAGACGGCTGAACTTAGGTATAGGCAAGGCTGATAAAGTCTCTCTCAAAATAACTTGAGTAATCTAAAAACGCAATAAATAACAAAGCTTTTTATTAAAAATAACGAAGTTGTTATCCACTTTTGGTATAACCAGAAGATCCTTCCTAAAAATATTTTCATTGAGTAGGTCCTAACCGATAATGGCTAGAAACAAAATTTTAGATAAATAATAAAATGTATCATTGATAGAACTCCCAATACTTCTAATGTGGGATTTAGCCGGAACACCCTGTATAACTAAGCTTACATAAAACAATATTTATTATTTTCATTCATAAAAGGTACCAGAATTTCTGAGCCAAATCCAATAAGCCAAATCTATTTTTTGCGTTTTGCTATTTAAGGTTATTGCCCAGGTATTTTTGTATTTATTCTTTTAGTTTTTCATTTAAAATTAATTGAACTGAACCACCCTTATATCTTTAATTGTTTGACCTGAATCCTACCATTTTATTGCCTGCTGCATTTGTCCGTATTTAATCTGACTTCGCTCCAGTAGCTCATCAAATTAATATCAGTTAATTTAAAATTTGATCACGTACGTGCGAGATTTTAATTGATTGCCGCTTTATCGAAGAGTTAAACGACATCATCGTCGCCTATCCTGCGGGATCGCTTTCATCTTGTAAATTACTATCAGGCAACGACGAATCGGACGTCGATTTGTCTTTAATCTCAGTAACATTCTCTGGCTTCAAAGTCATCGATCCGTTTTTTTCAATCCTATGTGACCGAGAAAACATCCCTCTATTGCTTCGTCTTCATTATGATAATGATACCCGGTGGAAAGAGACGCGACTCAAAGACGCAAGATTGTTCAATCGAGTGTCCTCTCTCGGGAAGCTTTTCCTTTACTTGAAACGCGACTAATTATCCGAGAAGGGACGTTATTATCGGGCGCAGATGGTGGATTTCCTGCGAGAGGGATCGTTACACGACGTTGCTGATTCCTCATTGTGTATCCCGGATCGGAGTTTTTCGACGAAAATTCTAGCTAATTTCGTGATAGAGGAATTACGCTGTTTAGGTGTAATGACAGGAAATTTGCAAATTACAAACTTATTGTGGATGGCGGGTTTGGTGATGGAGGCCATTACGTGTCGAGTGAAGTGACAATTTAATGGGAAATTTTGACAAGTAATTCACTTGGAGATGATTGCCCGGTGTTAAATTAAAAATAAAAGAATTGACTCATTAATTATTGTTAATTATCGGTTTTGTGCATTAGTTGACGTGCACTAACTCACGACACACAATATTGAAACAATAGATGGTGTGGAAAATACAAAGCCTGGAAAAGGAATACCGCAAGGACCAATTATGGGTCCACTATTGTTTCAATTAATGGTCAAACGTATGAATAAACAGTGGAATATTTTATTGTATTTGTCTTGAATGTTCATAAAAAATATAGTATCTGCAAAACCATAAAAAATTATTAACATTTTGTAAATAAATTATTTTTACAAAAACTCTTGGATTTACAATGAAATATCTCAGTCACAGCTCTTATGGAAAGATTCTTGCCTAGAAAAAAAACACGATTCTTGCATTTTTATGTCTGTTGGAAGAAAAAAATTCTATTTTAACAGCTATGCATATTATGCATAGCTTATTTATTGGTGTTTTTCGAGAGCTATTTAATTTAATTCTGTTCTAAATTCTTAATAATGAATTCCTAGGTCTATAAGCCAGCCATATTTCGAGTTGCTGTTTCCCAATGTAAGCATTAGTAGATTGCTTGATAGTCTAAGGAAAGTCTTACATAACATCCACATTGAATAAATTTACATAATTCGTATCAAGCGATACGATTTTTCCCAACTTTCGTCAAAAGCTCTGCACAAAACGAGTCCACTTTATACAATTCCTTAGAAATGAGGAATAGACTAGTTCCGGTAATGCTTCTACAAGTGCTTAAAGAGAAAAACAGCTGAAGTTGAAGTTATTTAAAATTTAAAGAACGAGTTTTATTTGCAAGTTTTAGTCAAATTCCAATTTACCCGATGAAAAATTAATACCCTACGATATTTTTTCGAAGAATCCGTGATATTACCGTGTAGTCCGCCGTGTAAAATATAAAAATAAATATGTCCGAGAAATCACCGAATCGTTTTGTTGGATATATCTGATAAAAAGAAAAAATTGTGCCCTCTGCGGTGTCCGAAATCCCAAATCCCATTTCTTATATTGGAAGTGGATGATGTCGTTCCGGGGAAAAATATCACGAAAAAGTAAGGAAAAATGTCGTCTTCGTCTGTTGACCTCTATGTTAATTGACAAGGGTAGTATTAAAATTTAGATTTTCTTTCGTTAAATTGTGTGAAAAATTTGGGTCGCTCGGAAAATTGCCTCCGGTCCAAATTTTCATCACACTATTAAAAGGAAGTTTTTCTCGCTGAGTTTTTCTGTTCCGGGAAAGTAAGTCATTGAAATTATAGCCGAGTGTAGTTTTTCGTTCTCGCGGGAGCCGTTTCAGTTTGCGGATGATAGCGTGGTGTGGTAGCTATTGCACACTTAAATTGCTTTTAATGTTTAAATAGCTAATAAGTATTAAGTGGTGGGAGCCAAGCAGCCCTTCTATTAAAACTTCAACGTAATACCATTAAACTTTCAAATCCTAACGGAAACCCTTGATTAGCCGATATGGATGCTGGAGCTGTGCCGCATTTACCAAACCGATAATTAATCCCGAGATGATCTTCAAGAGCTTGACACCGCACATTAGTTGATTAGACCTCAGCCATTGCGATAATGAGAATTTTTTGCACTTTGCAACTGACGGACAAATTGAGAGAGCTAATTGAAGAGCTATTATCGACTTGTGGGTAACAACTCTTAACAATTTTGTTGATTGGCGACAACTTTCTCATTCATCAATTTTATTATAAATTAAATAACAATTTTTTGATAAATTTGAAAAATATTTCGTTAAAAATTATTATTTTTTTTAATTTAAATGATTTGTTGTTACCAGAAATGTCTAAATCACTGCTGTAGGTGAGGGAAGATGATCCATTTTCTCGCATTGATTTTTTAATAGCCAAATTTAATTTCACAATCTACTAACGTAAAAACGCTTAAATTAGCCTTCGTTCCGCATCCACCTCTGCGAAAATATCGTCCATTTACTACCGTTTTTAAAACCAGTCCTATCCGGAACCTCGAATTATTTCAGGAATGCTGAAAAAGCAATTTCGTTAACGTCCGTTGTTGTAATATTTCAGCGAGCGAATAAACCGTCGCGTTTTTCCCTCGGCGTCGGCATTGTTTTCCCCGAGAAATGCAAATATTAAAAGTTTATAGACGCACCCTTAATCTTTCTAAAATGCTAACACCTTTAAATGGAATTGTTTCCCCGTATATTCATCGATTCCGTTGTTTTGTTTCAGGTTATCTGTTATTTAAGGATTTTTGCGAGAATTTGTCGGAAGTTCCCGTGCCTCAGCTTCGCTTTTATGAAGAGGTAAGTGAAGTTAAATTGATAAGATAAATGTATGAGAAAGCCGCACAAAATCGAGTCTTTTATACGCGAAATTGAATAGACTAGGTCGACGTTTTTTAGTGTTTCGTCTAATGCAAGTTGGGATTAAATCCGACACAGATGAGCTTAATTGAAGTTTAATTTTGCTTGATAGATTAATTTAAACGATTGAAGTGCGTCACTAACGATAATTTGTTATTGTCTTATTAAATAACAGAAAACTTCTCGATTCTAATCAAGATTCTGGACGTTCTTTATGCAAATTGTATTTTATCAGAGGAAGGATTGGACGGACGCGTGTCTGACCTCCGGGCATGCAAAACAGAGGAATTTTCTTTGAAAAGAGGCCCAGAATCGGGAATAAACGTTATTTATGAGAGTTTGAGTGTAAAAAAATCGACTATAGTTTATGTAGCTTCAACAAGACTGCGATTTTTTATGTAAAAGGCACAAAAAATGGCATAAATCGCAAATAACTTGGAGAAAAAGGAATATAATGATCAATTTTAGAGGGTACAGTGTGGGGCATAAATAGCGCAAAAAAGTAACTTTTTCTTTTCAGAAAATTGTTAACTTTTATTTATTTTTTATTATTCTATTTATTATTGTGTAAAAAATAATGTAGCTAAACCTTGAATGTGTGTGTGGAGAAAGTGTAATTTTGCAGAGGCGTCAGAGATTGAAATATCTGAATTATTTTCCAGTTGGATGAGTTTTGAGCACCTCTTTTAAAAATTCATTGTTCTTTATGAATCGGCGAAACTTTGCACATCCCCTTTAGTCAAACAAAATCGTTTAAAAGCCGAAAACAAATTTCCGTCGGAATTAATTCTATCCCTTCATTGGGTCGTTGCCTCACTCCGGCAATTTTGTAATGGATTTTTATGATGGATAATAAAAGTCGACAGAGGTTGATCGACTTGCCATTTGATCGACTTTTTCCTCGTCATCGATTTCTTCGCAACTGAAGAATTACAAAGTTACTAAGGACGTTTAATGAGACGTCGGTTTTAACACCGCCTCATATAACCTGATATCGTCGTCTCTTTTACTAGTACTTTTTTTTTGTTTACTGCCGCGATCCAGAAATCCAGATAAGGGGAAACATAAAATCTAGATTAGAACTCGGGGTTGCATCGACGTGTCGTGGAAATTAATACTTTTGGCAGTTAAATAAGCAATTTTCTTTGAGAAATGGCTTGCAGAGTCGGAGGAATAATAATTATAGGTGCGAATAAGTAATTGATTGGGCTGCTTGATACTATAATTCGCTAAGATTGACGTGGCGTAGACGAGATTCAACTGTTGTTTTAAGTTGTCGATGCCTACGGTTACAAAACGGAAAACTCAGTTTTTAATTAAAATTCTTTTTTTATAATTAGTTGGTGCATCCCGTGCCTTAAATGAGTTTCGAGATGATTCACTCGGAAAAATGTTTTATGCATGTGTACGACGTAAAGAAAATTAAAATAAATGTGTGGTCTTTAATTATTAATTGTGTTTTTCAATGTAAATTCCACGGATGAATCAGCTTTCAATCAGAAGCCAACATAAATAACGTTGTAAATGTCGGGAATAATCAATTGTGTTTTATTTTGTAATTTTTGCTAAATAGTAATATAGTTATTTGTAATTGTAAGGGGGTGTTTGGGTGTTTGAGTATGGGTGGTCTGCATGTGGCGACATAGAGTCGCCTTTTTGAGTGGTCCTCAGGATGTAAGGGATTAAGGAACATGTGTGGGTCAAGGGTGCAAGATATTTGGCGAGCGTGGGAAGCAATCTTTAACAGGTGGCTAAAATGGTAATGATTGGTGTAGAGATTTGAACGTTAGAAGAATGCTTGGAGCTAATTGGCCCATTTGAATGTGTGAGGGTGAATTTTGTGCAAATGTGGAATAGTATAGCCAGTCTGTAAAATAGCCTGAAGAAATAAAGAAGTTCAAAAGGAGTTCCTGTTGTTTCTTTTTCGATCACCAAACCTATAAAATTTATAACAATTTATCAGAAGTGGGATAGTTCTACGTGAATATCGCTGACGAAAATTGTATTGTGAAAGGTGAAGTTGTAAAGTGAAAATGGGAGACGAGGATAAAACAACAGGTCAGGATAATCAGGTCACAGGACAGGAGTACCTGAACATGGAGGCTATCTTGCAGCTCATTGAGACCGCGGTGAGCAAGGCAATGAGTGCGAAGACGGGGGTTTCAGCGGCACGTGAGATACAAGGTGAAGGATTGTCTGGGGACAGAGGTGCGTCGGGGACGTCGGGGTCGCCCAGAAATCCGGAGGAGGTGTCTAGGCCGGGAAGCAGTGTCGGTGCTTCGGGAGCGGTGGCGTCGTCGACGTCGAGCAGTGCGGGCTATTGTGTAATGCCCGACCTCACAAAGAGCTTGCGGGTTTTTAACGGAAAAGGCGGTGCATCTGGGGCATTGCAGTGGTTATCAGATGTTAAAACAATGGCAGGACGCCAATTTTGGGGCGAAACGATTTTATTAGAGGTGGCACGCCAACACCTCGAAGGAAGCGCATTACTGTGGTACAGGTACCATCAGGAGTCCATAACAACATGGGCGGCGTTCGAGGCCAAATTCCGGGAAAATTATACAGATAGAAGAACGCTTGCTGAAAGATTCCGGGAGATGTCGGACCGACGACAAACGAAAACAGAGAGCTCGGAAGATTATTTTTACGCGAAAATGGCGATGTGTCTGGACTTGAAATTGCCATTCGCGGAATCGAAGGAAATGCTGCTCGCGGGACTAAGGTCGAAGGAAGTTGCGAGATCCTTGCTGACCGTCCGACATGAGGATGAGTGGCAGCTCCTTCGCGACCTTAAGGACAACGAGAAACTAGATGCGTTCTCAATTCCGGTAAGGCCTACTTTGCCGGATAAGAATGATAGAAGGAAGTGTTTCCGTTGTGGTGCGGAGGGCCACATTTCCCGCAATTGTAACACCCCAAGATTGGGAAGTGCTGTATGTTACAACTGCGGCAATATTGGACACTTCGCGCGCGATTGTCGCGGTACTGTTCGCGAATCGCAGCCGCAACGTGGAACTGAAAATATGGTGCGTGGAAATCAGAATGTGGTGCGCGAAACGCCAGCGCCTTATAAATCAAAGAGCGCCGTGAAGAAAATTGACGCGCAATCAGACAATTTAAAATACTTTAAAAACGTAAAGGTGAACAAAGTTGATGTTCGCGGATACGTGGATATGGGGTCAGAAGTGTGTGTGGTCCGAGAAGATTACGTATCAAAATTAAAGCTGCGGTGTGACTGGGATACAAGAAGAGATGTTACAGGCTACGGAGGAGCTGTCACTACTGTGATTGGCTCTGCGATTGCAGATATGGAAATTGACGGTGTGAGCGCTCAGGTGGAGTTATTAATTGTCCCACGAGAAACTCAAGAAATCCCGATAATTGTGGGGCACCCGTACACCGAACAACCTCACATAAAAATTGTGAAGACGCCTACCGAGCTGATTATTGAAAGCTCCAAACAGGGTGAAAGTAGCGCCAATTCACGAACTGTGTTGTGGGCAGGTGAAGCTTCCGTTATCGGAAATAATTTTTTGGGGCACATCGCAGTAAAGACAAATATTCCGCAGGCTACTTTATGTGTAGAAGGTGGCTTAAGACAAACAGGAGGATGGATACCGAGATGTGTGTTAAATACAAGTGATGATGGTAGTGCAACATTACCTATTTTAAATATAAGTGGAAAGGATATCAAAATTACGAAGGACCAAAGTGTAGCGCGAGGTGACATTTGCATAGAGCACACGCAAAGACGGGAAATTAATAGTGAGCCAATTCACGAAAGTGAAATTCATACAGACTTACGGGGTGAGGACGCGACGAAAGTGTTAGAACTGGTTAATGAATATCGCGATTTGGTGGCGCGAAATGCTAAACAAATCGGTTGTACAAACCTAGTGGAAATGGATATTGAGCTAACAGACGATAAACCGATAGTGTATAGGCCGTACCGTATGGCATTTTCTGAAAGAGAAAAGGTTCGCGAGATCGTGCATGAACTAAAAGAAGCAGACATTATCGAGGAAACCGATTCCCCTTTCGCGAGCCCTGTCATCTTGGTGAAAAAGAAGTCGGGGGATGTCCGGATGTGCGTCGACTACAGGGCGCTAAACAAAAAGACCATCAAGCAGCACTACCCATTGCCGCTAATCGACGACCAACTTGATAGGCTTCAGGGACACACTTATTTCACCTGCGTCGATCTGTCGATGGGATATCACCAGGTACCAATGTCGAAGGATGCGAAAGGTAAGACGGCTTTTATCACACCGGACGGTGTATACTGTTTCAAACGAATGAGTTTCGGACTGGCGAACGCACCATCACAATTTCAAAGACTGATGAACATAGTTTTGGGAAATCTACGATATGACACCGCGCTAGCATACCTAGACGACATCATAATACCTTCGAGAACAGTAGGGGAAGGGTTAGATAAGCTTAGATTGTTGTTTGATAGGCTAAGATACGCTAATTTAACATTAAACTTGAAAAAGTGCCACTTTTTTATGAGGAAAATTGAATATCTGGGTTTTACGATTTCGGGCGAGGGCATTGAACCCGGAAGGGGTAAACTCGGGGCAGTGGCCGAGTTCCCAATCCCCACAGATGTTCATAGTGTTAGGTCGTTTTTGGGATTGGCCAGCTATTTCCGGAGGTTTGTGAAGAATTTCGCTATTATTGCTCGTCCGCTAAGTGATTTACTAAAAAAGGGAACTACATTTGAATGGGGAACGACGCAACAAAACGCATTCGACAATTTAAAGCATGTCTTGCTAAGTAAACCTATTTTGTGTGTGTATGATCCAACCGCGCACACCGAACTACACACAGACGCGAGTAGTGTAGGTTTAGGGGCGGTACTGTTACAAAGACAAAAAGATAATTCGTTACGTCCAGTTTCTTTTTACAGTAGAAAAACGACACCGGAAGAAGCCAAA